GGCGGGTGCTAGGTCGGCGGGTGCTAGGTCGGCGGGTGCTAGGTCGGCGGGTGCTAGGTCGGCGGGTGCTAGGTCGGCGGGTGCTAGGTCGGAGGGTGCTAGGTCGGCGGGTGCTAGGTCGGCGGGTGCTAGGTCGGTGGGTGCTAGGTCGGTGGGTGCCAGGTCGGCGGGTGCTAGGTCGGCGGGTGCCAGGTCGGCGGGTGCCAGGTCGGCGGGTGCTAGGTCGGCGGGTGCCAGGTCGGCGGGTGCTAGGTCGGCGGGTGCCAGGTCGGCGGGTGCCAGGTCGGCGGGTGCCAGGTCGGCGGGTGCCAGGTCGGCGGGTGCCAGGTCGGCGGGTGCCAGGTCGGCGGGTGCCAGGTCGGCGGGTGCCAGGTCGGCGGGTGCCAGGTCGGCGGGTGCCAGGTCGGCGGGTGCCAGGTCGGCGGGTGCTAGGTCGGCGGGTGCTAGGTCGGCGGGTGCTAGGTCGGCGGCTGCTAGGTCGGCGGGTGCCAGGTCGGCGGGTGCTAGGTCGGAGGGTGCTAGGTCGGAGGGTGCTAGGTCGGCGGGTGCCAGGTCGGCGGCTGCCAGGTCGGCGGCTGCTAGGTCGGCGGCTGCTAGGTCGGCGGGTGCTAGGTCGGCGGGTGCTAGGTCGGCGGGTGCTAGGTCGGCGGGTGCTAGGTCGGCGGGTGCTAGGTCGGCGGGTGCTAGGTCGGCGGGTGCTAGGTCGGCGGGTGCTAGGTCGGTGGGTGCTAGGTCGGTGGGTGCCAGGTCGGCGGGTGCTAGGTCGGCGGGTGCCAGGTCGGCGGGTGCCAGGTCGGCGGGTGCTAGGTCGGCGGGTGCCAGGTCGGCGGGTGCTAGGTCGGCGGGTGCCAGGTCGGCGGGTGCCAGGTCGGCGGGTGCCAGGTCGGCGGGTGCCAGGTCGGCGGGTGCCAGGTCGGCGGGTGCCAGGTCGGCGGGTGCCAGGTCGGCGGGTGCCAGGTCGGCGGGTGCCAGGTCGGCGGGTGCCAGGTCGGCGGGTGCCAGGTCGGCGGGTGCCAGGTCGGCGGGTGCTAGGTCGGCGGGTGCTAGGTCGGCGGGTGCTAGGTCGGCGGCTGCTAGGTCGGCGGGTGCTAGGTCGGCGGGTGCTAGGTCGGCGGCGCTAGGTCGGCGGCGCTAGGTCGGCGGCTGCTAGGTCGGCGGCTGCTAGGTCGGCGGCTGCTAGGTCGGCGGCTGCCAGGTCGGCGGCTGCTAGGTCGGCGGGTGCTAGGTCGGCGGGTGCTAGGTCGGTGGGTGCCAGGTCGGCGGGTGCTAGGTCGGCGGGTGCTAGGTCGGCGGGTGCTAGGTCGGTGGGTGCTAGGTCGGCGGGTGCTAGGTCGGCGGGTGCTAGGTCGGCGGGTGCCAGGTCGGCGGGTGCTAGGTCGGCGGGTGCTAGGTCGGCGGGTGCTAGGTCGGCGGGTGCTAGGTCGGCGGGTGCTAGGTCGGCGGGTGCCAGGTCGGCGGGTGCCAGGTCGGCGGGTGCTAGGTCGGCGGGTGCTAGGTCGGCGGGTGCCAGGTCGGCGGGTGCTAGGTCGGAGGCTGCCAGGTCGACGGGTGCCAGGTCGGTGGGTGCTAGGTCGGCGGGTGCTAGGTCGGCGGGTGCTAGGTCGGCGGGTGCTAGGTCGGCGGGTGCCAGGTCGGCGGGTGCCAGGTCGGCGGGTGCTAGGTCGGCGGGTGCTAGGTCGGCGGGTGCTAGGTCGGCGGCTGCTAGGTCGGCGGGTGCCAGGTCGGCGGGTGCCAGGTCGGCGGGTGCCAGGTCGGTGGGTGCTAGGTCGGCGGGTGCTAGGTCGGCGGGTGCTAGGTCGGCGGGTGCCAGGTCGGCGGGTGCCAGGTCGGCGGGTGCCAGGTCGGCGGGTGCTAGGTCGGCGGGTGCTAGGTCGGCGGGTGCCAGGTCGGCGGGTGCCAGGTCGGCGGGTGCTAGGTCGGCGGGTGCTAGGTCGGCTTGTGCTAGGTCGGCGGGTGCCAGGTCGGCGGGTGCCAGGTCGGCGGGTGCCAGGTCGGCGGGTGCCAGGTCGGCGGGTGCCAGGTCGGCGGGTGCCAGGTCGGCGGGTGCCAGGTCGGCGGGTGCCAGGTCGGCGGGTGCTAGGTCGGCGGGTGCCAGGTCGGCGGGTGCTAGGTCGGCGGGTGCTAGGTCGGCGGGTGCTAGGTCGGCGGCTGCTAGGTCGGCGGCTGCTAGGTCGGCGGGTGCTAGGTCGGCGGCTGCTAGGTCGGCGGCTGCTAGGTCGGCGGCTGCTAGGTCGGCGGCTGCCAGGTCGGCGGCTGCCAGGTCGGCGGCTGCCAGGTCGGCGGCTGCAAGGTCGGCGTCGGCGGCGCTAGGTCGGCGGCGCTAGGTCGGCGGCTGCTAGGTCGGCGGGTGCTAGGTCGGTGGGTGCCAGGTCGGTGGGTGCCAGGTCGGCGGGTGCTAGGTCGGCGGGTGCTAGGTCGGAGGGTGCTAGGTCGGAGGGTGCTAGGTCGGAGGGTGCTAGGTCGGTGGGTGCTAGGTCGGTGGGTGCCAGGTCGGTGGGTGCCAGGTCGGCGGGTGCCAGGTCGGCGGGTGCCAGGTCGGCGGGTGCTAGGTCGGCGGGTGCCAGGTCGGCGGGTGCCAGGTCGGCGGGTGCCAGGTCGGCGGGTGCCAGGTCGGCGGGTGCCAGGTCGGCGGGTGCCAGGTCGGCGGGTGCCAGGTCGGCGGGTGCCAGGTCGGCGGGTGCCAGGTCGGCGGGTGCCAGGTCGGCGGGTGCCAGGTCGGCGGGTGCTAGGTCGGCGGGTGCTAGGTCGGCGGGTGCTAGGTCGGTGGGTGCCAGGTCGGCGGGTGCTAGGTCGGTGGGTGCTAGGTCGGTGGGTGCTAGGTCGGCGGGTGCTAGGTCGGTGGGTGCTAGGTCGGCGGGTGCTAGGTCGGCGGGTGCTAGGTTGGCGGGTGCTAGGTCGGCGGGTGCTAGGTCGGCGGGTGCTAGGTCGGCGGGTGCTAGGTCGGCGGGTGCTAGGTCGGCGGGTGCTAGGTCGGTGGGTGCTAGGTCGGTGGGTGCTAGGTCGGCGGGTGCCAGGTCGGCGGGTGCCAGGTCGGCGGGTGCTAGGTCGGCGGGTGCCAGGTCGGCGGGTGCTAGGTCGGCGGGTGCTAGGTCGGCGGGTGCTAGGTCGGAGGCTGCTAGGTCGGCGGCTGCCAGGTCGACGGGTGCCAGGTCGGCGGGTGCTAGGTCGGCGGGTGCCAGGTCGGCGGGTGCTAGGTCGGCGGGTGCTAGGTCGGTGGGTGCCAGGTCGGCGGGTGCCAGGTCGGCGGGTGCTAGGTCGGCGGGTGCTAGGTCGGCGGGTGCTAGGTCGGCGGGTGCTAGGTCGGCGGGTGCTAGGTCGGCGGGTGCTAGGTCGGCGGGTGCTAGGTCGGCGGGTGCTAGGTCGGTGGGTGCCAGGTCGGCGGGTGCCAGGTCGGTGGGTGCTAGGTCGGCGGGTGCCAGGTCGGCGGGTGCCAGGTCGGCGGGTGCCAGGTCGGTGGGTGCTAGGTCGGCGGGTGCTAGGTCGGCGGGTGCTAGGTCGGCGGGTGCTAGGTCGGTGGGTGCTAGGTCGGTGGGTGCCAGGTCGGCGGGTGCCAGGTCGGCGGGTGCTAGGTCGGCGGGTGCTAGGTCGGCGGGTGCTAGGTCGGCGGGTGCTAGGTCGGCGGGTGCTAGGTCGGCGGGTGCTAGGTCGGCGGGTGCTAGGTCGGCGGGTGCTAGGTCGGCGGGTGCTAGGTCGGCGGGTGCTAGGTCGGCGGGTGCCAGGTCGGCGGGTGCCAGGTCGGCGGGTGCCAGGTCGGCGGGTGCTAGGTCGGCGGGTGCTAGGTCGGCGGGTGCTAGGTCGGCGGGTGCCAGGTCGGCGGGTGCTAGGTCGGCGGGTGCTAGGTCGGCTTGTGCTAGGTCGGCGGGTGCCAGGTCGGCGGGTGCCAGGTCGGCGGGTGCCAGGTCGGCGGGTGCCAGGTCGGCGGCTGCTAGGTCGGCGGGTGCTAGGTCGGCGGGTGCTAGGTCGGCGGGTGCTAGGTCGGCGGGTGCTAGGTCGGCGGGTGCTAGGTCGGCGGGTGCTAGGTCGGCGGGTGCTAGGTCGGAGGGTGCTAGGTCGGCGGGTGCTAGGTCGGCGGGTGCTAGGTCGGTGGGTGCCAGGTCGGTGGGTGCCAGGTCGGCGGGTGCTAGGTCGGCGGGTGCCAGGTCGGCGGGTGCGAGGTCGGCGGGTGCCAGGTCGGCGGGTGCTAGGTCGGCGGGTGCTAGGTCGGCGGGTGCCAGGTCGGCGGGTGCTAGGTCGGCGGGTGCTAGGTCGGTGGGTGCTAGGTCGGTGGGTGCCAGGTCGGTGGGTGCCAGGTCGGCGGGTGCTAGGTCGGCGGGTGCCAGGTCGGCGGGTGCCAGGTCGGCGGGTGCCAGGTCGGCGGGTGCTAGGTCGGCGGGTGCTAGGTCGGCGGGTGCCAGGTCGGCGGGTGCTAGGTCGGCGGGTGCTAGGTCGGTGGGTGCTAGGTCGGAGGGTGCTAGGTCGGCGGGTGCCAGGTCGGCGGGTGCTAGGTCGGCGGGTGCTAGGTCGGCGGGTGCTAGGTCGGCGGGTGCTAGGTCGGCGGGTGCTAGGTCTGCGGTTGCTAGGTCTGCGGTTGCTAGGTCGGCGGGTGCTAGGTCGGCGGGTGCTAGGTCGGCGGGTGCTAGGTCGGCGGGTGCTAGGTCGGCGGGTGCTAGGTCGGCGGGTGCTAGGTCGGTGGGTGCTAGGTCGGCGGGTGCTAGGTCGGCGGGTGCTAGGTCGGCGGGTGCTAGGTCGGCGGGTGCTAGGTCGGCGGGTGCTAGGTCGGCGGGTGCCAGGTCGGCGGGTGCTAGGTCGGTGGGTGCTAGGTCGGCGGGTGCCAGGTCTGCGGGTGCTAGGTCGGCGGGTGCTAGGTCGGCGGGTGCTAGGTCGGCGGGTGCTAGGTCGGCGGGTGCCAGGTCGGCGGGTGCTAGGTCGGCGGGTGCCAGGTCGGCGGGTGCCAGGTCGGTGGGTGCTAGGTCGGTGGGTGCTAGGTCGGCGGGTGCTAGGTCGGCGGGTGCCAGGTCGGCGGGTGCTAGGTAGTCGCATCAAGGATCCTCACCATTGCCTCATCACAAGCAATGACCCGCGCGTGTGATGTCCGCCTGCGCTGAGCTGCACACCCCAACACGTCAGCCCCCCTCCGCAGCCTCGGCCACTTGTATTCATGGCATATGTACATACACAGGAAATCTCCCAACCCAAGCCCAATCACTCCCCGCCTCGGAAAAGTCCCCCAGACCCCTTGCGAGTAGTCACACCTCCCTCACACCCTAGCCCCCTCCCTCCTAGCTTCCAAGCTCCTCCTCCCTCCCACCACCTACGACACCTCACACCCCCTAACCCCACTCCTCCTACTACTGCGCCGCCGGCGCCGCCTCCATGACGAACCCGAACACGGGGCTGCCCGGGTAGGCCCCCGCCGGGTCGGCCCGCACACTGGCCGCCAGCTCGCCGACCCCCGGGTCGGTCACCAGGTGCACCTGCAGCGCCTCCAGCTTGAGCGCGCGCAGCAGGTACGGCAGCGACTGCTGCACGATGTCCACCTCGGAGAAGGGCAGCTTCACATCCAACACCTGGACATGGTGGTGGGGGGGGGGGGGGGGGGGGTACAAAGGAGGGGGAAAAAAGGAGGGGGGAGGGTTACAAGGGGAGAGTTACAAAGGGGGTTTCCGAAGGAGGGCAGGGTGGAGGACGGGTAGAAGAGGTAGTCAAGCCAAAGCGGGAGGGTAAAGAAGCGGGAAAGGCGCGATATGATCCTGGGAATAATCGGTAGATGTAGTCGGCTACCGCAATTTCCAACAAAGAAACCATATGTCCGGCAAATTGGGCTTCTTAGGAAGCGCCCGTACAAGCGAACGAAGGAGGTTCCATGAGCAGCAGCGGGACCAGCCAGCCCCTTCCCACCTGCGCTCCCGCCGCCGCCGCCTCCTCCATCTTGAACTTGGCGAAGGGCATGACGGCCTGCTTCAGCTGCTTGTCAGCCAGCGAGGACAGCGCGGGGTCCTGCGCAGGTGGGGGTGCCGAGAAGGGGGAAAACGAAATTCCAATGTGTGGGGGGAGAGGTCATCGGATATCCACTACTACGGCATAAACGAGACTGCCGGATTCCTTGAAACACGCCCCACGGTGGAGCGATAACTGAAGCCATGGCCCCGCCCACATCCTCTCACGCCATCCTTCCTGAGGGCTCCCAGGGTTCCTCCATCACAGCAACACCTTCATGTGTAATAACCCCCCTCTTCCACCTCCTCCTAGCCCAGCCCCCACCTGCTTCGCCGCCTCCAGCACCGACGCGTTGGTGTCCGCCGCAAAGGTGCGGGTGCGCGCGTCGAAGCGGGGAGCCAGCGCCCCCAGCACCCGCTCCTGCCAGCCGACGAAACGCTCCGACACGAATACATGCAGGGAGGCGACACGGGGGGGCGGCTGCGGGAGGGGGGGAGAGGGTGGAAATAAAGGTAAATGGAAGAGGAGGGGGGGAGAAAGAGAGGGAGACGAGGGGTCCCGCGGTGAGAGGGAGGAAGAGAGGTGAAATAGGCATAAGGAGAGGGGGGGAACGCGTCTTGCCAGAAGCAGGAGTGCGTAGGGGCATCCACGCGTCCGCACTATCCCCATTGCCTTGCCTCCTATTCTCATTGCCTTGCCCTGCCCTCTTTCATGGTTCGGTACGGCCTTCGACCCCCCCCGTCACCCCAATCACCCTCTCACGCCCCCTCACTCACCACCGCGGGTCCGGGTCCCTTCTTCTTGGGTGGCGCCTCCGCCTTGGCAATGGCCTTGCGCAGGGTGGGGATGAGGTCCTCGATGTAGGCGCCCGCGCGCTGCAGGATGGAGTCGGGCGGGCTGCCGGCGGGGAAGCCGGCGGTCACCGCGGCACCCTCGCGCTTCAGCAGGTTGCGCCTGGAAGGGGGGGGGGAGAGGAGGGGGAGTGAGGAGGTGCGGCAGAGGGTTAGGACTTTAGGGAGGGGCGTGAGAAAAGTGCGGAGTTTTGAGGGCAGGAGCAGGGCGCATCAATAACCTTTCCATGCCCGGGTTATCCAACTGGCTCCGTCACTGGCCAGTCTATCCACCAGTCTAACCCACGCAGCCCTTGCCTCCTCGCTTCCCCGCCCCTGCCCATCCCTCCCTCTCTCTCATTCAACACATTGGGTATACTTTTTTCCCTCCCTCTTCGTCTTCCCCCCCCCCGCCCCTACCAGACGTGTTCCGCGGTGTGCGGTGTGAAGGGCAGCAGCAGCAGTGTGGACACCTCGATGAACCGCATCACCAGCTGCCGGTGCATGCCGTCGGGGCCGCAGGCCAGCCTTTGGGGGGAGGAGGAGGGATGGGGGAGGAAGTGGGATGAGGGGGAAAGGAAGAGGAGGGGTGAGGGGAGGTCAAGGCAAGCACAGCGTGAAGGCGGCTGGTAGGGAGGTACCCAGTTCCGGGGTTGGCAAGCAAACCCGCAGTAGGGGGCAACAACGCTGTGGCATGCATTATAGAGTGCGATAGCAGCAGCCGCTCACCAAATGACACAGTGATACACAGTGAAAGGCACGGTTCTTCAGGGGTCTTCAAGCGGTGGGCTCAGCTTGTATTTGTTTCAGCAGCGTTTTTTGGCTCTGAAAATAGGTAAGACACCGGGGCACGCAAGCACCCCGATTGGAACATCAACGCCCTCGTTACGAGGTTACCGTATACAAACGTGCCCAAGGCTCATGCACATGCGTCTAGAAAGGCTGGTGTGGGCTCAGCAATTAGTTGTTTCAGCAGCTCTTCTTCAGCTCTGAAAATAGGTAAGACACCAGGGCATAAGCACCCGGATTAGGACATCAACGCCCTCATTTTAACAGTGCGTACAAACGTGCCCGAAGCTCATGCCCATGCATGCGTCTAAGAAGGCTAGTGTGGGCTCAGGCTATATGTTTTTCAGCAGCGTCGTCTTCGGCTCTGAAAATAGGTAAGACACCGGGGCACGCAAGTGCCCCGATTCAAACATCAATGCCCAAGCCAGAGGTACGGTGTGCAAACCCTTCCATGCACCTGTCATGCAACCCCACCCCGCACCCCACCCCACCCTCCTGCCCCACTTCCACCCATGTTGACGCCTTATCCCTCAGTCAGTTAGTTGTTTCCTCTTTACCCCCCCTTTCCGCCAGCACTCCCCCCACCCCCGCCCCACCTGTACACGTCGCGTGCATTCCCCAGCTCGTACGCCGCCGCCTTGAGTGCCTCCCTGAAGGCCATGCGCTCGAATGCGTCCCGCGTGGCGGCGATGGCAACGTCGATGGCGTTGGAGAACACCCGGTCAGCCAGCAGCGCGTCGGAGGGGCCCTCGCGCAGGCCTGGGGGTGGAGGGGGGCGGAGGAGGGCCATACCAAACCACATGAAACCCCAGAGGGGGGCGGAGGAGAAGTGCAGTGCGGAGGGGGGCATGGATAGGCGGGTGATGGGGAAACCACCACCCGCCTATCCGGGGGTGAGGCGTATGACACGGCTTCACCATGGGGTGCAAACAAGGGGAGGAGGGACGAGGAAGAGAGGCGAGAGGTCGGTCAATGGTCAACGCTGCCCTCCCATGTGTTTCTACCTGACCCCGGCGCCCGTACCACCACCCCCCTCCCCACCTGACCCCGGCGCCAGGCACTCCTCGATCCATGTGAGCTCCTTTGTGATTCGCAGGATGGCGGCGTTGGCGGTGGAGGTCTCGAAGTTGGCGTCATCCAGCCCGTCACCCGCGTCCGCCAGCGCCCAGCGCATGGCGTCAGCGGAGTACTCCAGAATGGCCTGTTGGGGGGGGGGAGGTGGGGAGGGGAGGGGGGAGGTGGTAAGGAGGGTTTCCTTTCCTCCATTCCCTTTCCAACGGCTATCTGTTCCCCAGCTTTCCCTTCCTATATCTCCAAACGTCAATCCCTCCCCTCCCTCCTCCCCCCCTTCTCCTCCCCCTCTCCCCCCCGCCCCACCTCATGCAGCGTCTTGAAGTTGCCGGTGCTCTTGCTCATCTTCTCGCTGTTGAGCAGCAGGTGCCCATTGCAGCGGATGGCGCGGGGCCACTTGGAGGCGTCGGCCGCCCACACGGCGGTGTGGTTGTACAGCGCAAAGGTGAGGTGGTTCTGGATGAGGTCCTGTGGGAGGGGAGGAGAGGGGGGTGGTGCGGGGGAGGAGTTGATGAGGTGGTGCGGGCGCGACGTTGTTATTACTGCAGCTGCTGCGACTTGGCGCCGAAAAGCGGTGCGGCCCTCAGGACATAGGTCCGGCTCATTGCCCGCCCTCCCAAGGACAGAGGTAAGGCAGAGGCCATCCATTCCCTTTCCGGTGCTACTCTCCCTTACCCCTCCTCCCCTCCCAAGTCCCAACTCCTCATCCTTCCCTTCCCTTCCCTACCCCCAATCCCTCATACCCCACCACCACAATCTCCTCCTTCTCCTCACCTTGCCGCTGACCCGCAGGTCAAAGGGGTACCAGTACTCAAACTCCCGCCGCATGGCCGCCAGCACCTCGGGCGCAATCGCGCAGTCGCGCGGCGCCTCCTTGCCCAGGAAGATGTAGTCCCACACCTCGGGCGTGAGCTGCTGGGGCGCCACGGGGCCGCCCGTGTCCTTGCCGTACATGTCTCCCTTCTGCAGGATGTGCGCCACGGTGTAGTAGGCCATGTAGATGGTGGAGTCGGAGAGCGACTCGATGAGGTACTGCGGGTCCCAAGGAAGTCGGGTGCCCAGGCCGAAGGAGCGGCTGCAGGCCCACTGCTGCAGCCAGCCTGGGGGGGGAAGGGGGGGAGGGGGAGGTAAGGGGGGTTAAGAGAAATTCCAATGTGTGTTGTGATAAAGATACAAGTTGCTAACAATCCCTAAGGGGGGAGGGAAAAAGGACAACATGTTAATGACTAGTGGATTCACCCCGCTGAACCCATCGAAAGGAAGCGGGGAAGGGGAGGAGGTGGGTTTGCTCTCCCAGCACATGGGGAAAGGGATCCACACAGACATATACACCCTTCCCTTCCCAACTGCTTGCTCTTGTTCTACTCAACTACTCAACTATACACACCCTTCTTTTCCCTTACCCCTTACCCCTCACCCCCCCTTCCCTCCCCCCTCCGCTACCCACCCAGGCAGAACTGGAACTGCGCGCGCGTGTCGTCGCTGTAGGTCTCGATCCGCTGCAGCGCCTCCCGCGTGGCGGCGGCCCACTCCTCCTCGCCGTACGTCATGTACCTTCATGGGGGGGGGGGGTCAAAGTAGTGGGGTTGCTTCCCATCTTCCCCCCACTCTACCGTTATGGCGTTTGCTCACTCAATAGTAATCCCGTCTCATCCCGCCCAGACCCCGCACTCCTTACGTAGCCCGGTTCCCGCTCGGCCTCTCCTCGCCCATCCCCCAACAAGCTTCCCATCACCCGTCCCCTTTCCCCCTTTCCCCCCACCCAAGCCTTGTCATACACGTCGTCAGCTGCCTGGTCAGTTTCCCCACTTTTACCCCCTCCCCCCCCCCCGCCTCACCACTGGTCCGTAAGCGCCACCACGCACTCGTCCCCGCTGCGGCTGATGACCTGCCGCTCCGGCTCGCTGTACAGCAGCGCCGCCCCCGCACCCAGCATCTCCTCGCGGATGAGCGGCTTGGCCTCCGCAACCCGCCGACCCGCGTGCGGACCCACCAGCATGACGCCGTCGGTGAAGCCCTGGGGGGTAACAAGAAATTCCAATGTGTGGTGGGGAGGTGGGGGAGGAGGAAGGAGGGGGGTGGGGGTAGCAAGCCAGAAGGCATTGGGTGTAGTGACGAAGGTTGTGCTATGACGGGCATTTGTCAATAAGAGAATTGTGGGCTCAGCGTTAGTTTGTTTCAGCAGCGTCGTTTCCGGCTCTGAAAATAGGTAAGACACCGGTGCACGTAAGCGCCCCGATTGTAACATCAACGCCCTCTTCGACAGTGCATGCATACGTGCCCAAGGTTCATGCCCATGCGACTAAAAAGGCTAGTGTGGGCTCAGCGTTTAACTGTTTCAGCAGCAGCAGCTCTGAAAATAGGTAAGACATCGAGGCACGCGAGTACCTCGATTGAAACATCAACGCCCTCTTCAACAGCGCGTACAAACGTCTCATGCCCATGCATGCTTTTGCAAAGGCTAGTGTGGGCTCAGCTTGTATTTGTTTCAGCAGCGTCGTTTTCGGCTCTGAAAATAGGTAAGACACCGGTGCACGTAAGCGCCCCGATTGTAACATCAACGCCCTCGTATGTGGAGCCCGATCGTGCAGGCCTTCCTCGCTTGCAACGCCACAACAGCTACCGGTACTGCAGGAACGTCACACATACCCCATGCAGCCCCCCCTTGCCCTCCCCCGCCCCTCTCTCCCCCCCCGCCCCCCTCCTCCTCCCCACCTTGAGGTAGACCTGCTGCTTGGCCTCCGCCAGCTTGGCGGTGTCGTTCTGGCTGCCGATCTTCATGTCCTCGCACACCTGGGGGGGGGGGTACCGGGGGTAGGAAAGCGATGAAGAGTAAAGCGACGGAGGGAAGGAGGGGAAGGGGGGGACATGAAGCAAGGAAGTGACTGCATGCCCGGGTGGTGTCAGCGGTAACAGCGGTGGCAGCAGCAGCATCTAAGCAGCACTAGTAGTCGTAAGCTATGACAGCTGTGCTGTGAAGCACCTGTCCACAGCCCCTGCCCGCACCACCGCACGTCCCCCCCCCCGCACGCATGCGCGCCCCCACCTTGACCGCCGCCATGTTTCCAAAGCCCGGGATGTCGATGATGGGGATGACCTCGAAGGGCATCACCCACTCGTCCTTGACGCCGTACTTCTCACGCAGCTTGGGCTTCTTCTTCAGGTCCTGGGAGGAACGAGGAGGGGGGGGGGGTAAAAATAAAGAAAGTGAGGGGTAAGGGTGAGGGGAGTGGTAATTAATAGGGATGAAGGGGAGTGGGGAGCGGAGTCATACCCTTTCAGCCCCCCCATACACACACACGTTGCCCGCCTGCACACCGGCATCTTGACCAGGACAGGAGACCGCTAGTAGCCCCCGAGCTCCCTGGCCAGCGCCGCGTCTCCACCACCCCCCACCCTCGATACAACCCCCCGGGGTGGGATGGGCCGGGTTCAATTTGTTGTTGTAGATAGGATACGAGCCGTAGCAGGCTAAATTGAGAGTTGTGAGGTACGAGAGACAGACGGTTAGTCCGTTGCTTGGTTGTGTCATGGTCGTACCGCGAGGCTTTGGACTCATGTGGCTCAGGGTACTTTGGGTCACTCGTTTGCCTCTTCCCCTGTAGTTGCAAGGTCTCCAAGAAGAGGAGCTGCGTATGACTTATGGCAAGCAGTAGTACTCTGTAAACCTGCTGTTTTCCTTCAGCGGCCAATCCTACGGGTTCAGACACACGCTGGACAGCCCCACTTGCACTAACAGGTTATGAGCCGTGGTCGTGGCGTTTCCGCCAACCGCTGCTGGTCGTGTTTGACCCGCAATCGGCGCAGGTTCGAGGGCCCGCTGTGGCCTGCTGTCCTCCCACGCCACCGGCGGCCTCAGCTGCTGCTGGCTGGACCACCGCGGCAGCGGTCGCCTTCCCGCCCGCAACCGCCGCTGCCTGAGTGCTGCGCCTCCCATTGGTACCGGCTCCAGCTTGCACCACTCCAACATGCTGGACCTCCACCGGTCTCGCAGCTGGGGCGGCGGTGTCTGTCGAGAAGCAAGCAAGCTGAGAAGTTGTGCAGGATCCGCATTTGCTCTGCCTGCATTCTTACTACTCAAACTTCCCGGCAGCTGCATTTGCTCAATGCTGCTGCTTTGCATACCGTTGTTTCCGGTGGCCCTACCTGGTACGACAAGGAAGCTGCGTGAAGGTGTCAGCTCGCTTGAGCGACTAAGCGATCCAGTTCGTCAGTTTTCCTTCACTTTAAGCCCACATAGGACCCCCGGGCATTGGCTGCCCTTACGCGGTCACCCGCAGGGGCCCCTCCCGCGCACCCCTCACCCCCACTTACCCTTCCCTCGCACCCCTCACCCCCACACCCAGTCCCCTGCAGCCCTTGCTGAATCCAACGCCGCAACCGCTGCTGAAGCCTCGGCATGCACAGCTCATCAGTTTCCCCTCCCCCCTCCCTTCCTCCTCCCCCTCCCCCCCCACCCTTACCATGAGCGCCGTGTAGTCATCCGGCGAGTCTGAGGGCACGGAGGTGACCACCCCGGTTCCCTTGTTGGTCAGGATGGTCAGCAGCGGCAGCACGTACACGCGCGGGTGCGGGCAGTGCGGCGAGGACACGGGCGTGCCGATCAGGTCGGAGCCGCTCAGCTCCAGCAGCAGCTCGGGCTGCCCGCGAACAGGGGTGCGCTCCTGGGGGGGGGGAATTAACAGGGACGAAGATTCCACATTACGCTAGATTTTAGAATTGCGCATTATCATATTTGTTGGGTTAGTAGCAGCACACAAAGTACAAACCGGGGGAGAGGGGGGAGGTAGGGGTTAAAGTGCCCGAAAGGAGGAGGGAGGGAGGAGATGCTTATGGGGCATGGGTCACATGAGGGAGTGATACCCGGCGGCAGCAATCCTCAACCCACGCCCCCCCCCTTCCCAACCCCCAAAGCGTTGCTACTCCCGTTCAAAGCGTGGCCATCTTCTCCTTCTCCTTATCCCTCCGCCAATCCCCAACCTAGCACGACAGGTTGCTAAGTCCCAACCTTGCAATAAATCGTTTCTTTGTTTGGTTTGGTTTCGTCCCCGCCACCCTCCACCAGTTAGTTGTTTCCTCTTTGCCCCCCAACCCTAAAATCCAGTGTAGTACGGAATCTTTCATCCCTATTAATCCCCCACCTGGTACGACAGGTTGAGTGCCGCCCGCTGCGTGCAGATCCACACCTCCCCGTTCAGCCCCCGGAAGGCTCCGTACTGCCCCTCCGGCAGCACCCAGCAGTTGGTCTGGCCGTACATGGTCTCGGGGCGCAGGGTGGCGGCAAGCAGGTAGACGGGGCCCGCACCCGCCAGGGCGGAGAGCTTGCCTGGGAGGGGGGGGGAAGAAATTCCAATGTGGGGGGGGGAAAGGAAAGTATAAAGGTGGGGAGGTTCAGAGGTATACCGGACCAACAGGTTACGGCAAAGCAATGGGGACAGAAGGAAAACAGTTTGGGGTGGCGGGGTGGAGAAGGTGGGGAGGGAAGGAGTCAAAGACCATGCCAAGCCAGGAGGCAAGGCGGGCAGGGTGTGAACTCCCCGCTCCCCCCCCCCGTCCCATCCTCGCAACCCCACTCCCCAACCCTCCACATCCCACCCACCCCCCATCCCCCCCACCGTTCAGCTCCAGCGCCTGCATCTTGATGAGCGTGTACTCCTGCGGCCCCACCCCCTCCCCGGAGGCGCGGTCGTGGTCGGCGCAGGGCTGGCCGTCCAGGGGGGAGTACACGGCGTACCTGGGGAGGAAGGGGGGGTAGGGGTGAAATACAGGAGGATTGAAGCAACGGAGTCCCAGGGGAGGGGATGAAAGGCACAGGAAGCACGCATGGCGAGGAGCCCCCAACCCCAACGCCACACTGTGTCCATGCGGAGTGATGTCGCCAGGCAGCCTCCACCGTCACACCTCCCATCCCCTCCCTCGCGTTGCCCGCTCCCAACCTCCCCCCCGGCCCACCCTCTTTCCCCGCCCGCCCGCCCGCCTGCAGCACGCAACCCCCTGTCACATGGCTAGCCCCTCCCCCGTCTCACGTCGTCTTTTACACCGCACGCCCGCCCCCTTCTCCCTCTCCCTTTCCCGCCCCACCTCTTGTCCTTGATGACCTTGCCTGCCCGGTACAGCGTCCAGAACTGCCAGGCCACGAAGGAGTCGTAGTAGGGGTTGACGTCGGTGGTGATGAAGGAGCGGCGCCAGTCCACCCCGCAGCCCATGGACCGGATGTCGCGGGCGGCCAGGGGGGGGAAGTAGTTCAGCCAGTGCGCGGAGTTCCTGACGCACAGGGGGTGACAGGGTAAGGGGGTGAGGGAGGGGGACGGAAAGAGGGACGGTTGGGTTCCAACCGTTCGGGCTTTAACTAAATGTCCCCACCTCTCCTGGTCCTGCATCGGTTGCCCAATGGCTTTTGGCTAATGGAGATTGGCAGGTACAACGCGGGCTGGCTTGTCTACTAGTCACAGCTGTTTTCCTCCTATTCCCTCCAACCCCCCACAGCTGTCCCAGCGGCCCCCACCCACTACCAACCACCCACCTGAAGTCGGGGATCTGCTCCTCCGGGATGCCGCTCTGCTTGAGGATCTGCCATTGCGTGGTTCCGGAGCCCTTCTTGGCGGCCGCCTTGCTCTTCTTGCCGCTGAACTTGGTCGGGTCGGCCTTGGCCTCGGGGGCGCCGGGGGCGGGGGCGGCAGCGCCGTCAGCCGCCTCCTGGGGTCAGAAATATACCCAAACCACAGGTTAGGGCAAAGCGATGGGGATAGAGGAAAGCAGTGAGATGATGAAGGTTGTTTTGTTTTCCTCCTGACACAGCTGCTGTCACTTGACTGCGAACACCTAGCCCAGCCCAGCCCTGGTACTGCGCACAAGCAGCTCCCCTCCCACAGCACACGTGCGCAGTCAGCCTCCTTCCCCGCCGCCCACTTCCCGCGGCTTCCCAGCGCGCACGCTGCCACGCAGGAATCGCTCCACTCCCAATGGTTCATTGCCCGCTTTACAAAACCGGTTTCTACACACCGCCCTCCTCCCCGGCTGTCCCCACCTCCTCCGCTGGCGCCTCCTCCGAGGGGAACACGGGCGGGCAGCCGAAGGTGGTGAGCTCGCGGTCCAACTTGTCAGCGCAGGCCTGGGGGGGAGGAGGAGGAGAGGGAGGGGAGGAGGCGGAGGGCGGAGGGGGGATTAGGAGAAGACCCATGCAGTGAAGGGGCGGAGGGGAGGGCGCACAAGGCGAGGAGGAGGCACTGTGAGGGAGGCCACCGTATGTTCGCCGGCATATCCCCACTCCACAGAGCCCCACCCGCCCCCCCACCTTGATGGGCATGCCTGTGCAGTGGAAGGCCTGCGGGAACAGCACGTTCTTGCCGCTCAGCCGCTCATAGGCAGCCTTGAACTCAAGCTGGGGGGGAGGGAGGGGAGCGAGGTGGAGGAGTGTGAGGAATCGGCTGGCGAGGAGAGCTGGGGGGTACGTGGCGCCGCGGGAGCATACGTGGACGGGCAACCGCCACCCATCCAGCATGTACCGTACATGAAAAGTACATAAATGCCCTGACCCAGATCGACCCAGATCGCGCCTTCGGTGGTAGAGATTGCACCTTCGCGTGGCAGTTCATTCCGCACATGCGAGCAGTTAACCCAAATCCAGAGCACTCCCTCACCCCAACTCTGCCTGCATTACTGCCTTTCCCTTATCCCCTCCTTACTGCCTTTCCCTTATCCCCTCCCTGCCGGCTGCCGCCCTCCCAAGCGGCCAGACCAGCGGCTAGTCCCCAGCCGGACCGCCCTGCCCCTACCTTGGAGAGCGAGAAGGCGTGCCCCAGGTGCAGCAGGCCGTTCATGTAGGGGTAGGGGAAGTTACCAAAGAACTTGGGGCGGTCGCCGTCTGCACAGGGGGGCGGAGGGAGGAGAGGGGAGGAGAAGAGGAGAAGAAACGACTCACGAACCGTGTGATAAGGCGTCATCATGGCTTGCAACATGTGAGTGGAGGAGTGGGGGGCCGCCTTGGTTTGGGCGCAGCGGAGCTGTTTCCAGGTCACGACATCGCGGGATGTGGGGTGTGAGATTGTACGGCAGGGGGCAGGGGAAACCGAGGCTTGCTGGGAGCAGCCCCGCCCCCAAGCTGTGCCACCGCAACCACCATCACTACCCGCATGCAGCATACTACCCACGCAGCCAGGTTTCTGAAGTAAGCAGGTGTGGGCTGGCTTGACGCTGTGCGGTCCGGTACAGCTTAGCAGGGCCCGCCTTTTGCGCGGTGAAACCCAATCTGCCCTGGGCCCCAGCCCAACGGTTACCACCACCCCCCCGGAACCCCTGCAGTACAACTGGATCCTGACACCCCGCCACTCCACTGCTTCTCACCAACGGGAGCATCCGCCTCGAAGACCTTCTCATCCTCCCACTGCTTCTGCGCCTGCGCCTGGATGCTCAGCAGCAGGTCGCGACGCGCGCGGTTCTCCTTAGCGCCCTGCAGCGGAGCACCGCGCAGATTTCATGATCAGCCGGCCTCTTTAGATCGATTGCGAAGTTTGGTTTCTGGGAGTGTAGGTAATGCGGGCCCTGGGCATACCTCAGGCGCGGCGGCGGTCGTCGAGGCCATCTCAGCGGCAACCGAGTCAAAAGTGTTATGGTGCTTTCTAACTGCGCTGCTTTGGGTTAACACAGTCTGACGTCGGGTGCAGGCCGTAAACGCAGCAAGCAGTTGGCTCCCACTCCGGCAAGTACGCATAAGCGGCTTATCAGTGCACGCCGCGTCCTACCGACGTGAAAAGGCCTACTAATGGCCTGAAAAGGAAACCAAATAGTTACAGCAGAGCAACTTCTGCAGAGCCGGTTTGTACGACACTGCTTGCGCGAAATTTTATTTACGTGCTGACTTCTGCTCTCAAATCTTATCCTTTGAACACAGCCGTTCAATTTCTTGTGCTCACAAGAGTGGATCCCGGCACTACCGGTACTCGTTGTTTTGATGATAGCAGCTGGCTGATCGACGGACCTGAAGAAACAGCGCTTATACCTAGTGGCCTCCGAAATTCACTACTCGATTAAATTACCTTTTTTGTTTCCTCAACTGTGTCCTTCCTGAGCCTTTGGCCAGTCGGTGTACGGTCTGCTACAAAGAGCTTGTGTGCTAATTACGACAACATATCCCGCTGTCCTTTCTGATAAGGCAGGACACCTTATCCTCATCGTTGAGGGCGGACGCCCTCCAGACAGCGAGCCAAGTTACATGTGCGTCCTTCAAGCAGCATGTCCGGCAAGGCGTTATTAATCCCGTCCTCCTCCGCTTGTTCCACCCCAACCTTACCGCGCCTTATCCAGCCACTGCCGCGCTCTTGTCACGCTGCCCCTCATCCCAACCAAACCAAAGCCTCAGTCCAACTTTCAATTCAATCAACATCCCGTCCATTATTCAACCGCTCTTAGCGCCGCATCCAGCAGCGGTACATAAGCAGGAGACAGGTGCGTGCCATCGAACGCCAGATCCGGGCGCAGCATCCACCCCGCAGCTCCCGCACCTCCACCCGCCTTTTCCCTCCCCTTCTCACGCCCACCCTCCTGGCCACCGCCCACCATCTTCCCGCCCTCAACCGCCCCCTCCTCAGCACCCCCCGCCACCACCGCGCCCTGCACTCCTTCCTGCCCCTTCGCGCCAGCCCTCTCCACCCCCTTCCCGCCTCCAGCCTCATCCACAACCACCGCTGCCCCCGCCGGTAGCTGCTGCTCCGCCCCCCTCGGCACCAACAGCTGCTCGAAAAAGTCCAGGTAGTGTAGCCGCCGCCGCAGCTCCGGATCCGCAGCGCGCGCCGCCTCAATCGCACGCCGCAGTGCCGCCGTGAAGGGCGTCACGACGGCACGTGTTTCGTTGAGCACCGGCGGCACCGGGTGAACGAAGATCTCCAGGCCGCGGGGGGCACCAGCAGCAGCAGCGGCAGCAGCAGCAGCGGCGGCGGTCCCGACCGGAGGAGGAGAAGGAGGAGGCGGCGGCTGCTGTTGCCCGGGGCGCTCCGAAAGGGGCTCCGAACCCCCTGATGGTTCTGATAATGGTCCCGAAGAAGGCTGCAGCAGCAGCGAGCGCAGGAGGTCCATGTAGATGCCCACGGTGGCCTCGATGCCAGCTGCCACGCTGTCGTACTGGTGTGGGGAAAAGGAGTGAGGAGCGATGGGAGGAAGGATGTGAGGGATGGGAAGGAGGGTGGGAGAAGGGAGGAGGCTTGTTGGGCTGTGTACATGCGTGCGAGCGCAAGGTGGGCGGGGGCGTGAGGGACGGGTGTGTGATAAGAAATAGACCGCGAGTCGGGACATGATTGCCGGGGTGTGTGCGTGCGACTGTGATACTGCAGGCGGGGCGGGTGAGAGACGTGACGGGAAAGGCCGCACGAGCGTCCCTGCGATAGGGTGCCATTGCCAATGCACCTTTCATACACATACCGGCATACAGACGCCCCCAGCGCCCCAGCATGCCCTCCCAGGCTTCCTCCGCACCACCGCCCGAACCGCGCAAACCCTCCCTACCAGTACCTCCCTCCTGCCCCCTCACCTTCCCCTTCTGCACCGCCAGCAGCAGCCCCTCCCGGCAGTCGATCTCACCCAGCACCAACACCACCTGAACAGCGTACGGCACGGCACGGCATGGTACGACAGGCAAAGGGACGCAGCATAGGGTACGGCACACCTTTGCTTGCATACCCAGGTATGCTTTCACACCACCCCGCATGCTGTTACACAGTGCGATAAAGTACGACTCAATCGTGCACACGTCGTACCCATGAAACCGCCCTCCCTCCTTCCCCCACCCCCCGGTTCAGGGTTCCGCACCTGAGCTCCCTGTGGCAGCAGTCGCATGGCGGCTTGGAACTGCCGCTTGGGGTAGAAGCAGCTGCTGGGGCGCAGGTGCCACACCTGGGGGGAGGGCAGGGGGGCCGAAGGAGGGAGTCGGGGTGTCTGGTTTGGGATCTCTGGATGTGCCCAAGCAGCGGGGGCGGGTAACGTGTACGGGCGTGCTTGTACTGTTGTACGGTGTCGGAAGGGTTGTGCGGTGCCCTGCCGTACCTTGCACCCGGTGACCAGCAGCGGCCGCAGCAGGCGGGGCTCCCCTCGCAGCGTCACCACTCGCCAGGCGGCTGCGGGGATGGGGGGTGGGGGTCAAACAGCGGAGGGGCATGCAGCGGCGGAGCAGGTACCGGTAGCGGCTGTAAGGCTTGTCGTTCGGACCCGGGGAAGGGGGAGAACCGCAAGGAGAGGATCAACTAACTGCCGATCAGGAGGGTTCTGCGGGACGAGCCGACAAGGTACCTCAGCCACTCCTGCCCGCACCCACCTGACAAGCAGTGCGAGTCTCCGCACAGGAACAGCGGCCGCAGCGCCCCGGCCACACCACCCTCCACTGCTCCCTCCGCTGCACCCCCATGAGCGGAACAACCCGAGGGTAAGGGCGACGATATCAGTGGCAGCGCCGGTTGCTCCTGCTGCTGCTGTTGCTGCTGCTGCTGCTGCTGCTGCGGAGACGACAGTGGTGGCGGCGGCGGTGGCAGCGACTGCTCCTGCTCCTCCTGCTGCTGCAGCAGTGGTGTCAGCGGTGTCAGCGGTGGCGGCGGTGTCAGCGGTGGCGGGTGGTCCCTCAGCAGCTGCATGACGCAGCCGAAGTAGGCCGCCTCGTTGCGGATAAGGGTGGTGTGCAGCTCCACGGAGGAAGACCTGAGGGGCAGGAGAAGGGGGAGAGGAACCGCAAGGAGGGGTGTGGGGTATGAGATGAGGGATGTGGGAAAAGGACAGAAACCCATACTCCGCACGATAGCAACAGCAGTACCCGGTTTTAAGCCCCTCGGTGAGAACGGGAAGAACGACCCATGGGCCACCCCCCCCTTCTCCAACACCCCCGCTGCCCCTCACCTCCTCAGCGGCTCCACACTCTCACACAGCTCCGCAGCCGCCCGCAGCGCCCCGCCCACGAACAACACCTTGGCCAGTGCGAACAGCAGAGCTAGCTCGTCCAACTCATCCGCGCTGTACGACACCTTCACTGTGTCCTGTCCTTCTTCCTGCTGCCCCTGCCTCCCCTGCAGCTGCCCCTCCCGCCCCTCATGCTGCTGTTCCTGCTGCAGCTGCCACCAGGTGAGGTCGGAGGCGCTCCGGAGCTCGGGCAGCGATTGCAACATGGAGTCCACGTCCTTGGGATTGCGGATGGAGGGGGGGATTGTGGAGGGGAGGTGTGGGGAAGGTGTGTGCAGGGATGGGGGTGTAGCTGGGTACGCATGCAGGTAGGTGCCGTTGTAGGTGGCCACGTGAGAGGTGCGACACAAAACATAGCTCACCCTAATTCCCCGGCATCACAAGCACAAAAGCCAACGCCAACACACGTAGCATACCGTAACATACAGTCAACATACACCACCAAGCCCCCTCCCTAGCCCCTACTGCCCGGACCCTACCCACAACTCCCCTCCTCCTCACCCTCAGCTCCAGCCTGTTCGCCCCCGCCCCCAGCCCGCCTCCCGCCGTACGGCAGTAGCTCCTGCCCGCCGCTAGCGCCCCCTGCAGGTCCTGCCGTAGCTCCAGAGCATGTACGAGATTGAGGCTGTAGCTGGCGTTACGGGGATGCAGCTGTACGGCACATTGCAGCAGCCGGATGCAGCTGTCCACCTGACAGCGGGAGAGGGAAGGGTTGAGGAGGGGGTTGATGGAAAGGGATGGAGGGGCAGGGGAGCAGGGCTGCAGGCGGAAAGGAAAGGGTGCCCTACCTCATCCGTCCTTTCGTCCCCTCTGTGCACGGCCTATCCCACCCACCTGGCCCTCATCCTTGACGGAGTTGGCCACGAAGCCCAGAGCCGCAGCGGAGGAAGCGGCAGCAGCAGCAGCAGCGGCAGGGGCAGCAGCCGTACCAGCAGCAGCAGCAGTACCGCTGACGCCGCCGCCCCCGCCGCTGCCGCCCCCGCATGCCTGCTGCTGCTGCTGCTCCCCCGCTGTCAGCGGCACATTGAGTTCTTCGAACAGCAGCGCACAGCCCTCCTCGTCCTGAGGCAGGGGACAAACAGCGAGTTTTCACTACACGCCTGCGGGCACACCCCTTCCACCCCACCACATGGACCGTCTTTCCTTTGCCACCGCATCTGCAGCAGGCACCCCGGCTCCCCACCTGCAAGCACTCCGCCAGCAGGGCCTTGCCCTCCCGCTGCTGCGGCCGCCCCACCACCAGCCGCAGAGCCACCCGCAGCGCCTCATCACGCATGCCGCGATCCGCCGCGATCCTGCCGTACAACCGTAACGCCTCCCAGCAGCCGGGATCCGCCTCCAACGCGCCCATCACCAGCGAGGCCGCCAGATCGTGATTGTCGTACGGCGGTACGACAGGCGAGCCGCCGCTCGGGATGTCGTACAGGCAGGCAGCTAGGGAGACGCGCAGTCGCAGTTGCAGTTGTTGGATGGAGGAGGAGGAGGTGGTGGCATCGTTGCCGGCCCCAGCACTGCTGCTGTCACCACCGCTGCTACTGCTCCCGCTACTGCTCCCGCTGCTGCCACTGCTCGCTCGCTCCTCCAGCAGCTCCAGGGCAGCCTGGTAGTGCAGCACCGCCTCGCGAGGTCGGCCGCCCTCCCTGCAGCAACCCAGACAGCAAAGCCAGCAGCAGCCAGTCAGCAAGGCCGGGTAGCCAGTCATACCAGACAGCCGGCTGTACCAGACCGTATACGGCAAGCCAGAGCCACCCAGGACCTAGCCTAGCGCTTCCTCAGTCCAGCAAGGCTGGTGTCCTTTCTCCTCGCCTTGCCCCATGCACGGCCTGCGCACTGCTGTCCAAGATATCCTCCTCCAGAAGGCGGCAGCCAGCGATGCACGTACCGGTCAGGCCCTCGCCGACCCTCACAGCCCCGCCTCAAACCTCCTCCGCCACAACCCCACACGCTCCCCTACCCCCTCCCATATACGGTGCGCAGTCGATTCACCGGCATTTCAGCCACGTGCGAAATACTCATTCCCGTCCCTTCTCCCTCCCGCCCCCGCCCCGCACCTCAGGCAATCCCCCGCAAGCTGCAGCACCCCCACGTCCTCCTGCCGCGCCTGCACCGCCCGCAGCGCCCAGGGGGCCGCGGCAGCCGGGTTGCCCGCAGCCAGCCACATGCGGGCCAGGCGCTGCAGCGAGGCGACGTGCAGGGGCCCGGAGGGGCGCGGCAGCAGCAGCAGTGCCTGCAGCAGGAGGGCGGGGGAGCAGATGGGTGGAGAGGAGGATGGAGGGGAGGGAGAAAGGGGGCTAAGCAGGGAGATGCTGAGGTGGGTTTGGATGAGCCAGGCTGAGATGTGGAGCGGGTCCGAGTAAAGGGGTTCATAGTAGTGGAGCAGAGGAGTGGTTCTCCATTCTTGTGGGGCGTGGGCTTGGAGTCGTACACCCCGGGGTGTACGACAACATGGTACGGCATCAGCAGTACGGCTCAGCTGAGATATATGTACGGTCTCTACAGCACGCCCGAGCAGCTGTCAGCTAATGAACTAAAGCTACAGCAGCTTCCCTCCAGGCGCACATCCGCTAGGTCCGTACCTGCTGCAGCGCCTCCGCCCCAGCCCGGTAGTTTTGCTGCGCTGCTGCCTCCTCGGCTCGCACCCACAGCGCCCGCACCAGGGGAAGCAGCTGCTCCTCCGGCAAATCGGGCAACAACGGCTGCCGCTGCTGCTGCTGCTTTTGCTGGGGTTTGTGTGGCTGTTGGGCCTGATGCTGTTTAGAAGGGTTGCAGGAAGCGGACCCCTCTGAGGTGCCGTTGTGCGCTTGGGTTTTTATAGCTGTAGGTGCAGTGCCAGCGGCGGCATGCTGATCCTGTTGGGGAGATGTGGCAGTGCTCGGGCGGGCGGCCTCTTCCGGAGCTGTGGTGGCCGCAATGTTAGTCACTGCGGCCTGGCTGGGCGTTGACTCAGCAGCGATGCTTGAGGTGGTTGTGGTTGTACGGACGCATCCAGACGACATTTCCCCAGCATGACCCTGCTGTCCATTGAGGCGGAAGAAGACGTCGTCTCCGCTGGATAACACGTCTGAGAGCAAAGAGCTCATCGGTAGGGACCGGCCATCAGGTCCTGACAGAAGCAAGGGGATTGGCCCGCTGCCGCCTAGCGTCGGATGGCGCGCGATGAGAGCATCCCAGCAAGCAACCCGCAAGTCAGCAACCGCGGAATTGTCCGATAGTTTTAAGACCTGTCATGGACATTACACGCTTTTAGCAATATCGTGATCACGGCGGCAAACGCAAACATGCTATGCTGGAATGTTGCGAACCTTCGTGAATGGTGAGCCTTCATCTCCAACCCAGTGAACGTAAACCTTCATCATTTACAAAAGTGCGCCGGAAACGCAGCTTGTCGGCTACGATGGGTTGTTCGCAACCGTTGTCCTACAAACGCTGAAGGCACATCGCGGCAACTGGGAAACAGGAGGGTTATTAGGCGCCAACAAGTGCAAGGCCGCAACCTCTGAACCTCATTGCAGTTGAACGATGCACAGCGACGGGGTTTCGGCAACCGGTGTACGTCATGCGCTGTACACCGACTATCGTATGGCGTCAAACGCTGCTGTGCAAGCCCTGCAATATAACTAGCGTGGAGTGTCGCAGCCGTCTGTGGAGCTCTTGTCTCCTTTGGCACCGTATGCATCTTGGTGGGGGAAGGGGCACCAGCCCCTTCCCCCATACCCCCATCCCCCCTTACGTGCATGCGCAAAAGTTATTACCTTTCAAACTCCTCCGGTGCATTAGGGGAAGTACGGTTGCGCTTTTTATCGTTGCCTCTGACCTGTTGTTGCACCTTTTCCTTCCATTCCCCGGTTTCCTCACTGTGACTTCTTGTTGCAATTCCTTGGAGATGTTGACATGTTTAACTCTTAGCTTTCTTGTCTGCATCTTATGGCTTCTTATCGTTGTTCCTCTGGATTGTCGCTTAGTTGCAAAGTTTTGATGGTTTGGCGTCCATGCTCAAACGCAGGTGTTATGTAAGTTAGGTACCGTTGCAACTGGTTCCTCGCATGCAGCCTGCATGCTGATTGGGAAAGGGACTGCGCTTGTTGAGCGCATGTCGATGGCGTCGTTGCTAAAGCTTATGCCTTCGATAGCTGCCGTAGCTATGCCTTATGTTAATTTCCTGTTGCAGCTTTTGCTTATCGCTACCTGTTGTCGTGAGAGGAGCTGCTGCTTGCTAGCCGCAATGCAGTACACTAAGCCTTCTTGCGATTTTAGCCAGGATCCGCATTTGCTCTGTCTGCATTCTTACTACTCAAACTGCCCAGCAGCTGCATTTGCTCAATGCTGCTGCTTTGCATACCGTTTTTTCCGGTGACCCTGGTACGACAAGGAAGCTGCGCGAAGGTGTCAGCTCGCTTGAGCGACTGAGGCTGCGAACCAGCTTCTGTGACATATTCCGGCTTGCTTCTGCACACAAAGGCTAACTAACGAGGTGGCGCACCCATACAACACCTACCTGAGCACTTATGCCTTGGGGAGTAATCTGCAGATTGCCATGCACCAACGCTTGATGGGGGTATAGAAGGCGGAGCGGAAACGTAGATCCAATGCAGCCTGGAGGGACGTAGGGGTTGGCCAAGCACCAGCTGTGTGCCTTTCATTCAATCGTCCCTTCCGCTCCAGCATTCAGTTAACACACTAATCAGCAAAGTGTTGCTCAAGGGGTAAGGAGTGTTGGGAAGACAAAAGCGCTGAGCTGAATGTACAACAGAGAGGCACATACCGGCATGGTTTGCCTACCTCCAATGCGAACGTATGAACAGATATTCGAGATTACTGTCCGTTAGCATGTATGCAAACTACAGTATGTGAGCCTCTGCATGCGGAACCAGCTGGCATCATCTGGGCAAAAACACAGTCAGTCGAGCAGTGTACGGCACAACTTTGTAGCGGTGTTCCAAATCCATCAGTAATCGCTTCTGCTTTTATCAAGTGCGTATATACTCAGTGCACTGTTTATCAGACAAGCCAGTCAACATCCACGGCGGCTGCCGGTCATTACTGTGGCAACTTACACTGACGAGTATCTCATTCTCGCTCGCCATCATAAGCTTTTTTTTATAAACTCTTGCATTTTGTTTTGTAATACCAACTAGAGTAACAATGTTGGCTCAGCGAGTTGCGTGGCTGATGCGGGGGTCGGCAGCGCGGCTAAGCGAGCAGGCGTCTTGTGCAGTATTCGCATCAACTTCATCTCGCGCGTTTTCGGCTCAGCCCCAACCGAGCGCTGGCGCTGACGCCAAGGCCGACGCCGACAGCATCGGCAACGCGAAAGTGCAAAAGCTTGCCGAGGAGATTATGGGACTGACAGTGCTGGAGTGCAGCTGGCTCTCTGAGATTCTCCGAAAGAAGCTTGGCGTGCAGCAGCCGGCGTTCGGGGCCATGCCTGCGATGTCGTTCGCAATGCCTGCGGCGCAAGCAGGAGGCGCGGCACCTGCTGCTGCGCCTGCTGCTGAGAAGAAGGAGGAGCCAAAGAAGGAGAAGACCGAGTTTGACGTAAAGCTTGAGGCGTTCTCAGCTGAGGGGAAGATCAAGGTCATCAAGGAAATCCGCGCGCTTACCAACCTGGGTCTGAAGGAGGCAAAGGAGCTGGTAGGTGGGGGTGGCTCAAGTGCAACTCGATGGGCTGATAATAGGCAAGGAGGAGATGATACTACCGTGTATAGCTGACACGTGAGGGTTGTAGGTGCAAGCTGCTTGTAAAGGTTGATGTTGTAACCTGTATTCCCCTCCCTCCGCAGGTGGAGAAGGCGCCAGTGGTCATCAAGGCGGGCGTTTCCAAGGCGGACGCTGAGGCAATGAAGAAGCAGCTCGAAACTGGTAAGGGGTGTTTGAAGCCAGTTCCCGTAACTATCTCTATGCTAAACGGCAACATGACAGCAGCCAGGGTCATGCATACATTGTACATAACCACACACGTTGTCGCAATGCAATTTAAGGAAGATGTCATTGGGAACCTAAGGGGTTTAAAAGAATGATGCAACAAACGGCGGGCCGTTGTTGACCTGTGCAATTGTATCGTGGAACCCCTCTAGGGCAGTTTCTGGGTTTCTTAAGCCTCTTGCTGAACAACACCCTTATGCCCGCCCTCGCCTTACTCCCGCGCAGCTGGCGGGAAAGTGTCCTACGAGTAAGCGGATGTACCTTCTGACGGAGCCGGAGCGCTTATTGGTCGTAGCGTATCAACTCATTTTCTCATGGAACGGCCCCGCATGGCATGGATTGCGAAGGGTGCGCCAACCACCGGATTTGATGCATGCGGTTGACAACTGCGGCGAGCGCTATTAGGGGCATTGGGCCTTAGCTATGTTGCGTCCCTTTTAGGGTAGGACTTGGGTGACGGAAGGAGCTAGGAGCTATCGTACAATGCGTGCGGGTGGCAACAAGCCGTTACCGAGGCTTTATGTGGTATGATGAGGGACAATGTAAGGAGTGGTTACCAATAGACGTGCTGCAGATGTCGAGAGACTGTGGCCAATATGAGGTGCATGAGTTTTCTACTGTAAACTCTATTAGGTCTTCCCATCATGAGCACATATCGTGTTAAATTATGCAGTTGTTACAACAAGACGTGCGTTACATCTTACATGTCAACAGTTTGGCAGACGACAAGAGAAAGACGTTGATGAGCAGCCGTCGCCGTCAGAGCTGCTATTGCCATTACACTCACCCATATAGGCCATACGGTTAACCCATTACCCTCAGCATACCTGCCACGCGCTAATTCGACATCCCGCCGGAATGCAACGGCTCACCGCTACCCGTAGCGCTTTTGGTAATGCACAATGCGCAAGCTGGCGCAGATACAAAAAAAAGTCAAAATACGCGACCTCACGCAAATGCGCATAGGTAGACATGCGAGACTGGTAACCACCTGCGCCCGAGTGCGCCCGTACGGCACTAGTGATCACGACTTCTATGATTGTACGATACTGGGCAAAATTCAGTCTTGCCTCAGTGCAAAGAAGGCCAGACACACACTCTCGTAAGGAAGAAAAGATACGAGCATCGCATGCCATGATACCAATAGTCGCAACACGTATGTAACGGGGAACATCATTGGCAATCCTCCACCACCAACGGGAAGGGACTCGAGGTGTGACCAGCCCCAGTCCCTAAGTACAAAGCAGAAGATCAATGCGTCCATAAAACGGGCCACTACGTCACGTTGCTAAATGAACAATCTCTCTGCGGCATTTCCACCATGCAACAGGCGACGCCGCAATGGATTACGGCGTACATGAGGCGTGTCCTCTATACACATGACATCGGCAACGGTCAAATGTTTCTAGCAAAGTTAAGACAAAAACGGTCAGCATGTGTCCCTGCATTCATGTTCCAACACTACCTACGGTGACACACCCGCATGCAGCAGGACCTAAACAAGTCCAACGACCTGCCGGCAACTTGGAACGGCGAAAGTTAACCAAGCTCCCATACATCCACAATTCCCTGCTGCGTGCACCCGCTCATGAATGCATAAGTCGAGATACTCGTCTCTTGCAAAGTCTATATGGAACTTAGTAGCGACAAGCAGCACACGGATATTATAACCCCTGCTGCTACCACTACGAACATCAAGCAGCGCCGGGCTTGCTCCAGATCTCCTTAATCATCGGAAGCAGGTCGGGACTGACGTTGACCTGGTTGTGGGGCCCAACAGGACCGTTTGTAGGAGCGCTCCTGGAAAGATGCGCGTTTTCTACAGCTGCCCCGCCGCCGGACTGCGATGTGCCTGCAACTGGAAAAGCCGTTCCCGTCGCGGCGTAGGGCCCGTTGGGATTAACCTCGTAGTTAACGCCATCGCGTCCAGGGATGGGCTGCGGCACGGCGGCTCCGGCGCTAGTCACCGGTGGTACAGACCCGCTGCTGCCCAAGCTAGGGAGCATGTTGTTCCCAGATTGACCGTTGGAGCCGTTCACGGCTGCGGCGGCCGCCATCATACGGGCGCTCTGTGTAAGCAACGACAGGATTCAATGTTTTGTCAGAGAAATAGGACACCAATCAAAATATTGAACAGTCGGAGGAGACCGTCATTCACCACAGCGTTGCAAGCAATCGCACCTGGTTCTGAGCCTGGGCCTTTGCAGCAGCAGCCAAAGTCTCGGCGAAGATGCTTTGGTTTTCTACGTTGCCGGAAAGCAGAGCCGCAAACTCAGGCGGCACCTGGCCAGGAGGCAGCGGAGGCCGCCTCATGCCTGAAAAGTGCAACAGGTGGTTGTCACAACGTTGTAGCAAACGCTACATAGCTAACGATTGACAACAACTGTACCTGCATCTGGGCCGCTGCAAAACTGGTTCATGCCCATGGGCTTGCCGTAAATGCCTGGCGCCACTCCCGGAGCACCTTGACCAATCATGGTTTCGTTGCCGGATGGCCCTCCGCCACTGCTTGCCGGTCCATGTGCTCCAAGGCCTGGCAACTGGGCCATATGTCCGAAAGCTTGCATGTTGGCGGCCGCAGCTGCCATGCGTTGCTGGGCGGCCAAGTTCGTCATCATAGCTGCTTGCTGCGCAACGGACATTGCCTTCGGCGCCCCCGGCATGCCTGGCCATGGCCCCGAAGGCTGATCGTTGACCAAAAGCGTATCGTTTGCGTTGTCGCCCGTCATGCTCGCGGACCGTCGCCGCCTGCGTGGATCAACACATGTCAAAAAAATCAGTGCAGTGGAGGAATTGGGCAAAAAGTAATGAGATAAAGACTCACCCTCCAACGGCGGCGGCAGCGGCCTCCGCAGCGGCAGCCGCGGCAAAACCGTTTTGCTGCATGGCAGCCTGCGCCGCAAGCATTTGATTGACGGCGCCTGGTCCCGCCGCAGCAAGGACATGGTTAAAGGCTGCATGGTCCGCGCTCAGGGATTGGGATAGGCGTGGCGCCATGCCAGGCAATCCACCCATGCCTACAAAACCCGGACCGTTGGCCATGGGAATGCCAGCCAGCGGCGCTGTTGAACCAGCCAAGCCAGCCCCAGGGGCCTGTGCGGCGATGGGAGCACCGTCCGAGGACATCGTGTTTCCCAAAAAGCCGGGGGCCGCCAAGAAGGCTATGTTGTGAGAGTACTTGCATGTTGCTCCACGGTTGCAGCGGCCCCTGAAAAGGGGGGCAATAGCACCATTTAGCAAGAAGCGGGCACAGCCGGCAGCAACAGTGCGCGGGAAAGGGTACGTTAGCTGAGCTAAGAAGCCTACCTTAGGTAATCGTAGCAGACTTCGCCGGCCTTGGGCTGCGCACTGCCGCCACGGGCCATCCGCGCGATTAGGCTGAGGTCATGGCTGTAGCGGCACTCAGCACCTCGCTGGCACACCCCCTTGACGAAGTCGTAGCAAATGGCGTTTGGCTTCGTGCCCTTGTTCTCCTTGGTGCCATTGTTGTAGACCTGCACAACAAGTATGACGCATGTCATCTAAAAGCGAAGCGATATGTGCAGGGGTATGTTGTATATGCAGTGTTGTGCTGTATGTCGTGCCGACATCTGATTTACAAGAGCGCATGGCGCAAGTGTGATATGCATGTATTGAAGACCCTGCCCTATACATACCCACCCCCCTCAGGCCTACTCAGAACCCAACTTGCCTGGCACTGTTGAGCAATGTTTGACAGGTCGTGGCTGAAGCGGCATAGCAAGCCCCGGTGGCACTGGTTGCGCAGGTAATCGAAGCAAATTCCCTTCTCCTTGCTGTTGAAATGGACGATGGTTGCAAGGTCGTGCGAGTACTTGCACTTTTCACCCCGGGAGCAGACGCCCTTGGTAAAGTCGAAGCAGATTTGGGCTTTGCCTTCCTGAGAGCTCGATTGCCGTGCACCGTCGGTTTGGCGCGCAGCGGTCGCCCCTGAGTAGGTGTCCAGCACAGAGTTGCTGTCGATCTGGCAGTTAAGATTGTCGGCAGCTGAGCTTGATTCCGACGAGCTATATTGGGTAGTAGCCTCGGCCGAGCTCAAGAGGTCACCAGGCTTTCCAAGCAGGACATTAGGGTCTACTGCACCGCCTCCAAGGTTCGCCTGCGCAAAACCGAATGCGCTTTGTTAGACATCGAAGATAATTATAATTGTTGGAGAACCGGGCATACATGGTTAAAGGGCGCCACATAACTCGTCCGGTAAATTCAAACTGAAAAAGTCGCCAGAAGCAGCCTTTCAGGCTGGGCGTGAGAACTAGAAAGCCTAGGAACAAAGCTTGTAGAGCCACGATATGTCATAGAGAGGATGCAGTTAAAATGGTCTGCTATGGTGACCTGCCATGGGAACCACCCCAAAGAAGGTAACAGGTTCCTAACGCAGATTCAGTTACTTATGTTTAGAGTATATACTGGAAGCTTATACCAGCCTACCTCATGTAGTCGCTGCGTCAGTTGCATCAACGCTGGGTTAAATGAGGTATCCATGTTGAACCGTCGAGGGCGGCGGCGGGGTCCCTAACTCCAGTAGACCAAAGTTAACAGAACGAGTAGTTCACTGCGCTGCTGGCTCAAAACTATGCACTTGGCGGCATCCCTTGAATTTTGCGGTCAAGATTAAGGTAAACACCAGTCACTATCAATACATATGCTACAATTAGGATACGCAGCTCACAGCAAGTAGTAACCCGGTGCAGGCCAGACGTTCGCACATACCTGAATCAAAATTATGCCGTACGGCAGTACAGCAATAGCAAATCCAAGGTGAAATTCTATGGCTTTTGAAAATCTACCACCAACACCGATAGCTCTTCGCATGACGCCTCTGACGAAACTAAGTGTCTAATGTATTTCATCTAGACTCCTAGCATCGGGCTTACTTCGACAAGAGTTAAGCTTACAAAGGAGGATTACACCGTGCTAGATATCTTATAATTTAATTATTAAAGTTTCTGTCTTGTAGAACGATAGTCAGTGCATACTTTCTAATATATCTCCTCACCTAGATAGACGGAACACAACTCGTCCGTTCCATCTGCTGTGACACCCGAAATGGGTAGGATGTTGAGGCGTTGCGAGCTTACATCTCGTCCTCCTTATACACTGTTCTTTCATGGCTTGTCAGGCCACGTACAACCAACTGTAGCAGTCCGACTACGCAAAGAATGTTCCCACTTGTAATATGGCCTCCCTAGTCATTGTGACAACCGGCCGATATGTTATTCTTAAAACATTTGTGTCGGGTCACTCTGCTGTGCTTCGACTGTGTCATCCTATATACTACCTAACTAGATAACGTCTTGGTATTTAGGTATTACATTATTGATATATCTATCAAAATAGCTTTTCCGCCTGCATACTGCAGCTGCGAGGCCTTCTTATGTCCCTGGGAAGGGTAGTGTAAGGCACCCTGGCTGGTGTAGACAGGAGAAATACGTCAATCTCAATTCTGGTAGAGCTAAGCTAGAGGACCCTTATTACCGCATTTTCGAGTTCCCGTTTGGCAACCCCAAGGTCGACCAATGTTGTCAGACCGTTATTTCCAGCAAGCGCACAACTGAGGCCCACCGAGACTATAAGTGTTAGGACACCAGCATAAGTTCAGCCAACTTCGAACTACCTAGCCGAATTGGTGAAATTGCTAGCAGACGCTTCGCTTCGTTGCAAGCCGTTCGTAAGGTGTATTATTCCCGTTACACCTTACGAATTCCGTTTTTAGCAGGAGCAGCACAGCAGTCACGAATCGCAACTGGGAGCAATGAGGCTATGCGCAAGCGTCGGAGCGCTTGCAGGCGGCAGATGTCCTAGCAGACGCCTGCGACCGAACGTACGGTCAACTCCTGCGCCTATTGCTGTGCATACCCTACATCGACAGCTATCGCAAATGGTGCTCCTGTTGCCTCTGCTATTGCTGACGGCAGTTATGTTTCCGGAGCATGCGCTTGCTAAAATGTCGGTAAGTCGGTGGTGCAGCGGGAAGGAGCGGAGGAAAGAAGCGCGGTTAGGTCGCGGCTGTTGAATACTTTGGAGGGAATAGTGATATTGTGGGAGGTGGGCTGCCGCAGCGCCCGCAGGACGATATACGAACGGAACCCCACTCAGCAGTCAGCACATACAACCTTGCTTAGCCCTTATCACCACCTCCCAGCTACCCATTTCCTTGCCTCCTTGCTGCACACTATCAGCCGGCCCGTTCCATCCCGCACTCATCTACGGCATCCACCTTCTCTAAGCCATGGGGCTGCGGCTGTTTACGCTGCGCTCAGGCCCACTCTGCCCTCCTTCCTTACAGCCCCCATGCCCACCTCCCCTCCCACCTCCTCCCGCCTGCAGCCGCCGCCCCCCAGCCCCGCCTCCCCGCCTCCCGCTCCGCAGCAGCCTAACTTTGTGCTGATCCTCACAGACGACCAGGTGAGGGCCGCTGGGCAGGCAGGGGAGGGGGGATCAGCAGGGGGAGAAAAAACACATGGAGGGAGCACACACGGGACCGCAGCTGGCAGCAGCAAGCAAGCCAGCATGGACGTCAACACGCGCGTTAGCACAAACGCCTGGCCACAAAGCCCACCCAGGGTGTCCACCGTACTACTACGGGAGGCCCTACCCACCGCCTGACTACGGGAAGCCACCGCCTCTGCCCAACCCCTGCCGCACCCCCTCACCCGCTCGTGTCTCCACCTTCACATTCCCAACTCCTCAACCCGTTTACCGCTCCTTCCTTACCCCACACCCCCCACACCCCACCCGCCCCCACAGGACGAGGTCCTCAACTCCACGCACGCCGCCTACATGCCGGCACTGCAGCGGCTGCTGGGCTCCCGCGGCACTCGCTTCGCCAACACGCAGGTGCCCACCTCCGTGTGCTGCCCCTCCCGCGTGGCGCTGCTCACCGGGAAGATGCCGCACTGCACCAACGTGACGGCCAACTGGGCGCCCGCAGGTACGGCAGGGGCAGGAATACGATCGAGGAGTACGGCATAGGGCAGTACGGCATGCGGTATGATGGAGTCGTATGGGTTTATAAGCTTTTACCCCTACCTGACCCACACCTCAAATCCCCTCGTCTCCCCGCCGTCCCTCCAGGCGCCTGGGGCAAGTTCTCCCGCCTTAGTCTGGACTCCAGCTGGCTGCCCGTGTGGCTGCAGCAGGGAGGGTACCAGACCTACCTGGTCGGCAAGTTCCTCAACGGATTCACCGTGAGTTGTATTCACGGCAGATGGTGACCGTTAGTACGGCGGTGCTGCGGAAAAAGGGGCGGCTGCAGTGCCCCGGGGGTCTGTGTTTCCTCTCTTGCCTGCGAAGGAGAGGGCTACCCCTCCTCCTCCTCCTGTTTGAACTAGGTTTGGTACCGCATTTGGTTACCCGGGGCTACCCCTCTTCCTGCTTCTCCTCCTGCCGCTGTCTTGCCCTCACTAGTAGTTTGGTAATCCGTATACTCTGACCTGCGCTGACCCCCGTCGCCTGCGCAGACCCCCCTGCCTGCCAAGGCGCACTGCCCCTATGGCTGGAACGTCTTCGACGCCCTCACCGATGGAGTCTACAAGTACTACGACTCCTCCTTCTCACTCGACTGCGCACCCCGTTCCACGTCGTACAGCGGGCAGTACCAAACGGACGTCATCCGGGACAAGGCCCTGTCGTACATTGAGTAAGTGTACGGCAATAGGTGGCTGGCTGACTGACTGCGGGGCTGGCTGGGGGCTGTGTTCCTGTATAGCATGCAAGGCCCGGCCGGGGGGCCGTCCAACGTGAATACGTACCTCCAAAAACACCTGCTGCTTCCTTGTTCTGCCGCTTGTCGTTCCCGCACGCAGCGTCGCCCCTTAACGTGCTTGCTGCCTCCCCTCCCCACCCCCAGGGACGCCGTGGCTGACGGCCGGCCCTTCTACATGCACCTCACCCCCGTGGCCCCGCACACGGACAACGGCGACCCCGCTGCCGGCTGGCGGCCCCCCCCGCCCGCGGAGCGCCATGCGGACCTCTTCTCCGATGTGCAGCTGCCCGGCAACCCCACCTACCTGACAGCCAACCCGCTGAACCCCTCCAAGCTGGCTGACATGAGCAGGTAGGTGGGTGGGTGGTGGTTGGTTGGGTGGTGGATGGTTGTGAGTGCGCTGGGAGTGGGGAAAAGAACCGGGAAGTGGTGTGGAAGCGGACCACCGATGGGCACGGTTGTGGTCCTGCTGCCTGCCTGCTTGCCTGCACGCATGCATGAGCTCATGCCAAACCTGTTCTAAATGAGCAACGAAATTGGGTTAATATCGCTTCCCCACCAAACCTTCCTGCCGCAGCGAATGGGAGGTCAGGGACATGCGTGAGCTGTACCTAGCTCGGTTGCGGGCGTTGCGTGCAGTGGACGAGATGATTGAGGCCGTGGGTGAGTACGACAGAGGGCGACAGGGCTTGTAGAATAACAAAGGGAGGTAGCATAAAAGCACACTTCCTAGCTGTTGTAGGAATGGAAACAATACTGTGTGGCTGCCGTGAAATGCTTGGTGCCGGCACCTGTTCTCCTCCATATCTCCAATAACTTCCCGACGTTCCCGCGTTCCCCCGCTCCGAATGCTTGGCGACAACCTCCCTGTCGTCACCACTCCAAGTCGACAAACTAGAGCAGCTGGGTGTCCTCAACAATACCTACCTCATCTTTGCGTCTGATAATGGGATGGTGAGCGGCAAGCAGCGGCTTACCACGTGCGGGCTGCTTCTTGTGCTCTGAAAGTGTGTTTCGCCACGCCCTTACGTGCAAGGGAGCTCTCTCCACCGTTCGCAACGACCGCTTAATTAGGCACTGTGGGAGGCCCTGCCCACGCATGTCGGTGCTTCCTCACTCGCACTGCCTCTCGCACACCTGCCCCGGTCGTAAGGGGGAAAGACGGACCTCCGTGTGGTTCGTGGGGCCCCTACACTGCGGAAGCCCAATGGCTACGGTACTCTCAGCCCTGACCCCATCCCCGGACTGCCTCCCCCCCGCCCTTTCCTGCTTCCCGCAGCACATGGGACAGCACAGCCTCGCCGCTGGCAAGGTAGGCAGACATCCGTGTCGAGACCCACGGGTCACCTGAGTTACATGGGCACGGGCGCGCATCTCTCGTTCGTTACAACCGCCCCCAAAGCCCCGGCGCTTTGCCTTAGCCTTCTTGCAAGTATGCCTTCCCTCCCTTCACCAAAGCGATTCCCAGCAACGGCGCCCGACGTACCCATGCCCATGTTCCTGATAATGTCCCTGCTCATGTCCTTAATCCTGGTGGTCCTAACCGTGTCATGTTCCTGGTTGCCAGTATGCATCCGATCATTACCTGGAGTACCTGTTCTTCATCGCGTTCCTCATGCTTACCACGAGATACGGCGCCCCCCCCCCCCAGGCAACCAATCTAGAGGAGGACAACCGCGTGCCGCTCTTCATAGCGGGTCCCGGGGTGCCTGCCGGCGCCGTGAGCGCCTACCAGGCCAGCCTGGTGGACCTGCCGCCCACCATCCTCACACTGGCAGGTGGGGACTGCGGCTGGGGTGAGGCGTGAGGCGGGGGGGGGGTTACTCAACATGGACTGGATTGCTGGTTTCCCCAGGCAGGCTGTGGGAGAGGCGGGTGGAAGAGGGCTTGGTACTGGTACCCTTGCTTTGCGTGACGTGGGGTTAGTAACGGACTAGGGCATGGAGGGTGCTGGTGGATAGGGCGAGAGAAGGCGCGGCGACATGTTCTGATATATGCCGATGTACCGGTATACGTTCGCTTTGGTGATTGACTTTCGGCAGCCTGAGCAACCCCCTGATCGCAACCCCCTGATCGCAACCCCACTGGTCTTCCCGACGGGATATCCCCCCAGGTTTGGACACGCCTGCCGGCCTGGACGGTATGCCGCTGCCGCTGGAGGGCCTCACCACGGCAGCGTACGACAAGGCCCTGCAGACCGCCATCGCCGCCGCCGCGGCGCGGGCGCCGCCGTCGCCGCCGCAGCCCTCCCCGCCGCCCCGTCAGCCGTCGCCCTCGTCGCCACGACCCCCCTCACCGCCATCTCCGCCGTCGGCCCCGTCACGGCCGCCGTCACCACCGCCGCGCCCCTCACCGCCGCCGTCAAAGCCCTCGGTGCCACCACCTCCACCGTCACCGCCGCCGCCGCCTCCGTTGCCGCCGCCGCTGCCGCCGCTGCGACCGGCACCACCGTCACAACCACCGCCTCCCAAGCTCCGACCGATTCGCTCGTCGTTCATACCACCGCCGCCGCCATCGCCACCCCCGTCAAAGCCGCCATCGCCCCTTCCGCCGTCACCGCCGCCGCCGTCGCCTCGACCACCGTCGCCGCCACCGTCACCGCCGCCGCGTCTGGTCTTGCGCCGTGAAGGGTAAGACCTGAGCATTATAGAGGGCCTGTGCGAGATCTCTTGCTTATTCGCAGCCTTGTTCCAATGCTTAAACCTTTCCTGTTCAGTTAGCAAGCCTGAAACCCTCCCATCTTGCTCCACAAGCGGCATCCGAGCATGAGCATCACACTCCGACGCCCGTCCAATGCCCATTCCCCAACTCCCTTTGGAACTAAACCTGCAGCCAAATGCTACTATCAGTACAAACTTGGTATTATCTTCCGTCGCCGCCGCCGCTGCCGCCGCTGCGACCGGCAGCACCGTCACAACCACCGCCTCCCAAACTCCGACCGGTTCGCTCGTCGTTCATACCACCGCCGCCGCCATCGCCACCCCTCTCAAAGCCGCCATCGCCTCTTCCGCCGTCACCGCCACCGCCGTCGCCTCAACCACCGTCGCCGCCGCCGCCACAGCAGCCATCGCCGCCGTCACCCTCACCGCCACGATCGCCCCCACCGTCGCCGCCGTCGCGGCCGTCGCCACGGTCTCCACCTTCGCCTCCGCCACCGCCGTCACCCTCACCACCGCCGCCACCCTCACCGCCATCGCCCCCATCACCGCCACCGCCGCTGGTCTGGCGCCGTGAAGGGTAAGACCGGAACATTATAGAGGGCCTGTGGGAGATCTCTTGCTTACCCGCAACTTTGTTCCAATGCTTCACCCCTTCCTGATTAGTTTGCAAGCCTGAGACTCTCCATTGTTCCCCCAAAGCCCCCCACCTTCCCAACCTTCCCAATTCTGCCCTCCAGTATTCTTCTGGAGGCTTGGGACAGTGACGCCAAGAGCGGCCGCTTCCCGGGCATTACCTACAAGTCGCTGCGGCTGTGCAGCTCGCTAATGCCCAACTTTACAGCGGCGCAGCTGCAAGCGGGGCCGGACCGTCCCCCAGCGCTCATGGTGGGGTCGGGGTAAAGAAGAAACAAGTAACTGACTGTGTGATAAGGCGTCATCATGGTCTGAGGGGCAGGGGAGTAAGGGGGAGTGGTGGCAGTTGAGGGGGAGGGGCCTTACCTCATCGTGTGTGACCCCGTTGCCAGGGCGATGGGGGGTACGGGGGTGGCTCGTTGGTTTCCATCCTGAGTGGCACTCTTCAGACATCACATGCGCCCTCGGCTCCCCCTCCTCAGGTACCTAGCAGCAGCAGCAACGGTGCCAAAAGCTCGACCGCGCCCAACACCTACTGTTTGAAGTACAGCGTTTGGTGCAAGGACAGCAAGCGGGAATTGTACGACCTTTCAACGGATCCGTACGAGCAGTACGACCTGATGTCATCGGCACCCTCCCGGCTGCTTACGCGACTGGACGCCATGCTGAGCGTGTTGGTGCACTGCAGCGGAGCGGACTGCCTGCACCCCTTGGGGGCGCTGCACCCTACCGGAGATGTGCTTACCTTTGAACAGGTATGAAGGCTGTTGTTTGGGTGGCTGGGCTGTAGATGTATTGAGCCGTGGTAAGACTGGGTGGGTGGGTGACCCATGGGTGTCTGTGTTGACCTTTGTGAAGACCAGGCGTAGGCGCGTCCAGGGCTAGAATGGCTCCTGCATGCGTCACTTCTACCGGCAATGTTACGGTAATCCGCCTACCGTATCCCGGACTTGAACATACCCGGTACTGGTAGCACCCCAGCGCCATGCTCCTTGCGAGCCGTGCTCCCTGCTCGTTAAAGCAACCAAACAGGACCAAGCGCCACGTTCCGCCCGGTGCGCATGTCCCCTCTCGCATGCAGGCCATGCACCCCCGCCACGATGCGCTGTACGCCTCCCTGCCGCGCTTCTCCTTCGCCACCTGCTACCCCTTCTACGTACCCGCTAACGAGCGCACCTTCACGCTGGGGCTTCCCGGCTTCCCGGCCAACGCAAGCTGGGAGAGCACGGGCATCGTGTGGCCCAAGCCGGGCGGCGGAACAGGCTTCAAGAGTACGAATGGCGAGGACTGAGGCTACGGCTGTGGATCCAGTTGGCATGTTCGTGATGAACTGAATTCTCCCGGGAGGGAAATGACAATGAATGCCATACCGTGAAAGAAAGGGAAGGAGGGAGGGAGGACTTGGTTGTATCAGGAGCTCTGTTCGGCGGGGGGTGGCAGCATGGGTTACTGCGAGCGGGGACTGAGGGTTAGCTGCATGGGAAGTGGAGCGCATGAAGCATTACTGGGATTAATTTGAGTACTCACTACCTCACACGCACGCGTCTACTCTTGCGAGCCGTTCTAATAAGCACGCATTTGCGGTTGGGTTATGTACGGCATCGCCCGTTGCAAACTTTAACCCGTGACGCTAGGCTTGCCGGGGTCTGCAGACTGAATACACAGGTAATGTGAGCTACCTCCCGGCGATGGGAGAGGCGTACCCGTTCCCATTATTTTTTCGCAATGGATAGTGGACGTGCATGCATGCGAGCGTTAGGGACGCATCAGCCATACGTGTCCGTGCATCGTGCCGGTTGTTTTGTCGGCAACACCGTGTTCTACACGTGACCATTGACTTTCTTGCTACTGGACTCACTCGGCCCTGCTTTCAAGTGCCGGTCCTCGTTCATGACAGCCACCGTAACTGCTCCTTTTTTCTTTTCCGTACGCTTTGCTATATCCGAGAGTTCTCCTGTTGAGACTCTGTTTGTTATGAGGTCAAACCTTCGACGTCACGTCGATGGGTATGGGTTTTTAGTAGGTAGCTTAAGCGGGTGTTCAGCATACGCCCGAGTATGTAGTAAGTTACCTTGAAGGCAGTAGCGCACTACTTGTCTTACGAGGGACCTCGTGCGATGTGTAATATCGCATGCATATGCAAGGCCTCAAGGCAATCCCGCTTCTAACTGGCTGCAACCTTTACTGATATTCATGCCGCGAGGGGTTTACCTTTACCACATCGTCCAGACTTCAGCAGGGGCACGGGGCACATATGTCTGGCACTGGTACCATAAGAGCGCTTTAAACCAAAGCGTTCTTAGGGTTGGACGGCCCCATACGGTATCCTAGCTCTCCACTTAACGCTGCACCAGGACGCAGATCAAGGCGGCAATTACTAATGCAGGACGGTAGAGGGCACAACAGACCACAGTAACCGCCCTGCTACGGCTCGTATTGTTTCAGCAGCATCCCACACAGAAAGTGCAGAGCGTGGGATACCTAGCGGCTAACGCACGTCAACGTTCCGTACGCACGGTCACAGACCCACGAGAAACAGTCGTTTGACGTGTTTTGTGTTTTTGTCTGTCATGGGCATTATGATGAGTAGTTGGTCAACTTGCCCGGCACAACATACCAAGGCAGTACATGAATGGGAGCAAGTGTTACCAGACGCGCAATCGATTCAAGAAGAGCAAGCAAGCATAATAGCGCAAAAAGAGTCCATGGAATGCCCACGCGAATCAACTGATGAAGCCGACGGCACAGTAACGCTCAATTCCGTTGGGCATTACGCGCGCACGCCAACAGCCAATTCAAACATATGTACAAAGCAGCCTGCGACATTGCAGCACGCAACCACCCACTGCCTAAACCACATGCACGGCCCAAATGCATCCAGAGCGCAAAAAGCGCCCGGAGCACGGAATGCATCCGACCTACTACATCCAAACCTCCTGAACACTGCAATGCCGGGAACCGCTGGCCTTCACGCCAGACGTCCTACTACGCCGACACGATAAGAAGGGCACAAAACCCAATAACCGAGAGCAAGCAATGAAGCCTCGCACACCAAACATAACACCCGCGGGCCACAGCCGACAGCTCCTTTTCAGCGTGCAAACTGTGCGCCAAGCCATCCCGGACTGATCTCAACTTCTCAAGTAATGGAATTGCCCTTATGCCAAGCCTCACTGTGTCGCCTCCGCCGCCGCTGCTGTGCAATCCGAGCACAATCCACCGGTAGCCAGCACGCCGTGCCGTGCCAACCGCCTGCTTGCCCAATTGCGCCATCGTTGTCCATTAGCCATGTAGACAGGAAAGCATTCTCTTCTGCTTGCAGGTCGGGCCGCAGGACAACCCACTTGCACTCCGCCACGCAGCCGCCGCCACCCTGCCTTCGCCGCCTTAGTTCGAGCCCGGCGCGCCAGGGGCCACAAAGCCCGGCATGGGGAAGCGGCTGGACCAGGCCTCCACTCGCGAGCGGATGTCGGCAATGGCTGGGTGGCCCTCCAGGCCCTTCACAAAGTCCTTAAGCGCCTTGCCCGTGACCGCCTGCACCTGCTTGCACACCTCGAGCACCTCGTGGAGGAACTCGGCCACTTGCACGAAGTCCTCCTCCTTCAGACCGCGGGACGTCATGGCAGGCGTGCCTGGAGGGACGGCCGCCAAGCACACCAGCCAAGCACACAGGGAAGGGGAGAGGCATAGCAAGTTAGCAATACATGTGTCGTTAGGTCATCCATGCAACCGTAGGGTTTGCGCAAGGACGGACGACACACATAACGAGTTAATAGCACCTGGAGGTAGCATGAAGGGGCGGTACCGGTAGTGGTAGTAAAGAAAGCCCCCGACTCCTGGCTGGTCACGTATACACAATCAACCGCACCCTGGGCCATGGCAACCCTGGTAAACACCTCCCTCCCAGCTTACCAATGCGCACACCGCCGGGGTTCATGGCCGACAGGTCGCCCACCACCGCGTTCTTGTTGAGTGTGATGTGGCACAGGTCGCATGCCTTCTCCATCTTGGAGCCGGTGACACCCTCGGGACGCAGGTCCCAGAGGATGAGGTGGTTGTCGGTGCCGTCCGTCACGAGCTTGTAGCCGCGCTTGAGCAGCGTGCTGGCCATGGACCGGCAGTTGGCCACCACCTGCACGAGTTCAGGTGCATGTGTTAAGAAAACATCATATATATGTGCAGGACGGGCGGAGGGGAGATCAGCGGTTCGTCCCTGAAGTTAACCCTGTCAGAAGGAAAGAGTGTAGAAGCTTGAACTCACAAGATCCCCATGCACCGCACCGTCACAACACCGCACCTGTGTTGAGTACTGCTTGAACTCCTGTGTGGCCACGTACTTGAGCGCCACCGCCAGGGCGCCGATCTGGTGGTTGTGCGGCCCGCCTTGGAGCGAGGGGAACACCGCGAAGTTGATCTTGTCCTCGAACTCGTACAGGGCGCCCTCCGTCTCGCCCTTAAGCAGGCGAGCAGCCGGCTTGGGACCCTGGAAAGGCGGCAGCCGGGACGTAGCGGGTTAGTACAGAACCCCCAAAGTCCCAGAGAAGGACCCCGCAAAACCCGTGCCGGGCAACAGCTGAGTGCTTGGGGGGTCCTCTGTGCGTGTAACGCCTCCCCACGCCCCACCCTTGACATAACCGTAAACGTCTTCCTACTTCGCCCCCACCCATGCGTACCCGGCGGAAGAAGATCATGCCGGCCCGCGGCCCGCGCAGGGACTTGTGCGTCGTGGTGGTCACGATGTCGGCGAACTCGAAGGGCGACGCAAGCGTGCCGGAGGCAACCAGACCGCTGCGAAAGGAGCAGCGTGACCGTGTTAGTGAAAGGAATCCAGACTGACATAGTTCACATACCTCCCACACGCCCCAGACCCCTTTATGTGCCGTTTCATCTAGGGCATAACACTCGACTACTCAATACAGCTTTACCCGCCAAACGCCGTCGTGTGGTGATGCAGCGTGAGTTCAGCTTTTACCCGGATGGACAGGACACCCGCCTTCCCTAGCCCCGACGACCCACCACCCCTGGCATGCAGCCCCTTCTTCTTTCCCCCTCACTCTTCTCCCCTCTCTTCCTCCTCCCCAGCCTCACCTGATGTGCGCCATGTCCACCATCAGCAGTGCGCCGACCTTATCCGCCACCTCACGGAAGCGCTTGTAGTCCCAGTCGCGCGGGTAGGCGGACGCGCCGCAGATAATGATCTTTGGCCGGTACTCCGTCGCCTTCTCCTCCAGCTTGTCCATATCCACCAGGCCGGTCTGTTGTGGCAGCAAGCATGCGGACGTATAGGGATGAAAATGCAGCGCTGGATTGTATGTGCTTGGTGCTTGAAGCAGAATGCATTCGTCCTATGCTGGTGCATCCGAAAGAAACCAAAGTACCTGGGGGTTGAGCTTGTAGGGCAGTGACTCGAAGAAGATGGATGTGGCGCTGATCTTCTTGCCCTGGGTGTAGTACCCGTGCGTGAGGTGCCCGCCACTGGGCAGGTCCAGACCCATGATACGGTCGTGCGGCTGCAGCAGCGCCGTGTATACGGCGAAGTTGGCGGGGCTGCAAGGGAGCAGGAGGGCACGTTTGGGCTTAGAGCGTGGCTAAGGTTAGAATCAGCACGATAAAACTTCGCGCTGCGCCTCATACAGTCCCCCGGTAACCAGCGAGCAGCCCCACCTGCCGGAGTAAGGCTGCACGTTGACGCCCCACTCCTCGGGCGACAGGCCAAAGGCCTCAAGGGCGCGCTTCTTGCACAGCAGCTCAATTTTATCAATGTTTTCATTGCCACCATAGTAACGAGCGCCGGGTTGTCCCTCAGAATATTTGTTCGTCAGGCAAGACCCGAGCGCCTCCATCACCGGGAGCGACGTGAAATTTTCAGACGCAATCAGCTCAATCCCCTTCCTGTTAAGGGTGTAAGGCACAAATAAACTTGTCAGCTTCAGGCAAAGTGGGCAAACGTAATACCAGATACCGCCGGCTCCGCGCCAGCTAGTTTAGATCAGACGGCAGATCTTGACAACAAGCAAGAGGCGGTGCGCTATAAACAATAGCTATGCAAGCCGGCGGCTTAATTACTCACCACTGACGCGCTTTCTCATCCTCGATCAACGCGTGCAGCTCCGGGTCAGCAGCAGACAGCGGCGTATGTGCCTCTGGAAAGACGGCAGTCATCGCCGATGACAGTGCTGCGTGACCGTTCTCAACTCCAGCCATTTTTGTGTCTTTGAAAACTAGCACTAACGTGTAAGCAAAGTAAAAATTTCACCTTTACACACGACACCTCTATAAGGAAACTAATGACAAAGTTTGGAGGCGTGGCTGTTCTTGGATTGGCCAACGATGCACGAAACCAAGTGCCGTACGCGGCAGTCCCCTTCTCCTCCTCACTCTCTCCCAGCTACCCATATCCTGCGCACAACAAATTGATTGAGGAGGCACATCCTGTCCTCCCTGTTTATTCCACCGGGCACTCTTGCTCTTGAGCCTGACTCGAAGCCTTGGTTGGCAGGAATACTGTACTTGGCGTGTTTCGCCCGTGGTGACCCATATCTATGGAATATGTACATTTCATAGTATACCCATAACACGGGAGTCTTAGTCCTGTTTGCAGCTGCTCTAGTTGGTCCCTGAGCATGGCAGAACAGCTTTACCGAAAACGAATATCACCGGCTTCAGGCACCAATGTGGACGACTTAGTGTCCAAAAACGTGTTGGCACAGCTGCGCCGCGATCCTCCGCCTCGACTACCCGCGCACAATGAGCACGGCAAGCCTCCTACCAGTGGTGGCAACGGAGCCATGGGAGGGGGCCTGGGAGGGGGTGTGGAGGCATCGGACCTCATCTCATCAATGGCCAAGCGCTTGGCAGCACTGGAGCGTGAGATGAAGGAGCGGCAGAACCTGCTGCAGCAGGTTCAGGCTGACAATGCGTCGCTTAAGATCAAGCTCAAGGCAGCCGAGGAGGAGGTCGCTAAGCGCGCCCTTGCCGCTCTAGAGCAGCGCAACGACTCGCCTGCCGTCATGCACCTACGGTCTGAGAACGCCCGCCTGCGGGCGCAATTAAGATATGCATGGAAGCAGGTGGCGGAGGTGGGTACGGGCTAAAGGGTTGCTGTAAAGGCATGGTGATGCGGGCAACGTGTGCTTCGAGGCGGCGCGAGATTACCCAAATCGCCACATGCTGATGTGCCGCCCATCGCTTTAGGCCTGGCTTACACCCCCTTTCCTTTCCCTTCCATCCCCAGATGAAGGCCTTCCTCAATGACTATGGCATGATCTGGATGGGCGAGCCGGAAGTGGAGGCGGAACTTGTGGCGCACGGGTTTGGCCCGGCGGACTCCTCAGCCCGGTCAACTGCGGACGGCTCCGACGCCGCGGCACCCCTCCAACCGCTGCCTGCTGCAGAGGCACCCGACCAGCTGACGCCGCGCCCGCTGAGCCAGCCCGGCGCAGCGGCGGGGGCAGGGCCGTCCTCCGAGGCGGCCGCAGCGGCAGCAGCCGTGGAACGAAGGCGCAGCCTGGATAAAGGAGCGGCAGAGATGGCTGCTGCAGCGGCGCTGGGGCGTGCGGGCGAAAGCCCTATGGCACGGCGGGAGGGTGCTACGCCGTCAGAGAAGCGCAGCAGTAGCTTTACAACGGCATCCCCCCCGCCTGCATCCTCCTCAGCGCCCCTCTCGCCGCCACCTGCACCCGCCTCGCAGCCGTCCTCATCTCCCGGCCCTTCGCGGGGTCCGTCCCGCCCGGGCCTGCCGTTTAGCATGGCGGAGCTCCTAGCCAAGGTAGACGAACTAAATGACCTGGCAGGAGACGGTTGCGGGCAGGTAGTGCGGGGCGCAGCAGGCCAACACGTGCTAGCCACGCAGGAGCCCGTCAACCTGGTGATCTACAGGGATGGGCTGCAGATCCACACGCTGCCCGCTAAGCCCTTCAACGACCCCGCAAGCTCCGCAGTGTTGCATGACATCCTTGACGGCTACTTTCCCTACGTGCTCAAGCGCGATTTTCCGGATGGTGTGCCGCTGCGGGTCGTGGACCGCACGTCCGACAGCATGGGCTTCAGTCCCATGAAGCGCGGTGCAGCGGGGGCCGGCGCAGGCAACATCCGCACGTTTGACGACATCGACTCGCACGCGGCCGGTTCCGCTGAGCCCCTATCGCGCGATAAGTTCCTGAGCCGGCTTCCGCAGGCCGTGATTAAGAACGGCAAGGTCATCGAGATCCGATCGGACATATCGAGGATGCTCGGCGGCGGGGCAGGTGGGAGCAGTGCGGACGGCGGTAAGGCCGACGTGGCACTTATCTCCACTCCTGTGGACGCCCTGCTGTCGACCGTTCAGCGGAACCACGTTGGGCCGATGCTGCCGCCTCCCTCGCGTGAGGGGCAGCCGCCGGCGACAGAGGTCACAACACTTCAAGTCAAAAGCGTGGACGGCAAGCAGACGTACATATTGAAGTTCAAGTATGATGACAACATCGGCAGCCTGCGCGCGTGCATTAACGCGCACCATGCTAAAGCCGGGCACTCCAACGTGACGTACGAGATTAGGAGCGCGTTTCCGGCAAGGGCGTATGCAGACGATAGCGAGACGCTGCGGCAAGCGGGGCTCGTCCCCAATGCCACGCTGTTCCTGCGCGCCGTGTGATTGGACTGTTGCTGCGCGCGTGTGCGTGTGAGTGGATGCACATGGTTTGCGGATGCGCTGGACCTTCCTTGGATGTATTATGCAGCACGGATGCTACGCTGGATGGGGCATGTGAACTGATGCATTAGACATAATTGTTTACAAAAACCTGTGTGAATAGCGTACAGCACAACCCTTCATGTATTTATATGACTCCGACGCTCAGGGCAATCCAAGCCATCTCGGTAATGACTTGGAATGTAGCTACGTGACAGGACAACGGAGCGTATCCGCTTTACATACAAACACTGTAAGCCGTTATGCGCGTTCCTCTTCCGCCCCCACGCACCTACTGCTGCCCAGCGGAGTCCTCAAGCTCCTTGGCTAACCCCTCCCTTCACGTGGCCATAGCAAACTTGGGCGTGGCATTGCATGGCAAAGCAAGACTACTCGCCAGCGGAGTAGCCCTCCCAGCTGCCACCGCGCCTACACCATTTTGCCAAATCCAACATCCGCCGCTACTGTGACCCATATGCAGCGTTACCCCTCGACGCGCGGAGGCCTGCCAAGAAGCCACCCGCACACTTCCGGGCCGCCAGCACCCATGTCCTAACCTTGTCTGGACGCACGCTTGCTTGCTTACGCAAACCCACTGCACCTCACCGTAGCACCTCCCACTCGCGTGCGCGCGCTACATGCATGCTACCACGCTGCTGCTGGCTCCTGCCCCACAAATACTCCCCGCCACGGCTGGCTGCTTAGTTCGCCAGCTTCTCCATGGCCTCCGCCTCGTGCTGCAGGCGCATCAGGTACTTCTGCTCCCGGAAGTTGATCCACTGGTACTCGCCCTGGTCCACCAGCTTCTGGCGCCAGGCCTCCACGTCACGCCAGGCAGTGCCGTGGTCGTACTGCTCGCGGCGGAACATGGCCGCCAGGTTGTAGTAGTGGTTCGCCACGTCGTCCAGCACGCGGTCACGCTGGGGTTGGTAGGGTTTAGGCGGGAGTATACAAAGCCAATGTTGGTTTTGGAAAGAGCATTCAAAGGCTTTGGGGGAACCCATACCATGGAAGGCGGTCTTTATGGGAGTTTAGGAGAAATTCATGCTGCATACGTCAACTTGAAAAGTGTGTCGTCCTAAATTTGCTCGGCCGAGTGCCCCAAGGATGAATCTGCCGTTCGTAAGCAGCTAGAGGGTTGTCCTGAAGCCGCGTTAACCCAACCTCGCCCAAGAGACCCAGCTGCCAGGACTGCGGATACTGGATGCGAGATGGGCCGAGCAGAAACCGGGCACCTTGACAAACCCGAACCCGTGAAGGGCTTCCCGCCTCCCAATCCCCGAACGTGCTGTGTACCCACAGCACATGCGGTGCACGTCGCTGTGCGCGGCTTATGATATGTGTGCCCTTTTTCCTAGGTGCCTCGTGCCTTGGGGAGGTCCTAAGCAACACCCAAACCACGCTGAATCCCCTCGCCCCATTCCTCCTGCCTACCTCGTGCGCTGTGAGCTTGCGGATGAACTTAGCCGGGTTACCGCCCCACAGCTCGCCCGAGGGAATGCGCCGGGCGGGCGGCACAACCGAGTTGGGCGCCAGGATGGACTCAGCCTCCATCACGGAGCCCTCGCAGAGGACCGAGCGTGCGCCCACAATGCACTTAGGCTCAACGCGGCATGAGCGCAGAACGGCGTAGGGCTCCACGGTCACCTTCTCGCCAATCAACGTAGCAGCGTTCAGACCCGTCGGCACGGCCCTGTTCGTAGCGACAAAAGCGCTCAAAAATTGCATCATAGGATACAACATATTAACATAGAAATATACCTTGCAGCATGGATAACGGCACGGTCCAACACCGCCGACCGGTTGCCCAAGCGAATTTTGTTCAGGTCTCCACGGAGCACCGCGCCGAAGAAAACTGACGCCTGCATGCGGACCAAGTAAATGCTTCTTAGGCCTCTCCGGGGCTAAAATAGAAGCTGTGCCGCCTTTCGGGACCCTCTCGCTGCTCACCCCTCCGTAGATGTCCACATCGCCGCAGACCACCGCATTTGGCGCGACAAAGACATCCACAGGGTAGTAGGGCTGCTTCTCCAGCAGAGGAAAGAGGTTTCGTTGCCGGTTGTACCACTCGTCCTCAATGTTCACTTGCTTCACAGATGGGCCATTTGGCGCGGTGTAGAAGTTAAGGCTACGGACAGCAGCAAGCTGAAGCTCAGCACCCTCGCAGAGCTGGCCCCGTGCGAAGGGCAGAAGCTTGGCCGCGCGCTTCAGCATCTTGCCAAGCGTGTAGGGCCTATGGGCACGCTCCTAGGGCGTCCACAAACAACACAGTACTGCTAACCCTACAGCTTTGTGAGCATGCTTGAGAACCCGGCTTTCACAACATTCAGGTGATGTCGTGCATGTCGTGCATTGCATCGCTTTGGGAAATCGTAGCCCTCTGCATACAACTTATTTTGCATGAAATCCATGTGTTCAGTAACCTCCAAATATTTATAAGGAGCTGTAGGTCTTTCCGTGCGCAATTAAGGAGTCATCGCATGCGTTGCGAAATAGCCTGGACCACAGTTCCAACAGGGACAGCCAACATCACCTCAGCACCCAAGCAAGGGGTGGACGGGGAGCTCACCCTAACAGAGCGCGCACGCCTTCACGCCACGCAAGTTCACCAGGAGTCCTGCACCCAAGGGTTGGGTTAGCACCAATTTCCCTCACAACCTGCTTTCCTTCGTGGACGACTGCATACCGCGCGCTCAAGTTAATACAATAGCAGCAGCATACATAACGCAGCATTCCCGCACGATCGCACTTCAGCACGCCCAAACCCTACACCGCTACGCGCCGACTCCATTGGCAGGTATACATGTGACGCCCAGTTCCTCAAGCCAGGTGCTTCTTGAAGAACGACACCACCCTGCTGTGGGAGAGGTTGACCTCCTCCTGGGTTGGGATCGGGTAGCCGTACTCTGTGCAGGGCGCAAGCGAGGGGCCGTACGGCAAGAAGTGCTGTTGGTACAGACGGGGTGGCACCGGGTACTGGGGATGCCTTCCTTAAGATTGAGGAAAGCAATACGTGCGCTGGAACACCAAAGAATTACCAGATCCCATACCCATGCGAATACACCTTAGGTACCGGTATAAGGTTTCCTGGTGGTTCTCTACGTGTCAGCTACCGGTATCTTACAGACTGCTAGTGGCGTGAAAGCCTTGGCACGCAGTGCACCAACTCACTCGTCAGGGCCTCGGGACCGCCCGGCGCATTGGCATTGAAGAACGAGTGACCGGCCGACTCTGTGAGGGAGGGTAGCGGCATGGAGGGAAGCGGGACAAGGATTAATCCCCTTAATGATCCCTATCTGCTCAGGCTTGCGAGTGCGTAGGGCTCTGCAGTCGTCACGGCGCCCGCATGGGACAAACAAAGCGTAACACCGCCGCCGGAACCGCTTACCGTAGTAGTGGAAGGCGGCGGGCACACCGGCGGCCTTCATCTTCTCCTCAGCCTCCTTGGCGGTCTTGGGGTCGGAGAAGCCCTGGAAGCGCGCATGCGGGTACGTTGAGTTACGGGATCAGGTCAGTGTTTTGCCCTCGTGTGGTCCTCACCATGTAAGATCATATCATCGGCATACATGCGGGTACGACGGAAAACCTTCATCATGAACAACCACAATGATAGAGTAAAAGCCCTGGTGGTGCACCATGTGTGAAGGACCCCTTGCACCGGTGCTCGCCGGCAATGCGCCACCCTCTCCCCACCGGGTGTCTTCGACACTCCACCTCCCCAAGACACACACACCACCGCTTATTCGCTTTGGCCCCAAACACACCACCTCTCATCGACTGTGTACGCCCGGACCCCGCCGCCCCCGGCCCCGCCCCCTACCTCAATCTTGTCCAGCAAGCCAAAGTGCGCCTCCACCGGCACCTTGATCGCCTCCACCTGCGAACACCGCCGGGACACGTGCGCACAGCTTACCACCGGGTCATCCGCAAGGCGCCGACAATGGCTCATGGAATAGCCGGTCTGCTCAACGAGCCGGTCTGCTGCAACAAGGAGGATCTTTTGAGTATTCAGGTCCCCCACTTCCGCGGCTGTCGAAAGCGGACCCGGGCCCCACGCACCTGGCAGATGGCTGCGGGCGGGAGGCCGTAGAAGGGCGCAGCCGCATCCACGCCGGCGTGCTGCGCCGTGCAGAAGGTGAGCGCGCCGCCCATGCAGAAGCCCACAGCGCCAACCTGTGGGCCCGGCAAGCACGGCTTTCGTGTGTACAACGTGACACCATGGGACGCAAACTGCCGCAGGTATGAGCCCTGTACGACCAGGGACGTCAGAAAACCACCATACTATGCTCTTTCCGGTGTGCCTTCCGGCCTGCTGAGAACACATTGCAAGGGTATGCCGGGCGCACCCCCCGGTGCCTCTCCCCAACGCGAGGCAGCGCGACGCACCTTGTTTGAGCCGCTGGAGCGGAGGTAGTCGACCGCCTGCTTGATCTCCTCGATGGCGTTCTTGAAGTCCAGGTTGTTCATCAGCTGCGAGGGTAGGAGGTGGGAGGCGAGGTGGGTAACAGGGGAGCAAGGGACAGCACTCAACAGGGAAAAGCTTGGGTGAGAGAGGCACCAGCGGGGGGGGGAGCGCTGGCGTTGGAAAAAGCCAACGCGGGGGGCAGGTGGGCAAATGCCAGTTGCGGTTACCTGCGGGGCCATGTCATGTTCACCGTGCGGGGAATGCGTGGCCCAATACGAGCGGAAGTGTGAAGCCCTACGTGTGAGGGTTGCTCACAGCTATCCTTGCAGCCCTCGCATAACACGGCTTGGAGCAGTCACGCGGTTGCCGACTGGTAGTTTGGGCCCGGACGCAGCTGCAAAGCGATCTATATATCAGTACACAAAAAAGACCCGCCTCTGCCCCCCCAGGCACGACGTACGTGGGAGGCCTCCTCCGCGTCCACTCCGATCTTGCCCTTGTACAGGTCGGGGATGAGGCAGCGGAAGCCGTCCTTGCTGAGGGTCTCAGCATGGTTCTTAATGATGTCGTTCTGTTTGGGGGGTTGGGCGGTTGGACAGCAAGATGGGCACACAGGACCCGTACTCACTACATGCCTAAGCCGAGATGGAGCCCAAGGGGGGGGGTTGAAGGCGTTCACGGGGTTATGGGGAGGCACAACGAGTGTGAGGTAAGTTGATATGCCGACACGCCCTAGCGCAGGGAGGTGCATGATTGCCACCAGCTATCCATCACAGTGGATGGTGAACCGTTTAACCCACCCTGAACCATGCACGTTGACCCCCTGAGGCCCCCCCGACGAACAACAGAAGAATTGTGCTAACGAGCGCTGCTTTTACAGCGCGCCAGTCAGGGTTTGCATGCTTCCAGAAGCTCCTACGGCCGCGCTTCCACGCGCCTCTACCCAAGCAGCGACTTGTGACACGATAGCCCCCTTCGCACACTCGATCACCGGCTTACCACGCCCCACCACTCCTGAAAACGGAAGCATAATACCGGGGAGTTAGGAAGGATAGCGTTGATGAGCGCTGCCGGCAATCCGATCGCGCGAGAGTGCGCCGCAGCCCCGCTTACCTGAATGACAATAAGTCCTGGTGCCGTCTTCTCCCCAATCTCGTAGCCGGGCAGCCCGTTACCAAACGTGACCTTCTCCATTGTTCTTGTTACGGTATGGGCTGCCCGTCGCAACATCCAATGAAAATAAAATCGTCAATATGCAACTTACTCACGGTGCTAGGAATTCATTGTTAAAGTGCTGAGCATGCGTGGATGCCCAAATGGATCCTGTCGTGGATCATGTTTGCACCTTCCTTGGTATCAGCATACTCGCAAAGTTCAGGGTGTTGACAGCTAAAAGCATAGCCCTTACACTTGTTCAAGTATGAGAAAGACTGTGAAACGTCACTGCGCAATCGCGATCGCATCTGTTCTTATGCCTCTTTTTAAGTAGGCGGCTTTATCATCGGTCTCATCGGTACCTTTTCATAGGTTTTTGTTCTGACTCTTATGAGGAAGCCCGTTTGGTGCCACAAATGACAGCAAATGACAGCAACTGCTGCAAAGTGACTGGGACGACCAGTATAGCCATCATATTTACATAACGAGTGCTTACGTGGATTAGGATGAGCTACGGAGCAGGTGGAGACGACGGATAACGCCTTACCTTCAATGCTCATCTTAACTTACCTCTGGGATGCGCCTTGCATGGAAAGTCGCGCAGGACGTGCTGTAAGTTCAAGTCTTATGTGTCATGCCGCCTTTCCATTTTCGTGCAGCGGAGTACCTAACCGTCCTGCTAAAGGATGGGCTTGGCGGACGACGCCAAACGCGGGTCCCGGTGCCCATCGCCGACCTAGCATCGTTGATGGAAGCAGTGCGACAAGCCTTCCAGCCGGAGCTTGACACACAGGTGTGCACTCGTTCCCTGCGCAGCGGGACTCACCCTTGAGTGGGGCGAGCACTAGCCTGCAAGGAATGGAGGCGCCATAGCACGAGTTACCGGTCCCCGGGGTCGCTTGAGCAACCGGTCCCCGGGGTCGCTGACGCAGCTGCAACACCTTGTAATCAGTCAGGCCATGCTCGCCCAGCCATGCACTTGCGTCCTCGCCGCGGTGTTGTGTCAGTGCAGCCGGGCCATGCTCGCAGCAAGCAAATCGGCCCTAGTGCTGGACACTGACGCACCACCGCTAACCTCCTCCTAACTATTTTCCCCGTCCAGGAATTCTTCCTAACCTCTTCCAGCTCGCGTGTGATTGACTCAGATGCAGCTGCCAGGAAGCTCAGACCTGGGGACCAGCTGCGAGTTTGTGCGGGGACGCCAGGCAGCGCCATGGCGACTGGCTCCCTGGCCCCCGGTACCATCGGGCGCTCCAAACCGCCGCTCGGCGGCCCAAAGCATGGCAGCAGCTTGTTTGGGGCTTCACTGGCAGGCCGCAAGAGCCTGGCGCCAGGCAGCGGTTACAAGCCGCCCGCAAAGGTGGGTCCCGGGGCTGCAGGTCTGCAGAGGGGGCACACATGCAGCGAAAGGCGCACATAGAAGTCCTGCACAGCATTAGGGTGTACCCGTAGCTGCACAGCATTAGAGTATACCCGTAGCTGCGTGGCATGTCATGTCCGGGTAGGCAGAGGTTACAAGCTTGTGACTGCTGGCAAAGGTACCGGTATCTATCCGCTGCATGTCTGCACTGTGCAGGAGCGTATCAGCTTCGTGCCGCATCCAAAGACGCTCACCATGGCGGGCGACTACGAGTACTTTGCGGCACGCGGGCACCACCCCTTTGCTTTTGCGCTGGCCGAGCTCGTGGATAACTCGCTGCGGGCCACCAAGGGCCAGCAACGGCTTGTGGTTCCAGCGACAATTGACGGTGGCGCTGTGGTTGGCAGCGGCGATGGTGCGACGGTGGTCGGGGCTGCTGCTCTGGAGAGCGGGTCCGGCCTCCAGTCACGTGACATCACAATCAGCCTGGTGGTCAACGAACGTGGCACTGCAGGGCTTATCCGCGTGCAGGTGGGGCGCAAGGAGGATAGGACGCTCAGGCAGGGCGTGAACTTGTGTGCGGGATCCTTTCTTGCCGCCTGCAGCCCAGGGCTGTCGTAACCCCATGGCAGGCCGCAGGCTTCTGATCAGCCCTCAGCTGTAAGGTCTAGCTTGTGTGCTTTCACGCGGTGTCGTTCCATGCAGGACAATGGCCGCGGCATGACGCCCAAGGAGCTTGGCGAGTGGGCCGTCATGAACCTGTCTATGGAGGACAGGGGGCTGCTGCCCAGCGGGACCGAGCGGGCGTTGGAGCTTGCAGGTGCGAGCTTTCCCTGGCCTTTGCAATACCGGTACCTGCCATGGGGCAGACATGTAAGGTCACATCGGTGATCACGAGCCTTGTATTATCAGTTCATCACCTCCGTAGCACACAGTTGTTCCAGCTGCCAACCACCATGCTCCTGATGGCCGCATGTTTTGGGCCGCAACCCCATATGCCCTCCCCAACCGTGGCAGGTGGCGGGCGTTACCTCAGCGGCGACTTATCCTTCTTCGGTGTGGGCTCCAAGACCGCGGCGTTCTTCATGGGCAGCTCCGTGAAGCTGGCCACGCGGCAGGCGGGCAGCGCCAGCGTGCATGAACTGCACATCGCGGGGGCGGAGCTGGAGCGCAGGTGGGCGCGCTTTGAGGGAATGTGGCGCGCTGAGGGAAAGTGGTGGTGGTGCTAGCAACGTCGATGCCGGGTTTTAGTGGCAGGACCTTCTTATGCAATGGCGCTAGGGGACTGTTCAGGCGACCGGCATGACCTGGTATCGGGGCTTAAACCTCCGCAGGTATCGGAGCGGCGAAAATGTGTACGAGGAGGACATGATGCACCGGGAGCCCGGGGACGACTCCACACTGTCGCAGCAGGTGAGCTGCCCGAGACAAGGAAGGATATCTCGCCCGTGTAAAGCGTGTTCTGCACACCAACACCAACGCAAAAGCCCCTGGCAAGGGCACGGGAAGGGAACAGCCAAAGGCCAGCCAGCATTGCTGACGGCAATAAGTTCTGTCTCGGGAGATTATATGGTAACCGATAGCCTTATAACTTACGGTGCAGGAGTCTGCGTTTTCCATGACCCGAACCTGGCTTGCTGCCGAGCCGGCCGCAACCTCCTTCACCCGCGTCACCATTGCGGAACTGCGGCCCGAGGTGTTGAGCCTGGTGCGGGACAGCGAGAGCTGCGCCATGGTTTGCCGTGACCTGGCGCACCTCTACCACTACTACCTGCACGGACCCGCGGGCAATGTTGGGGCCGCAGCGGCGTCGGATGGCGCTGGCGGGCGTGGGAGCGGTGCTGGTGCCAGTGGGGGCGGAGCAGAAGCAGGTAAGAACCACGTTTGGGATCAGCAGACGTCCCACCAAATGCTGCTTCTGGGGTCATGCCATGCCGCATGCCTTGGGTGGGATTCGACCCATGCGGGTATCCAAGGTAGAGTGCCCAGGGAGCCCAGGAGTGATCATAGTGGCCGTTCCATGTGTAGCATGTATGCTGCTCTGTTGTATACGGTCAGAGCTTCAAGCCTTCTCCCGAAGAACCCCGTGACCCTGACTCCACATAACCTTACTCGGGCAAGAAATGTGTGTGCTGCTTGCTTTCGTCCCCCCGGGCCCAGGCGGCATCCTGCCCGGCGGCGAGGCCATGCCCAGCATCGTGATAGAGCACCTGGTGGGCTCGCGGCTTGCATGGCGGAGGCAGCTGGCGGAGGTGGATGACGACTTGGAGAGCCGCTACGTGCGCGGCGCCAAATCCAAGCTGGAGTTTGAGCTGGAGGTGCCGGGCAGAGGTAGGCAGACAGGGGGTAAGGGCAGTATGGTGGTCCTCACTTGTCGAAGAAGTGAATAGCCCGTTTGCTGTTCGCTTCCTTGCATGCTGGGTTACGCACCCAGTTTGCCACGCGGTGCTTGTGTATGCTACATACCAGTACCCATGCTGGACCACAGCAATGGAAGGTTTTCCGATGCTAGTCCTTACCATGTTGCTTACCGCCAGGTACCGTCGAGGGCGTGCTATGGTACTTTCCGTTCGAGAATGGCGCTGAGAGCGTTCCTCGGGAGCTGGGTGCTGCAGCATACGCGAGCGGCGGCCCCGCAGCGGGCGGTCCAGGCCTCCTGACGCAGATGCCGACTCAGCTATCCATGCATGGAGCTGCAGCACTTGCCACGCAGGTAGGGTGCCACCGGGCTCACCCAGCTGCTGCGCCATAGGCAAGGAAAACCCGCAACAGCGGTCATGCCTTCTACCCACATTTAGCCGCCTGCCTTCCAAAGCATGTCCTCCTTCCTTGGCCGCCCTGCAGCTCGTACGCGGTGGCCTTGCAGCAGCTGGTGTCAGCGCCACGCAGGTGGGCCAGTGGCCGGAGCAGGCGCAGCTAGCGATGATGGAAATGCTGCACGACCAGGACAACAACGGGGGAGGTACGCATGACTGGCATGAGGCCGAGGCTGCCTTCTTTTTTGATGTACATCGCGCTTGAAGGTCTTTGCTCGCCCTGATGCACGCAGATGCGCCGGCCCGAGGACGGGTGGATGCGCCCATGTTTGAGACGTTCTGGCAGGGCCGACTCATTCCCGGCAGTGGCGTTGAGAGCTTGCCCTTCATTGACGGACTGCGCACGAAGATGCGCTCCAGCACGTCTGGGAAGGACTACTTGCCGGATGACGTCTTCGGGCGCATCAGGTGCGTGTATGTTTAACGTACCGGTGTTAGACGCATACACGCCCGTAGACCCCTTCGGAATGGAAATGGGCCGTTGTATCTGTTGTAGCCCTTAGGCTATCTTAAGATCACTATGAATTCGTTATGGTTTCCACGACACCATGTCGTGTACGTAACTTAGGCAGTTGTTTTCCTAAGCCAATTCAAATCTTAGAGGCTCCGTATCTCACCGTTCCCGACCCATGGGTCGCAACGCCGCACGCGCAGGGGCGCGCTCTTTTTCGGTCCGGCATGGCGCGTGACGCGCAACAAGCTGACGTTCCGGGACTCCCTGCCGGAGTTGCTGGCAAGCGCCATGTCTTCCGACCGCGCGCTGGACAAGCGCTTCCGGGACTGGCTGCGCGACTGCCACACCCGGCTGGACCGCATCCTGCACTTCCAGGGGGCTGCAGATGTGGAACTCAAGGTAGGGGGCCCCGCAAGCCCCGCTCCGTAACCCATGTAGGATGTAGCCACTGTAATTAGCTAATTACCAATGGTCCTAGAGGGCTAAGACATGGAAGCAGGGGCGTTGGGCGTGACAGCTTTGGCATGCATGCAGCTAGATAGACGCCTGACGCATCCTAAGAGGCGGTTGTGTTCCTGTCCTGCTGTTGTTGTTCCTGTTGTCAGGCGACGGTGCGTAAGGAGCTTGGCGAGTCGTTCTCCGGCTTCACACGCGTGGCCGACGGGGCGCGGTCCTTCAGCGTTGGCGATGTGGTGCGGCTGGCGACCAAGCCCGTGTCGCTGGGGCGCATCAAGTACTTTGCGGTGCAGCAGGTGAGGACCGCCGCGTCGTTGCTGCTGGTTGGGCGACGGTGCTTGCTGTTGGGTGTTGGCTCAGGATGTAAGGGGTCTGAATGCATCCTAGCGAGTGGTTCACTGTCGGACGGGCTATCATGTGCATCACGTGGTTGCCTAGCGACATGGTTAAGGAAGGTCCTCTGTGAGAGGTTGTTAAGGTATGTTCCGTTGCCCCCACAACCCCTTGCATTCATTGTTGCTAGGCTGGCGCCGCGGAGGGAGTGTATGCGACGGGGTTCGTGACGATTACCGGCCTGCCGGCATTCCTGCACGGCCCGCGCCACACCTCCACGCTTCCCATTCGCCGTGTCGAGGAAGTGGTGTCACCGGCGGCTCTTGAGGAGTACACCGCAAGGGAGCGTGCAAAGGTGGGAGAGGCAGCGGGTAACGAGGACGTTAGGGGGCGTATGCGTAACACCGTACGTTGAGTCCATATAGATGCGCATCGGGCTTAGCCATTGCTCTATTCGGCCTCTGGAGGTTCAGCATTTAGATACCTCACCACCTCCGCTGTTGCTACCGTACCTGATCGGCGTACATGGGGCTCACCATCCTCCCCCTTTGCACTGTTGTCCTCCCTCCTGCGCTGGCCCCGCAGCTGCCCAGCTCCCTCCGTCTGGAGCCGCTGCGCCTGGCGTCAGGCCGGCGGGTGGACGTGGCAGTGGGCGAGGCGCTGCCGGAGACCACCGTGTCGCTCCACAACGCAGCGGGGCAGCGCATGACCAGGGCTTTCCTGCTGGTGCGTGGGATGTCTTGGGGTTGGGGGCAAGCGCATAGTCGTCGTACTGCCCGAGTATTACAGCGTCCAGTGTGATTGCTGGCTTGGCATCACCTTGGGCCACTTAGCAGAAGACTCATGCCGTAACGCTGGTATCCTCGCCCACCCTGCACCTTGGTTTTCCCCTCACTCCAGGGTCAGAAGGTGGCGCTGCGTGTCCAGCAGCGGCTGGTGTACCTGGGCCCGCGGCGGCCTTCCGCCTACTGCAGCGGCGCAGCTGCCTCGGCTGCCGGTGACGAGGAGTTGGCAGCGCAAGCGGAGGCAGGTGCCGGTCCCGATGACCTCACCGTCGCGGCTGCTCCAGCCAACCCAGACGGCCCCTCAGCAGCAGCTGCACCACCACCACCACCACCGCTACCAGAGGCGGAGGCAGAAGCCGCAGACGCTGCTGGCAAACGAGGACGCAAGCGCCGCAAGAAGAACGGGCCCACCGCGGAAGCTGATGCCGGCCCTGGCAAGGAGAACCAGGTTCCATCTGCTCCACAGCAGCAGCAGCCTGGGGGAGTCAAGAGAGCGAGGCGGGGTTCCGCAGCAGGGGGCGGGGCCAGCGCTGCGGTCGCGGAAGGCGGGGCGGCGGCAGCGCCTGTGTCGAGTGCGGCGGCAGCAGGACCGCTGGCGGAGGGTGTTGGGGAGGTGGTGCTGGTGCTGGAGAATAAGACGCCCGTGGACAACACCTACCAGTTCAGCAGGATCACGGGTGGGAAGGGTGTGACCGGTGTGTTGGAATGGACTGGAAGGGCGTGTGTTAAAATAACTGGCCGCGAGTGTATGTGTGTATGTGAAGAGTGCGCCACGCGCCCATGATAGGAGCCCCGTCTTTCCGGAAGACCTACACGGCGTGTATCCGCATACACAGCATGTTGGATGCTGCCGATGGAACGCCTGGCTTTTCTAGCAAGGTTAGAACATCGCAACCCTTCCCACGTGCCCTGTTTCGCAGGCGGCTTGAACCGTGCCGGGACCTACTTCCTGGAGTACCGCTTGCTACCCGACCTGCCGGCCGGCTGCGATCCAGCTGGCGGATCGGGGGCCGTGGTCGTGTGGTCCCGCACCGTGCTGTACGCGGCTGCGGGTCCGCCAGTGCGCTTCGAGCTGCGGGTAAGAGTGCGGCATGCCGTGCCATGTCACATGCCAAGTCTGGCCTGTGCCTACCCTGTTGTACTTGTGTACGGGGATGTACGTACTTCTACGTTCCCGTACTTGCTACTTATGGACCCTTTCTCCACATCACGACGGCGCCTGGCAGGGTGAGGCGAGGGCAGTGCTGGCGACCAAGTCCCTGGCACTAGGGGAGGTGCTGCCGCCGCTGCAGCTGGTGTGCTACGACGCGCAGGACAACCCGGTCGCCCCGCCGGCGGCAACAGCAGCGTCAGGTGGGGCTGCGAAGGCTGTCTGGGCGGTCCTTGAGCTGCGTGCGGGTGCGCATTGCTTTTAGGGAGGTCCGAAAGGTGTGGTTTGGTGCCTTCGGGCCGTGCCTCCATGGTTGGCCATCATTTCTGTCACAAACGTTCCGAAGTTGCTCAGGAATGTCCCCACAACTGCCCACACGCATGCCCTCCGTGATGTCCTCCATCAGGCCCACCTGCCGTTTTGGTTGAGGTGATGCGGCCTGGCAGCGACACGTCGGGACGTGTTGACGAGCCGGGGTCATCCCAAGCTCTGGAGGAACTTCAACTCGAGTGGCAGACGGTGAGCCCACGCGAGTTGCCGAGTTGCTAGCATGGGTGTTCCGTAACTACCCTACCGGTACTACCCGTGTGCCTTGTCTAGGTATGTACCCATGCGCTGCTTCCGCTGCCGTGCACGTAGACCCGTCAGAGACGGGTGCTCTAGGGAAAGACCCACGACGAGTACGCATGACACGTCCGCAGGCACCAAGTACAGAGGCGATGGTCCTTGACGGCCTGCGAATTACTGGGCGCCGGTGCGATGGCGGGGGCATGCGGCTGTTCGGCGGCGATGGCAGCGCCCATGGGCAGCCAGGGTCTTTGGAACACACGCCCGCAGGCGGCCAGGTTGTGCCGGCCAGCCTCGAGCAGACGGCGCCCGACGTCCCCCTGCAGCTCCGTATCTCCCTGCCGGACATGCCCAGCCAGGTACGCAAGTGCGCAGCTGCCGTCACGTCACAGGGATGTTGCCCAAACAGGACGTAGACATGTACCCGTATTATCCCACAGCACTGCAACACTTGCCTGGCAATACACACAAACCGCCTATGCATGTGAACTCCGTGTATGCCCTCCGGCTCTTGGCAGGTTTTGTCGCTCAAGCTGCGGCCGGGGGCACCCGCAGCGCTGCGGCTTCTCCCCGGCCACCCCTTCCCGACCGCAGCTGACGGCGGCAACGCAGCTTCCGCAGCAGCTGGGAGGTCGCTGGAGCCCGTATGCGTCATGAATGGCGAAACCCTGCCCGACTTCCAGGTATCATACCACCATGCAAGCTGGAAGTTTACCTGTGTTACCATGCTGCCCCTGGTGTCGCTAGCTTTCCGGTCGACATGAGCACAATGCAACACGCACCACTCATCACCACATGACACATCGTACATGCATCCCCTTTTCCCCATCGCTTGACGGCCTGTCCCTGTGCACGGACTAGGTGCTGGTGCTGGATGCCTGGGGCAACGCCACCAGCCCCTCCGCCGACCTGCCCGCCAGCCTGGAACTGGAGGGTCCCCTACTGCAATCCAGTCCGGCACCCTTCGACATTGACGCCCGCGGTCGAGCGTCGATACGGGGCGTGCGAGTGGCGGCTCCTGACTCCACCTGCATCGGCATACCACAGGTATGAGGCCACATGGGGCCCATTGTGTTTGCATGGGCTCACCCTTATACCCTTATGTCCACTATGCCATGCTGCGACTACGTGTCAGTCGCCGTGCATGTCCTTCCCTCTCACCTGGTCTTGGATGGCCGCTGTGTTACGCAGGATTTTGTGCTCAGCATCCGATGCACTGCCCGGGGGGCTGGTCCGCGCGCTGCGTTGCAAGCGGCGGAGCAAGCCATTGCGGAAGCGGAGGCGGCCGCCGCCATGGGAGCATCGTGGGCAGCAGGCGGGGGCCTGCTGGGCTGGTCCCGACTGCTGCTGCCGGTGCTGGTGCAGCCCTGCACGTTGCCGGCTGCACTAGCGGTGCTATACCGAGGGGAGGTAGGTGGGGGGGGGGCCCTCACGGAGGTTACCAGGCTTCATTAAGTAGGCAGCAGCGGGTCTGTCGACAATGCGGTCTTACTTAGTATAACGCATGCGCCGTACATGCTTCTTCTCCTCATGCCTTACCCACTGCGATGCTCGCCGCCCCGCAGCCTTGCGAGGTAGGCCCCAGCGCCTCGGGAGAGGGCATGGCAGCGGTGCTGCGAGACATACCCGCGGGCAGCCGCTTGAGTGAGCTCTCCCTGGCCCTGCTGGACGAAGGCGGCCGACCCGCAGAGCCCGGCTTCAAAGGTGTGATGACCCGGGTAGCACCCAGCCCGGTTTACTACAATCCGCAGCACGTCATGAGGGCTGCCTGGTGGGCAAGGGGCTGATGTACAATCCCCAGAGCGTGTGGCTTTGGTTGCCGCCAGGGGTCCGTCCCAGGGTTCCTATGCAGGTTCCGGGCTGGTTGTCTTGTTGCATGCTTCTGTTGCTTGCGATGTACCAGTAAGCTCTTTTCCCTTTGGTCCTGGTCCTGGTTGCAGGCAGGCTGCAGATCTCGTGGGCCAAGGGCTCCAAGAAGGTCAACGTCACGGAGGCGGGCGCCATGCTGGACCTGCCGGCGCTGCCCGTACGGGAGCAGGTGCGTCCCCAGCCAGGAGGTTGTGAACGGCATCCATCTCAGCCGCTTGATGCACCATCCCCACAGGCTGCCCTGCCCTCACGCCTTGTCTGCATGGCATTACAGGGCATTACATGGCATTACAGGCATGGCATTACAGGGCATTACAGGGCATTACGCTTCCCCTTCAATGTATACATGCTTACTTGACCTGAACCGTATCCCGTAAACCTCACCGCATGGGCGCACCACAGGCTGGCGGTGAGCCGCAAAGTGTCTGGGTGCGCTTTGTGGGCGACGGCGCTCTCCTGTCCGGCACTACGCTTGAGATTGCGTTGGAGGTGCATGTGGTTCCCGGCCCGCCCGCTGCCTGGGGCTGCAGCATCCTGGAGAGCGGCGCAGCTGCCGGCGGCGGCCCCAGCCAGGCCACGGAGGCCCTGGGTCGGGTGGCATGCGGGGATCCCATCTGCCTTGAGATCGAGGCACACGACGCGTATAACAACAAGTACGCGGGGCACGGCGGGGGGTTTACCAAGGCACTCATCCACGGACGGATGTGCCTCTCTCGCACCTGTAGCGGCATCCAACCTAGGGCGTCATCGCATGCATCCAACGCCCGGCCCTATCCCAACCTCCATAGATGCCAAAAGCCTGGACGCTGTAGCCTGGCATCGAACCATTACCGGTAACCACTAAGGAAACAGCTTCGTGAAGGCGATGTCACCCGTGCACACGGCTTCCATCAATGAGTGTGCATCCCACTCTGCTCCCAGGTGCTCCGGCTGGACGGGCGCCGGGCCGCGCCCCACCCCCACGGTGGTACCCAGTCGCGAGCAGCGGGACGCGCCGCTGCTGTACGACACGGCGGACTGGGTGTGCGGCTGGCAGGTGTCGCAGGTAGGGGCTGGGGTGGTAGGGGCATGGCCTTGTTCAGTAGGGAGGAGCGGAACGAGAGGCGTGAACGGATGTGCATGGTGGGTGTAGAGACGACTGGCCTTCACCGCGCTGTTTAAGTGGCTTCATGTTCCTTCGACGCCTGTCAACCCCCGCCTTCCTCACCCCTTTATTTTTCACCCTCCCATCAGCTCCCATGCACACGCTGTAATTTCTCCGGGAACCCTTTCTTGTTTGCCGATGGTTTCCAATCCTTTTCATGCCTTCTTGCCTTCGTTTGCTTGTTTGCTCTCCGCGCCGCGCAGCACACGGGCAACGAGTTCTACCAGGTGCAGATGGTGCTGGGCGGCAGCGCGGGCGACGTGAAGCTGCTGGTGCGGGACACGCAGGGGCCGGGCGGCGAGTCGCTGCTGAGCCCGGATGAGCTGCCGGTGGTGCTGCTGCCAGGTAGGGCACTGCAAGGCTGCACTGTACGGTACTAGGGCAGAGGCTGCAGAGCTGAGCTGTGCTGCATTAGCACCATGCAGGCTTGGGTTACCGGTAGGGTGATGCCTAAATTCCGTAATACCTAAGCGTGGTTTGAGGGTCCTCACATGCACATCTCGAACGCACATGCTGCAGGCCGCCCCACGACGCTGGCCTTTGACGGGCCACAGCAGCTGCAATGTGGCTCGCGCGCCTCCCTAGGCGACCTGCGCGTGCGTGTCACGGACGACTGGGGCAACCCGGTGGAAGCGCTGGGGGCGGGCGGGTGCGGAGGCGGGCGGAGCAGCAAGGAGGCGGGGTCGGGGCTGGAGGTGTCGCTGCAGAGCAGCGCCATTGCGGTGGACGGCTCGGGGAATGCTGCCAAGGTGGTTGTTGCGGGCAGCAACAAGGCCAAGGTGGGGGCGTGCTGGGGACGTGGGGTGCTGTTCAAGGGGGTCCTAAGCTCAAAACACTGCGGGCGTGCTGCCCTGTGTGCTGGCCGCTAGCTTCATACTCTCCTTGCCCCTTGCATGGTGGTCCGGCACGGCCAGGTGAGCAAGGGCTGCGCCTGCTTCCGAGACGTGCGAGTGGACGGCGCGCCGGGCGCCTACGCGCTGCGAGTGGGGTCGGCCTCACGCAAGGTGGCGCTGCGGGAGGCAGTGCTGATGGTGGAGGTGAGGAGGACTGAGGAGGAGGAAGAGGGTTGCAACAGAATGGGCGCGACCATGTAAGGGGCATGCGGGTCGGCTTTCTTCCCGGCAGCAGCTTGACATGTGCAGTACGGCATTTTAGCACCTGGGCAGGATCTTGCCGCAAGTTCAGAAGTCCATCGGTTCACCGCATGCTACTACTCCTACATTTCTGACCTGCCTGTTAGTGCATGGCACTCGACTCGTCCAGTGCGTTAAAGCATGAGCTTCAAATCCCGATAACCCCTTGCTTTCCTCTTTACCAGATGTTCTCCCAAAACGTCGTACGACACGTAGCCGTTGCGCCGTACAGCCTTCCCCAAGAGCCTCTCGAACCCGGCGTGCCGCTGGAGATCCAAGTCGAGGTCACGACGGAGGACGGCAAACCGCTGCCGTACGACATTGCAGCCGCCGGGCTAGCCCTGCGCTTGAAAACGCCATCAGCAGAAGCCGCTGCTGCCGCCCGAGGTGATGCGGGGGCTGCGGTGGGCGCTGCCGCCGGCGGCGGAGGCTCTGCCGGCAACAGCGCTGCTGCATGTACGGTACTGTTGCAGCCTCAACCGCCGGACGAGGGCGCGTCGCCCAGTAGCCGGTCATTGTGGACGTTTGTGACCCCTGGGTCGCTCGTGGTGGCGGGGGAATACACCATCACGGCAGAGTACGTTGAGCTTCGACCCGAGCTGACAAGGTGCGCCATGCAGGCTCCTGTAGCGGTATACCCGCATGGTGAAAGACTAGAAGCAAGTTCGCACTCGCCTCTGCAAACCCTCAGCACGCAACTTTCCCGCTTCTGTCGTGACCGACAACTCTGCCTTGGCCTTGTACCACCCACCGGTATCCTCGTTAACCCTTGCAACCCCTGACACCACCACGCGCAGGGAGTTGTCCAAATCGGAGCACCACGTCCGCAGCGTCAGCCACGCCGTGCAGCTGCTGCCCGGGCCGCCCGTAAGAGCCACACTGGAGTCCGACGGTCGGTCCTCCGCCGCAGCCGCAGCCGGCTCCGAGGGCGCAGGGCCCCTGCTCGTCACCAACGGCAGCGACAGCCGCGGCCGTACCCTCATGTCCTCAGCTGCCGTACAGCTGCGAGATGCGTACGGCAACCCGGTGGGCCTGGACGGCGTCTGCGTGCGGTGGGTGCTGGGCTGGCCGGCTGCGGAGGTGGAGGTGGAGGGTTACGGCGAGGCGGCGGACGGTGGCGGTGCTCGGATGGTAGCAGGGGAGGAGCCGGGGCCGGCGCCGGAGGCGGCGGTGGCTGCGGGCGCGGAGCTGCCTTCATTGCAGGTGCGTTCGTTCAAGGAGGATGAGAGGTGAATGCCGGAGAGTCGCATGCGTGCTAAGAACTGAGAGCTACGATGTTTCGTGTGGTGGCATACTGCCATCATGCCCTCGCACCGTCCTCATTACCGGTACTTGTTCATTACCCTTTCCCCGGCATGGTCTTACTGTACTGTATTTCCCTTGCTGGCTTGCAGGGCGCTCGCGAGGACGTTCCGTACGCGGTGGAGGCGCTGACGGATTCCCGTGGTCGCGCGTTCTTCCGGGAGCTGGCCGTCGCGGAGGGCTCTGGCAGAGTGGGGCAGCAGCCGCGCGACGGCTGCGCAGATGCCCCGCAGGTGCGAGATGTGGCCTGCGCCCTGTGGAAGGTTGCGCGAGTGGCGGTCCAAAACCAAGCGCAACCTTTTTCACTGCCAAGCAGAAGAGCACGTGTTGCAGACAGCCCTCACTTCGTGTTACGGTACTCCTCGTTAGCCCTAAGCCTCAACCCTCGTCACCGCATCCTCTTCCCTGCTTCCTCCCTCCGCCCTGCCAGGCCCTGCACCTAGAGCTGCGGCTGCAAGCGGCGCTGCACCCCGGCGGGGGCCCCTCCGCGGGCGGTGCGGGCGGCTGGCTGTGCTGCTGGTGCGTGCCGGTGATGTTCTCGGACAATGCGGCGCGCGCAGCGAACCTGCAGCGCCTGTGCGCGCGGCGCGAGGAGCTGGCAGCTGCGGTGGCGCGGGAGGAGGCTGCCAAGGACGAGGCGGACAGGTTTGCGGGGCAGGTTTGCGGGGCAGGTTTGCGGGGCAGTTGCGATGTGCAGCGCGCACCATGGCGCATCAAGCTTTATACCCCTTGACGAGCGCTGCTGTGATCCGTGAACGCCTACCGGTAATTTGCCTTACCGAGCGGCAATTTGAAGCATGCCTTGCCTAACCACATGCTTTGTTGTCCCCTCTGGCAACCTGAACCAGAGCGCGCGACGCGGCACAACAAGCCGCCCGTCAGGCCGAGGCGGAGGTGGAGCGCATCGCACGAAGAGCAGGTGCGGTGTTTGCGTTGCTGGACTAGAGCCCCATGCAAGCAAGAACCCACGGGATGCAAGACCCAAACCGCAGCCCCTTATCACTCCGCAACCCACACGCCTTCACCTGCCAACCACCTAGCATCACGCGCCCCCCAATGCCGCTTCTCACACCCCTCTTTCCCCTCGCACTCCACCGGCCAGCCGCCTCCACCAAGCCGCGCAGCAGCACCGAGGCTCGGGAGCTGGCGCAGCACCTGCGCGAGCAGCAGCAGCGCGCGCTGTCCGCCTCCCAGCAGCGGCGGGACACCCGGGCTGCGCGGTTCGGCGCCAGCACCAGCGGCGTGGTGGTGGCGCTGAACCGCTGCCTGGCCGCCCCCGAGGGGCAGGGCGAGGTGGTGGGCGTCATGGCGCAGCTGGCCACTGTGGACAACCCGCACCTGTCGGCGCTGCTGTCCGCCGCGTACTCCTCCACGCTGCAGGTGAGGGGGTAGGGTGGAGGGGTGTTGAGAAAACTGGCCGCGAGTCGGAACGTACTGTACTTGCCGGAAGATGATGTCCCCACAGAAACGCCACAGGAGCTTGGTAAGCGCTTGGGTGCTGGCGTTGCAAATGTGTTGCGTGTTACATGGCAACAATGCTCAGGTTTATAGACAGGAGGTTCTGCATGGACGTCGTGGGGGCAGTGCGCGGTCGCCAAACTCGTGCAAAGATAAATAAGGAACACCGTGGAAGCCACCATACCGGCGTTTTGGACGTTACTCGACTGCCTGCTGCCTGCTGACTTGCCTGTTCTGCAGATCCTGGTTGTGCGGTCATACGAGTGCATCAAGCGGCTGCGGGACATGTTGACCGCCACCCGCAGCCCCATTCCCTCCATGCTGGCCACCAGCATGATTCAGGTGGGTCGGCCCTTGTCGCGCCATGCTTAGAAGAGAGATGACAGCCTCGCTCGGCTGCTTGAGCCGCAAACACCTACTTGCTGGCGGGTGGGTTGTGGCACCCACAACTGTCTGCCGTATGAGAATGTTTGCCATGCCAGCACAGTAACACCTCACATGCTGCCTTCCCCACGCATGTTCGCAGGCGTTTACCGGTGACGGCGGGCGGCAGGCTGCGGAGATGGTTGCGGCCATGCGCAACGTCAGCCCGGAAGCCCGCGAGCTGCAGGCGGCTGCATGCGACGGAGCGGACCCGCCGCTGCCCATGCTGCTGCCGCACACTCGGATGCTGATGGCCGTGTCGCAAGGTACGGCACGGCGACTCAGTTTGTGGCATGGCCTATAAGGCCCATAGGGTTGTGCGTCGCACTTGAGTCCTTCTGACCCCCCTGTAATACTCGCATGCTGGATAATGATGGAATGCAAGGGGTGAGACGGTTGTGCTGCTGCCCTGCCCCGCAGACCGCGCCCAAGCTGTAGCCGGCGCCGGCCCGGCCGTCAACGAGTGGCCTCACGGCTGCCTGGGTTACGCAGTTAACCTGGTGCGACCCGTGGGTCACGGCCACCGTGCAACCATATTTTATAGCCAGCTGGGCCGCACGCTTGTGTTTGAGACATTGGACCAGGCAGCGGCGTACCGCACGTACGTCGTACAGGTGCGTCTTATATCGTTATGTGACACGAGCATGGCGGAGCAGGTCACCGGACTGATTGGTAGTAATGCTTGGCCATACGCTAGCTATGAGAAACAAAACCTGCTGACAGAGACAACGGCTACATAGTACCGGTACATGATTACAAAGATTACCTTTGGCATCACATCCATCGTATCTCCGCGCTCTTGCCCTCCTTCCTTCCCGCCGTGCGCTGCGCACCTGCCCCCTCATTCGTCCTCTATCTTCTCACCCCTCACCCTCCTTCTCTGCCACCCTCACCCCACCCCTTACCCGCGCTCCTCAGACGCTGGGTTGCGGCGGCCTGGGCGACATCTACACGCTGGACGGCGGCAAGCTGAGCGGGCGGGGCGTGGTGGTGGGCAGCGGCTTCCGCGTGGTGCCGGTGGAGGACGCGGTGGTGCGCTTCGGAGCCGCGCAGGGCAGCCAGGTGCGGCGTGGTGGTTTTGGGTTGGTTTGGTATGGTTGGCGGGTAGGTAATGGCATGTTTGGTTTGCTTGGCGGCTATATGATGCACTCACACTTTAGCTTTGTGAGCATGAGGCCGACATCTTGCCTCTAGCATACCGAGGCCATGTTAGACCGTATCTACTATAGACCGTATGCCCAGGTATACCTGCACTTGTTTCCTTAAAGCTGTGTCCTGCTCCCGTGGGTCGGGCCGCCCCACAAAACCTCGCCAGGCCGCCCAGGCCAAGCAGCTGACGCAGCAGATGGCGGACATGGAGGAGCTGGCGGCGGCGTGGGAGGCGGTGGAGCGGGCGGCTGGCGAGGAGGCAGAGGCGGAGGCGGCTGCGGAGGCGGCGGGGCAGGGCGCGGAGGCTGTGCGGGCGGAGGTGGGTGAGGAGCTGGCGGCGGTGGAGGCGGAGATTGCGAGGCTGGCGGGGGAGCAGCCGGGAGGGGCAGGCCAGGGCGGCGGCGGCAGCAGGCGGCAGAAGGGCGGTCGTGGAAGGAAGAGGTGAGGCGGGCGGGGGAGGGTTATTGGTATGGTGGTGCGGTTTGGTTTTGGGTGGAGGCCGGTGTGGCGGTGTGGATATGGTGCTGATGCCCAGGTGCGGTGAGGTGGCATGACGGACTTTTGGGATCCAGTACCTGTAAGGAAGTTAGCAGTCGTTTAGCTTGTTGCTTAATTGCATGATGTTTGACACCGTATATAAATGAGCAATGTATGAGGCTTGGATCTGTCATGTCACGCATTTATATGCTGCTTGCGATGCACAGGAGTCGAGATGCCGCGCAGCCAACACAGTTGCCCCAGACGGCAGGGGAGGAGGCGGCACCGCACGAGCCGCCGCCCGACCCAGATCAGCAAGACACTCGCGGCGGCGCGGGCGAAGGAGGAGGCAGGGGACACAGGAGCAAGCGAAACAAGGGTCGCATGGCGGCAATGCAGTAGCCAGGCAGCAGCTGCTGCAGTCACGCGTTATGACGCCGAAAGGTAGCAATGGGGCTTGAACTCGCCAACGGTAAGTAATCTAACTTGCCAACGGTTGAATATCCGTACGCGACGAGCGAATTTCGCGCTGTTGCGCATGGGAGATTTTGACAGGTCGGTTGGTACCGGTAGTGCCGATGGCCGATGACGAGCGAACATGTGCCAAAGGTGCTGTCACGCATCAATCGCGAACACTGTTGATGGGTAGTACAGCGTGGCAGCCAGGGAGGATTTAAGGGCGCGCGTGCCGCAGGGGTAACACGTCGCGGATACCGGCTTGTCGGGGAAGCCAAAACATATAACCTGCGTCGCAAAGTTGGTGTTACACAGTAACATACGGTGTGACATCTAGTAGTAGACCGACTGACCGTGACATAGCGCTGTGCATGGGTGGGGACTCTACTTCGGCCATGTAGATGCTGGTCCTCGTTGCGAGGAGGTGTCGCTACCTTCAACCAAAGGCGTGGCGGCCATTGCCGCATGTGCCATGGCACTTCACAGGGCCCGTCGCTGGTAGGCACTAGAAATTGTCTGCTTTGTCCCCTGGGTCGTTGAGACTCTATGACCTCGCTCCTAATGAACATACTGTGTAACGTTCGGCGGTCATTGCCTAAGCTAAGGGACAGTCGCGACAGCTTTTCCGTTTTGGTCAGGCGCAGGCACCAAGGGCGAGCCGCCGAGATGTGGGTGCTTAGGTGATACGGGCTTTTCCTACGCAAAATAAGATTTTGCTTACTGGTGCTAACTAACAACTTATTTTCGCTGATGATTTCAGTGAATCAGTGGAGAGGGGCGCGCAACTAACCATTGTGCATATGGCCGCTTGTGTAACTGCGCGTCACCGTCACCGTTTTGACGTGCAACTCTTGCTGGGTTGCAAGCAGTGACTAACCTTACCATGGAGCTAGGACCGCAGGGTCAGAACCTTAACGGATATCGACCAAGGATCCTATGCGTTAATTCGTACCTTCGACGCACACCGCGTAACTCGGACCTTGGACTATACTATGTAAGGAATGAGTCGAATCTCAGTGACAAATGCACTGATTAAGTGTAAAAAATAGAGTAACTGCAGATGAGAACCTCGACCGAAGCACATAAGGCCCACGCTTATTGCGAACGAGTCGGTGGAAGCCAACGGGCTCCTTGGGCTAGATTCATAGGCACAGTAAGTAGTACTCAATGGCTAAGGGTTATGGCTTTGAACGCATGGGGAAGTCGTCTAATGCCACAGTGCACAGCTCCGACACAAGCACGGTGTGCGTCCCAAGGAGGAACCTCGCATAGTTCAATACAACAGGGTTGACCCTTACCTATGCCTCAGGCAACTGGGAATCCTTAAAGCTTTACTTCCTTACGCTGCGATGAATTCTGTGCTGCTGTGCACAAAGGACCTACACTTTCCACAACAACTCTACGCCTGAATTTTACTGTGCTGTTGGTTGTGAATAGAAGACGAATCCCTCTTGGCTGAAAACCGCGCACAAATGGAGCAGCAACTAACGGAGCAAGCCCCTAGACAGCCAGACTTGAGCAGCCGCGATGAAGAAGGTACATCGGAGCAGCGGCAATTTGGTGCATTTAGCGGCGGTAGCGTCTTTGCCGCAAGTGCGGGCAGCCTCAGCGATGATGAAGGCAACGACGGCACAAATAGCCCCCAGCGCCACAGCAGGCCTGACATGCCGCCTTCCAGCGAGCAGCAGGAACAGCATCAGCAACCCGCTGGCGAGAGCAACAGCGTCCAGGAGCTGCTAGGTCTCCTTCTGGCTCCTAGCTTTTCTGGCACTACCGTCGGTATGCTGTCACCGGTTGGCCGCCCTGACTCAAACATGCTGCTGCAGCAACTGACTGAGACGGCGTCGGTACGCTCCAACGCTAACGCAAGCCGCGCGCAGCAAGAGCCCGGCGACCGTCCTGCTTCCGGCGGTCCTAACGCCGGCCTCAGCTCCAAGCAACCGCCTGCTGACGACCCACCGCTGCTTGCCAACATCGATTCCGACCTCCTTCCCGACATCCATGGCCTCTTGGCTACCCTGAACTCGCCAAGGTCGCGGCCGTACGGCGTAGGTTTGGTGCCGCCTGATATCATCCGTGCACAGCTGGCCGCAAACGCTGCGAATGCCGCTTTTCGCCGCAGCGGCAGCGGCCGTGGTAATAGACCTCCCATCGGCGGCAGCGACGGCGGAGACCGGTCTTCCAACCCCGACGCGGCTGCGGTGCCGACCATGCAGCCGCCGCCTCCACGACCGCCATCAACGGTAGCAGCAGCGGCACAAGAGTCGCATACACCGCCGCAGCTGCCTTCTGCCGCAGCCGCAGCCACGCCCCCTGACGCCTCCTTGCAACAGCAGCAGCAGCTATCGGCGGCCGCACCCTCGCCCATCCACGACAGGCAGTTTCGGCAGCCACAGCAGCCCTTCCCGCAGCCGCCGCAGTCGCAGCAGCAGCAGCAGCCCCAGCCACCCCGCTCCCCGCTTCTGCAGCCCCAGCAGCCGCCTCGCTCCCCCCTCCTGCACTCCCAGCCCCCGCCGCTGCTGCAACTCCCTCCCTTTCCTCAACCCCTACAGCCCCTGCATCAGCAGCAAGCCGCGGCCGGCATGCAGGCGCTGCCGCCTCAGGCACAGCTTCATCCCAGGTCGGCTACACCACCGCCGGGGTTGTGCATGGGTGGCGGCGGCAACGGCGGCGGTGGCGCCCTGCACATGCAACAACAGCCGCCACTTGTCCATGCAAGGGCTGCGACGCCGCCGCCCCTGGCCGCCTCGGCCTCCTTCCCGGGCCCGGCTGGCAGCAACGGCACTGCAGATGTCCGGCTGGAGGGCTGCGTGAGCTTCACTGGCAACAACGATGACCTATTTGCGGCCATGGCTGGCACGTCGGCAACTGGGCTGCAGCAGCGGGGCAGCTTCCGGGGTGGGGCGCATGACGGCGGCCGCAGCAGCAGCAGCGGCGTGGCGGGATTCCCGGGGGAGGTTGCGATGGCCACGGTAATCGCCGGGCGGGCGGCTGGTTCAGACGCACTGACGCACGGGACTGTGCTTCGGCCACTGCAAGCACCACCCTCGCCGCCGCCGCCGCAACTAGTAGCGCAGTTCTCGCAGCCTCAGGGGCTGCCGGGACACTGGGCGGCGGCTCAGCTGCCGCCGCAGATGCGCATCAGCTCAACACAGCTCGCCACACCGCCTCCCTCGCCGCCGACTGCGGCGGTGATATCACAGCTGCCGATACCGCCGCTGCAGCAACAGCTCCAACGCACTGCTGACGAGGATTACGGCGGCGCCGCGTTCCCGCAGCTTTACCCCCTCGCCACCGGCGGCGCCGGCGGCGCCACGCCTAACCGCACCTCGCTGAGCGGGGCGCATCCGGCTGACGCTCCTGCTAGCCCGTATACCTTTGCAGCCGGCGGCGGCGCTGATGGATCCCTCGCCGCCAGCCAACTGCCGAATGGCATGGGAGCGCCGCCACCCACCGCCTTCGCAGCCGACTACTATCGGCCCTTCGACGGCGGCATGGCGTCGTACGGCAGGGAGGTGCCGGCCGCCGCCGTCGTCAGCGCCCCTGCCAGCAGCAACGACGGCTCATCCGGCTTCCGCGGCTGCGACGGCAGTACTGGCGGCGCTCGTCGTACATCCTACGGAGGTAGCGGCGGTGGTGGTGGTGGCGGCGGCGGCGGCTTTAGCGGCGCGACGCTGGGGGCCAGTGGCGGCGGCGCCGGTGGCGGGGCTGCAGGTTGTGGATCCCAGCACAAGCGCGCACGCGGGCCGCATCCTCGCTCCCGATCCGGCACGCCGCCTCGCCTGCGCGCCAGCGACGACGACGACGACGGCGGCAGCAGCGGCGACGACGGTGACGGTGGCGGTGGTAGAGGTGGCGGCGGCGGTGCGGCTCGCTGCTTCCGTCCGGAGGATCTCCCGGAGCCGGTTGCGGTGACGGTGACGGGACTGGGTCGTGAGGTGGGGGAGGACGGGCGGCGGCGGCGGATCACGGTCCACGGGGTGTTCCATCCGGACCGCTACCTGGCAAACCAGGTGAGGGGGCAAGTGGAGGGCAGCGGGTTATGGTGGAGGGCAGGACAGGGGGCTGCGTTTTGGGCGGTGGGCTGTGGGCCGGAATGGGCATGGGTGGCAGGGTGGGATTTCTTGTGTCAGACATCATGAGAATGGGCGGGCTGTGGCATACCTGCACACGCATGGGTACCCGTTTCCGTCGACGATTAGAAACCCCGGCCAGTGCTGCTTACTGGTGCTTCCCTTGCTGGCCCATCCCTCCACGCCCCCCTCCCCTCCCTCCCTCCCGCCAGGACTGCATCCTCTACAACAATCAGTTTGTGAGTCGCTCGCGGTTCGAGAAGGAGGGCGGCTCCACCACCGCCAAGTGGCACTGCTCCATCAAGGCAAGTGGAGGAGGTGGTAGGGGGGAGCATAAACGAGAAGTGCAGCAACTGGGGTCCCTGATAGGGAGAGGGGGAGGGAGGGAACAGGGAAGGCGGGGGCTGCATGGAGGGGGATCTGCGGTAACATGAAGAGAGCTAGAGACAGGTACCGTTCACGTCTTCTTAGGTTGTGGCATGTACGCATGTTTGTTAGCGGCATGGGGGCATGCGTGTCTCATTGCTCCCAGGAGTGCCGTTGTAGGCAGCAAGGGTGCAGCAGCGAACTCGTTGCGCGCATGTACACTCATGCCTGCTGCTCTGAACTGCTGCCCCGGACTGCTGCTCAACTCACAGCTGCTTCCTCCCTCCCTTCCCTCTGCTTCCCTCACCCCCCAGGTGGCGGGAGCCAACATGGTGGCGCTGGGCCACTGGCTGACGTCACGGGGGCTGCCGGTGCTAAAGGTGGGTTTGGGGGGCGGTTGGCTGGGCTAGGGGCACACGTGGACAGAAGCAGAAGCGATCAGTGAGAAGCTGCAATGTGTGAAGATGCATAGTTTGCGTTGCGGCCCTTGCGGGACATGTATTGCGCCTTCCCGCTTTCTAACGCTCCCACGGGCTTGCTCCGCATGGCCCCTTCGCTGATCGCCACTCGGCATCTCCGCTATACCGGTATGTGCCCTTGTAGGGAGGCGCCCGGAAGAGTAAGCGCCAGAAGGCCGCTGAGGTCACCCGTGCTCCCTCCGCCCCGTCCGCCTCGCCTCCCCACACCCGCCCCCGTCCGTCCCTCGCCTCCTTGGGAGCGGCGGCCAGCGCCCCACCCGCCACCACCACCGCCACTGCCGGTGGAGGTGGAGGTGGGGGTGCTGGCCCCTCCTCCGCTTTGCCTGCTGCGTGCGGCGGAGGCGGTGGTGGTGGTGCTCACAGCGGGGGTCGTAGCGCCGCCATATCCACCTGGCCGCCCCAGCAGGCCCCCCAACAACTGGGTATACATGGCCCTCCGCAGCAGCAGCAGCAGCAAGTGCCGCTCAGCCATCCCCCGCACCCGCAATCTCACTCCCAACGAGAGAGGGCTGGGGCGGCTCTGGAGGCTGCTCGAGGGGCTGCTGCGGAGCCCTGCGGCCCCTGGCAGCACATGCAGCCGCAACAGCAGCAGCAGAAAATGCATACCTCTGCCCAGCAGCAGCAACAACACCATCACCAACAACAACATCATCAGCAACAGCTGTTCATGCAGCAGCAACACCAGCAGCAGCAGCAGCGTGCTGAGGCGGCGGCTGCAGCGGCGGAGCGGGGAGCCGCGGGGCTGCCCCCCTCCCTGCCGCTGCTGCCACACATGCACCGCGCGCCCCACCACCACCACCACCCCCAGCATTACCACCACCCCGAGCCACAGCAGCAGCAGCCACAGCAGCCTCAGCAGCAGCACCCGCTGGCACGTAGCGGCAGTGGCGGCGGCCCCATGCTGGCGGCCCCGGGGTTGGGGATGCGGAATGCCGCGGCACCGGCCTCAGGCCCCGCCATGCCCTCCGGATTCGCTTTGCAGCCGCAGCACCAACAGCAGCAGCTGCGTCCCATGCCGCCGCAGGGCCCGGCTTCCGGCGCCTCTTCGGGCTTCCTCACGCAGTCGCCCTTCCACGCCTCTGCGTTGCAGCTGTCGCCGCAGCCGGGGCCGCCAGCGGGGGTGGGGCTGCGGACGAGTGGCGCCAGCGGCAATCCGCTGGGTGAGGGACACCACCCTGGTGAGTGAAAGCCGGCTGTCAGGTCGCCAGCGCTCGAATGACTTGGCCTTTTGCATGGTGTTGCATGGAAGATGGCAAACCAAGCGGTGATCACAGCCACGGTCGCAACATCCCGCTTACGCTAATCCATGCCCGGGCTCTGATGAGCTCTGCGTTGGGTCTCACCCTACCTTCCCATCCCAATGACGCTCTCCTCAATGACCCCCTCCTTGCCTTTCCTTTCCGCTCCCCTTCCCCCATCTGCCTCTCTGCCCGCAGCCATGCTCCGAGTGGACGTCCCCACCATGTCCTCTGCGCCCGCAGCCCTGGGCGCCCCTCCCTCCTCACCCGGCCTGCAGGCCCTGCAGCCCCCGCCCCGCATGGCCTCCTACCCGCACGGCGATCCCCACCTGCACCAACAACAACAGCAACAGCAACAGCAGCAACACCACATGCGGCTGCCTGCTGCGCCCGGCGTTGTATACGGCGGCGGACCCTACACTACTACTGCCGCATCTGCCGCCGCTGCGGCTGCAGGGGAGTACCAACGTCGCCTCAGCAGCGGCGGAGGTGGCGGTGGGGAAGGCGGCATGGGTGGTGCTTACCGCAGCACCAGTGGCAACCTACCGGACTACCGGACGAGTAGCGGCGGCGGCGGTGCAGTGGAGCTGCCGTACCGGGACGCTCGCATGGCCGCTGCAATGGCGGCGGCCGGGGAGGCGCCACACGGAGTGCGGCCGCAGTGCCCGCTGCCGCCCATGCCGCCGCCGCCGCCCTCGTCATAAGGTTGGGAACTTAATGAAGGTGGATGTGGATGGGAAACGGATGTATGTGCGGGTGTGTGGGTTGTCGAAACCGTGTTGTAATATGGGGGTGTGGGGTGAGTAATGGCCCTCTTTTTGTGGGGAAGATAAGATGGAATGCGTGTGGGAGGCCCGGGGCTAGGACTACGAAAGCGCTGTGATAGGCGCGGGGCGCGAGGGTTGCGGAACCTGATGTATGCTCAGCCGAAGCAGGTTGCAGCGGCAACCGGCGGGTGCAGCGCGGCTCAGTGAAGCCGCACGCACGCCGCCCGGCACGGCCTCGCGAAGAGGCTCTTCATTGAGAATGCCCCCTCGAAGAACGCCCCCGCGTTGGGTTCATCATGGTCTACGTGTTCATCATGGCCAGGTTGAAGGGCTGCATTGCTACACTACTAAACACTCGCATGCGAGGTGACCTGGCGTACGTTTTCGTCACAATCGCAGCCGGTTCGCCCCCGCTGCTGCTGCTCGGCCGACTTGTACCACGAAAGGTGGTACCTCGTCCCTCGTCCCCATGATGTGTGCGCATTATTGTGTGTGCGCGTGTGTCAGTAGTTGTGCGTGTTAGTTGTGCGTGTGTGTGTATAATCTCGGAGACGCGGGTCCAGCATGGAAGTTATGGTGCGCGGAAGCGGCTGTCAGCGCCGAAAACAAGGAATCGACCAGCTTGTCGTTTTCATTGAGCTCATTTTGAATAATACTAATAGTACGTGCACCAATACGAAGTACGCTTCCATAAGCCTTGGTTGTACGGCTTCATATGCTGGGTTGCTGCTAGGTACCACGGACACGACCTGGGGGGGGCAACACGCGGGGATGCATCACACATGTTATGTTGGCGGATGTGCGTTTGGTCTTTTCTTCTCCTAAGCGCACAGTTGTTGTTTTCGAGTTGATCAAGCCATTAGTAAACGTGGCGTAACATGCACTGGTTTGACGTTAACATGATATTAGCAAAATGAATGGAGGGGAAGAGCCGAGGGGTCAACGACACCCCATTCTTTGCCCTGGCCTGCCCCGTCCAGAAACGCTTAAGAGCATCAGATAGACCTTGGTGAGACCCCCATCGCCCATCTGACGGGGCCCCAACTGCCACAATGACCGTGTTCGATTCCCCCATAGCGCGTGTTTCATTGTTAGATCCATTGTTAAGGAGGCATACTTGGGCTGGCAACTGTGGTTTCACATCTCTTTAAAGAAAGCGTTTGTTGGAAGTACAAACGCAAACCCTTGTCCGTTGTGAGGAGGTGTGCAGGATGCCCCCGTTCTCTGCCGTGTGTGCATTGGCGTACTGCTAACGGTGGGGAAGATCGTACTTTTAATGAAGCCTTTGAAGTCATGGTCAATCGTGTCATCTTTTGGAATGCGGATCCGGAATGTGTACGGCAAAAGGAACGAAGTCGAACGAAGGGTCTCAATTGCACGACGAACGAACGAGGTCTCGTAAGTCGGATGTTCGATGTCGGGTGCACGCGAGTGTCGCTGTGCTGTGTGTTTCTATAGTGCTGTTGTTGCTATAAGACGGAAACAAAGGAGAAGCATGTCGCTTTGCGTTGCGGGTTTGCTAATCGTGTGCGCCCAGTTTGTCCTGTGCGCAGTCTGTAACGTCGATGTGCAGTGGATGATGTTACGTTTCAGGCTCGTTGGTTTGGCAGGTGGACTGCTGCCCAACAGTTTGGCGGTGCAACGGACAAAGTGCAACGGACGAACGGTGCAACGGACAAAGAGGACTCAACGCACTCCCGTACATATCACCCGGGAACCTAGGTCGGTATGGGAAAACGAATGACGACAGGAACGGAGGGAAGCGTGTGTGGCGTACGCCTTTTTGGTTTGCAGCGGGCGGGAACGACGTTTGTGCAGGCTTGGCACAGTCATGCGGCTAGGATGTGCGTTAGGGTGCCGGTACGTTGCGCTTGCGTCTGAGAAAGCACGCGTAGGTGGTCTGCATAGTAGCGTTTGCCATGTGTTGCGCAGGAGTGGGTATATCCCCGTATTTGTGCATGGTCGCCGGGGGGATGTTGGAGGCTGCTGCAGGCTAATGTGCCGGAGTTGGCCTGGTGCTAGCATGACGTGGATACGGGGTCTCGGCATGGCGGGGACCTTGATATCAGCATGTTGGCCATTCAGCTGTCGCCCATCGCCACCCTTTTCGAATTTTGCCATGGCCATGTAAATTGTAAGGCATTACTCCTTTAATTATGAAACGTCTCATCAGCTGCATCATCCTTTCGAACAGCACCAAAACCCGACAAGACGTACGGTGCGGCAACTTGCGCCTCCGCGGCAATACCGGCAGCTACACACTCTGCCATAACTCGCGAGCCCAGATTACGCCCTCTACTCATTATATTCAGTTCCGGACTGAGGTTTGCCGTACCCTACCTGGCTACATCGCCCCGGTGCTGCCTGGCATGCCTTCTGTCTGATGCCTGCATACGCCCCCCACCCCTCCGCACCGGACGGCCCCAACCAGGCATTTACACCTAATGTGACGGTACGGGACGCCGCCGCAAGCGGACAGGTTCCGTGACAGGCCGCAACGCTGTCCCGCACCCTCTCACCCGCTTCTTGCCGCATGTGCAACGCTGCACCCCCCCGCTTCCCCTTGAGGCCCTGCTGCCCCGCCCCACCGGCTGCAACCCACTGAGGAGCCCTTGTCCCATGGCCGGTTTCTTCCTCTTTACCCCCACAGCTACCAACGACGTCTGCCTCCACACATCCAACACCCTCGGCCCTTTCGGCCGACACATCCCGCAGCCCCATCCTGCCAGCCAGAGGCCATATGCCGCGACAAGTGTCTCCATGACACCGCTCCTTCGACTACACACTACCCCGTACACGACCCCCGTTCCAATCAGGGAAACCAAGAAACAATCGCGTATTCATGATGCTGTGCGTCTGCTACCCCCGCCGTAATTGCATCATACCCGCCCTCTCTTCCTCTACCTATCTGTACCCCTCCGCCCACACAAGAGCGCCATTCTACAAAACCGCAACCCCGCAAGAAAGCCACCCCCACCTCCCAGCCCCCCCCTCTTCCCCTTCCCTCCCCAGCTTTCCCTCCAGCCCCCTACGTGAGCAATATGATCAGCAGCACCGACACCACCACCGCCGCCACCAGCCACAGCCACAGGCACTTGTTCCTCGCCGCCCGACTGCTCCTGCTGGCTGTCACCAGCTCCCGCTGCCCCTCCTGCACCCGCTCCGCCACCCGCGTGATGGAGCTGTCCACAGTCTCCAACTGCTCGCCCTGCAGGGAGGCAGGCAGACGGGGGGGGGGGGGGAAGCGGGGGTTGCAGGCAGCAGCAGGGTTAGCAAGCAAGGAGCAGCAGGCAACAGCAGCGGGTCAAGGGCTGACGCAAAGGCGCCCGTACGGCCTCCGTCGCAAGCCCCTTCTCCCTTCTCCTCCAGCATGCACGCAGCCTACCCCTCCTAGAGTTCTCTGCATCTCGCTAACCCTCGCCCTGTCCCCCCATCCCCTTGTCCCCCTTGTCCCCCTTTCCCCCACCCCCTGTCCCCCTACCCTCCTGCCCTCCTGCCCCACCAAAACCCCGACCAACCAAGCCCCCCCCCCCGCCCCCCCCACCTGGTCCGCTATGAGCACCGCCAGGTCCTGGAACATCTCGTTCACCTCGCCGATCTGGCGCTGGATCTCCGCGATGCCCGCGTCCCGCTCGCTGATGAGCGCCTCGTGGTAGCGGACACCGTCCTCCAGGGAGGCCACCTGCAGGGGGGGCGGGAGGGGGCAGAGACATACCAGAACCACAGGTTGGGGCAGAGCAATGGGGAGAGAGCAAAGCAGTTTGGGAGGCTACCTGGGGGCGAATGGAGGAGGTGAAGGGGAGGAGGGGATTGGGAGGATAGAACCAGATGTTTACTGTGTATGCATGCAACGCGCTTCCCCCCCGGGAGCTGATCAGGATACGAATAAGGACCCGGGGATGCCGACCTAGCATACCGGTAGTGCGTTCGTTACTTACACCCTTCTGCATTCCTTAACTGTCCTACCCTGCCACACTCCCGTCACCCACCCACCCCCTCACCTCCGCCTGCCGCTGTGCCTGCTTCCGAACCGCCGCCTCGATGTCATCCTCCGCCCCACCTGCAGCCCCCGAGGAGGACGAGGCGACGCCCCCATCCGGTCCCAGCAGCGGCACCGCTAGTGAGCCATCCCCAGCCGCACCTGTGCAGGGGGGGGGGGGACGGAAAAGGGCAGAAAGGGAGCGTCAGCAGCGGCTTTTGGGTGCGGAGCATGCGGGCGTGTGGCGCCCAACGGAGCTAGCAAGGGGGCCGGGAGCCGGGGGGCAGCAAGTGCGGCAGGAGCTGAGGGCTGGCAGGGCGCCAGGGAGACAGGGAGTACATCCGTTTAGCGACGTTTAACACCCAAAGCAGCACGCACTGACAGGGCAACGAGATGGCTCGGAGAAGGGAAAGGATGCAATTGTCGCTGCGATCCCAACTCCGCCGCCTCCGCCTCTCCTCCTCCTGCTTCCTCACCTCGGAGCCCCTGGGGGGGCCTCCGCGCGTTGGCTGGTTGCCGCGGCAGCGAGGCCGCCTCCCGCTCGGCAGCAGTTCGCTGGAGCGCCTTGTAGTCCTGCGGGGTACGGCAGCGGTGACGTAACCCCCGGGGGGTAGGGGCGGGTTGGGGAAGGGTTTGCATGGGGAGGAGCTCGTGGGAAAGGAGTTCAGTCTGGGCGAGTTAAAGTGGGCTGCACGGCTGGAGTGAGGACTTGGAATGGGGTGCGCAAGCGAGACAGGAGGAGGACAGGAGGAGTGGGTGGTGCTCTGCGCTGCGTGCACCTGCGAACGGTGTACATGCACCTCCCACCGCACAGACAGGCGAGGTGGCACCACCACGACGCAGGCAGGCCGGCAGACACCGCGCACCCATAACAGCAAGCAGTGTGTTCCGATGCGGGTCGGCACCCGTGCAACCCGCCACCGCCACCGCACCTGCAGGATGGCCGCAAAGTCCTGAAGCAGCCGCTTGGCCTTCAACTGCTGCTGGTGCTGCTGCTCTGCTGTGAGGGCGGGAGCGGGGCCCGTTGGGGCGCCCGCACCCGCACCCGCAGCACCCTGTTGGCCCCGTGCAGGGGCGGGGGCGGCGCCGCTCGGTGCGGCAGCGTCGTGCAGCTCCGTGAGCTTTTCCTTGATGGTTTTGGCGAGCTATGGGTTGCGGGTTGGGGGTGGGAAGGGGCGGGAAAGGGGCGGAGAAGGGTTGTTGGAGCAAGGGAGTGACGAGCGAGGGATGTGATTAGGGATGTGACTTCCGAGCAGTGATCGCAGTAGTAGAAGGGCCAAGCAGCCCCTCCCCGGCGTTAGGCAAGAGGATTAGCTCCCTGTGCAGAAGGGGGAAGCCCGGGGACAATACCTCCTGGATTTTCACGTTCGCTTCCCCAATACGATGACGGTGGTCCACCGTGTCCTTAGCTGTGCCGAGCAAGTCTACAAGCTTGCGCAGCTGGGAAACGCTGCTGACGAGCTTGAATACCAGGCCTTCAACCTCGCGCGTGGCCTGCATGGAGAGTCTATCAGTTAGAACGAGTGATCGCAGCTCGTTCAATAGCAGCAGTGCATAGGATATATGCTTCACCTGGTTCTGGTAGCTGGATAACTCGCGTCCTCCATACTTAGCAAGGTCCTGCGCATGGCTTCACTATTTGAGCCAGGCGCGCACACTGGAATCCACTTAGTGCAATACATGTTGCCACAGCACACCTGAAAACTCATGCTGATCCTGCTGCAAACCTATTAGGGTAGGCAAGGAATGGATGTTGCCGGAAGTCGCTCAACAGGTTACACGCTCCTTACAGCTTAAGCTCGTATTCTTATTCTAGTTTAATCAGCAATGGGTATGCAACTCAAGGAAGACACGGCCTTGTTGGTGGGTTCAAGGGTTTTCACAAGCCCATTATATAGGCGGGCACACTATTTTTACCCAGTTTTGATGTTGGACATGCAGTATGTATTATAACGAATTTTCCACTTTACAAGTCCGCCAAGCCAGTCCGTCCTCTGGACAGGACAACATCCTATGCCGTGCAAACGTCAGCCGATCGTCCTACCGGATCGTCCTAGCACCCCCTTGCAAGCGGCCTACACCTCATCCTCTGTTTGCGCCAACACCTGCCAGCTAAGCGCCGCGTGCACCTGGTCATAGGTGTACGGCGGGAGCACGTCCCGGAGCGCCCAAAGGCAGTCCAGCACCACACCAAGCGCCCATCTCGTCCCGCCGCATCGCTTTCGCCCTTCTGCCCCGCTCCCGGCCCTCATCCCCATCCATCCCTGCTCATTCCCTCCCTCACGCCGCAACCCCTCTCGGATCACCGACAACAGCGCTTGTGCCACAGCCTCACAAGACGAGCTCCAGGGGGGTCGTGACAGCAGCCTCGGTAGGGTGTACGGCAAACACTCCAGGGCGGCGCATCGTGAAGCCAGAGCAACGGAGAGCTCTGGGGCAGCTACGATGGAGCCAGCACCGCCGCCGCTGCTGCTGCTGCCGCCACCAGCGGCGGTGGCATGACTAAGGAACGCCGCCACGAGCGCTGCCGCCAGCTCCAAGGGAGGTGCGGGTTGGACTGCCGTACGCGCTGTGTCCAGCGTTTGGAGCAACACTTGAACCTGCAGCGTTCGTACACTTAACTAATTACCGGTAACTGTTTATTACCTATACTTGTACAAGGTTCGTGCAGGCTGTCTTCCTAGTTGTCCCTTAGCACTTATGCAATAACGAGAGGACTGCCTTAGGAGATAGGAGGTAAACAGGCTGCAGAATCCGAAACCCCGGCCCCCCACCGCACCTGGAATGTCTGTGGCGTTGCCGTCAGCGCCAAGCTCAGCGGTACCAGCAACACGTCTCCCTCTCCTGCCGCCGTCGCCATCATAGCCGTTGACGTTACCGTTACCGCCGCCATCGCTGCTGCCGTACGAACCGGCATGAGCTCCCGGTAGCTGACGTGGCCAGTCGCCACCAGCACGCAGCGCAGCTGCAGCGACGCGACGGCGGCCGCCGCCAGCGATGTTGGCGGCGCCTCCGCCTCCGCCGCCGCCGCCGCCGTCTCCGCCGCCAGGATCTGAGCCGTTAGGAAGTCCGGTCGCAGGCAGCGGAGGCAGCACACCGCCAGCGACCATAATGTCACTGTGGCTCGTACGGCATCACTGGTACGGCCGCCGCCGCCGCCGCAACTGCCATGCCGTACAGTACCCGCTAGCCCCGTCAGCGCTGCCAGCGGAGGTGCATTGGCAGCCTCCTCCGCCGGTGCTTCAAGCGCAAGCGGCCGGCCGGAGGGGCCGTACGAGTTCCAATCGTCGCCGCCGGCGGCGAGGGTGACGGCGGCAGCAGCGGCTGCTGCGGAACCGCCGCCGCCGCCGCTTGCATTGGCTCCAGCGGCCCAGGCCATGAGCTGAGCGGCCTCTCCGGGTTGCAGCGACGGTAGCGGCGGCAGGAGGGATGCGAGCGAGGCGATCGTCGAGTGGGCGGCCTGGGTGATGTCCCTGCAGGGGTTGGGTACACATTGGTTACACACATTGAGCCGCGCGGAAACAATGGGCGGGCCCACAGCAAGGTTGAGCGCATAAGGAGATAAGGATGCGCTGCATGCAGGCGCACGTATGTCTAGAGAGAGAGGGAGCTTTCAACGTTGACCATTTTTGCAATGTCAGCGGCATGGCTCCCGGTAGTGCTTTTCTGGCCTTTAACACCCCCAAATGCTGCCAACACAGACGAGTTCACCTGACTTCTTATATACACTGCCTTTATCCATGTACGTTTTGTTTCGCCGAGCCCCACACGGCCACACGGTCCCGCACCTGTGCACCAGCATCGCATCCTTGGCCTGCCACGCACGACACACCCCCAGCAGCCCCAGCCAGCAGTGCGCCGCCAGCCAGGCGCTCGTGCCGCTGCTGCTGCTGCTGCCGATGCCGGTCCCAGCACCGCCGTCGCTGTACGGCAGGGGTCCAAGGGACTGTCGTACTCGCCGCAACCACGTCAGCTGCAGCGCCGGATCATCCAAGCCAGCGGTTGAATGCCAGGGAAACGGTGCGTCCGCGTCGGCACCTTGGCTGCGCTCAGCGTCGGCGCATCCGCCCACCTTGACAGTCGCTGCTGCCGTCGCCGCCGCTGCTGTTAGCAACCCCGGCAGCGCTTGGACGACAGCAGCTGCGCGCTTAGCGGCCAAGCTGCGCAGCAACGCAGGCAGGCGGGCCAGAAGCAACCCTTGTACGGCAGGGGGCAGTACGGCAAACCGCGCAGGCGCAACGAAGTCCTCCAGTAGGGTCCCAAGTCCAAGGGACGGGACCGACCCATGGGACAGCGCAAACAGCAGCGTTGCGGCTTGCAACCGGAGGCCGGAAGACGACATAGCTGAGGAGGCGACGCCGGTGCCAGGGGGTTGTACGGCAGTGGCGGCGGAGGCGAGGAGTGTACGGCAGGCCATGGACCAATCGGCGGCGGGGAGCGCTGGGGCCGCCGCGAGGGCCAGGAGCGTGTCCGCCAGGGCTGAGGGTGGCAGTGAAGCCAATCGTGACCTGGAATTGACCAATTTACCATTCATTGGACACGGAAAATTATGATGCGAAGGGACGGAGAGCTGCTGTATGTGGGACGTTTAAGGCAGGCGCACAAGCGTCCACCGTGCGTGTGGAGGTTGATTACTGGCTAAGCACTACCATGCAAGATACCTGTTTGCCGGCATGCCAAAGCAGGTTGTTAAGACAAAACATACCTAGGGTTCCGAGCGTGTACCCACCGGTCCATGATTGCAACCACAAGGGGCCGTACGGCCCCTTCCGCCGGGTAGGATGACAGGGGCTTCAGACCGCCGCCACCAGCCCCCCCGGCGGCACCGCCACCTCCCCGGGGCGTTGAGGATCCGGCAGGGCCGCCGCCGCCGTCGGCAGCAGCACTGCCGCCGGAGGTGATGATGACGTCATCTGCGCCCTCGGCCGCCGCCACGGCAGCAGAAAGAGCCCCCAGGTGGAAAGCAGCTGTCGCGCTGACCCATGGGTCTGTGTCCTCCGTCGCGAGGCTTTCTAGAGCACGAACGGCGGCCTTTGCTGGCGCAAGGTTCTCGGGCTGGGCTAGCAAGCCTGTGAAGGGAACGAGAGGACGGGGAGACACGACACAATGGGTGCCGTACATGGCTTTGAAACTGGGCAAGGACGACAGGACGTTCGCTTCATGCTACTTCATGCTTCGACAGATCCGCAGCAAACGGCACGTTTTGCGGCATCCTGACCTGCGTTTACGGCGCCCGGCGGGATGGGAGCCAGTGCTTCCGCCAGGCTAGCCGGCGGAGGCAGCAGCAGGGCGACGAGTCCCGCTACCGCACCCGCACGTGCCGCCGCCACATGCGGCCCCTTGCTCGCGGCACCCCCGTCACCGCCGCCGCTGCCCCCAGTCGCCACACCCGACAGCTCAACTACAAGCTGTGACAATGCCGCCGCCGCCGTCGTCGCTGTCGCGTCGGATCCCGGCGGCGGTACGACACCTGACAACGGCGGCGCCGTCAGCAGCTCTGACGTCAGCAGTCCCTGACGCATCGCCGCCGCCGCCACGCAGCCCAGGCAGTAGGCGGCGGCGCCGCGGACCCTGCCGTCAGCGGCGGCGGCGGCGGAGCCGTCGCCAGCATCGCCGACGCTGCCGTACAACCGCCGCAGTGTGGTGAGCAAGTCAGACAGTCCATTTGCGGGAAGCTGCTGATACCTCAGCACCTCCGGCGCTAGTGCCGCCGCCGCTTCCAGCGCGGCGGCGGCGGCGGCCGCCGCCGTACCAGCGTTACCTCCGTCACTTGCCGTACCCGCTGCCGTCGCCGCCGGACTCGCAGCAGCAGCCACTTGCACCAGCGCCGCAAGCAACCCGCTCAGCGCACCCGCCGGCAGCCCATGCGCTCTGTTAATGTCGCAAAGCATGCTCACAAGCGCAACTGCCGTACCCGGCAGGACTTCTTGCTCGTCCGCCTCGTCCGCAAGTGGTTTCGGAGCCACAATGGCGGTTCCTCTGCCGTACGGCACTGCCTTTGACCCAGCCGACGTTGCCGCTGCTGCTGTCGGCTCCGCCGGACGGGGCCAGTCTGCCGGCAGTCCCGAGCTGGCGAGCTCCGAAACCGCCGGCGCCAGCAGCGGACATAAGGCCCCCAGGTTTGTCATGAGGTACGACAGCGCCTCCGAAACCGCCACCAGCTCCCGGGAGTGCTCGCCGCCGCTACCTGGCAGGAGAGAGCCGTCATGCAGTCAGTAAGCATGAGGTGACTAATCCTTAACAAGGCTACGCTACGTTTCCACCCGCCGCTACCGGTACCTTCATTACCGTACGCGTATAGCCAACTTGCATACAGTACACACCAGGTATTATGCCCGTACACTGCCATACACACTACATTCCTCACCGGTAGTCGCCCCTCACCCGCGCCCTCACCTTCCATGGTTGACGACGACGAGGACGTACGGATGTACACGGCGGGATCCGCCGCCAGGCTGCCCGCCAGTACGGCAATGGCGGTGGCGGCGGCGGATCGTACGACAGCCGTTGATCCGGTCAGCAGCTGCGCTCTGAGCTCCGACAGCACCTGGGGTGGTGGTGGGTGTGCGAACATCTGGGTTAGGATCCTCTTTTCTTCTTCCTTTCTTCTTAGACTTAAGGAACGTGTTTCCCCAGCCTTTTCCCTCCCCACATCCTGCTGCTCCCCCACCTCCCCACCACTATCACCCCACACATTGGAATTTCTTTTTACCTCCCCACCAGATATTAATGAGTTCTATTACGCTTGGGGTGTCACAGGATCGGGAGGGGCATGAGGTACAGAACTATACTTCCGCACCCCTCCTGTCCCCACCACCCAACACCGTCCCACCCTGCCACCCTACCACCCCACCTCTCCACCACCCCACCTCCCCACCACCCCACCACCCCACCTCCTCACCTCCCTCCTTCCCACCCCCCGCACCTGCTGCCGAGTGCCCCAGTCCGTGGGATGCAGCCGAGTGGCCCCCAGCGCCGCCCCCAGCAGCGAGCTGCGGCTGATGCCCGAGGAGCGACCCGACTGGGCCTGTGAAGGGGGAGGGCGGGTGGGGGTGGCGTAAGGAAAGAGGAAAGGGTCGGGGGGCGGGTAAACTACATCAGCTAGGTGCCCAGGGCAGATGACCCACATGAGCATCCCAACACTCCCTAACCGAGGCCCTCAAGCACCTCCGCGGTTGTTTCCCCTTCCCCCCCACCCACCTGCTGCAGCAGTCGGGCCACCAGACTGCTGACGTCAGCCTCCGGGAGCCCCTCCGCCGCCAGACACAACCCGCCCGCCGCCAAACCCACGCCCTCCAGCACCGCCGCCGGCGCTGCACCGGCGGCGGCGACGGCGGCGCCGCCGCCGGCGCTCTTCCCCGTCGTCGCCGTCGTCGTCGTCGTGGTGCCCTCCCACTCGCCCACCAGCACCGCCGCCGCCTCCGCCGCCGCCAGGTTCGTGTCGTACAGCCAGCGCCGTACGAACGCCGCCCAGGCTTGTACCGCCAGCCTGGGATGCCAGTGCCCCCGCCAGCCCAGCCGTCGAAGCCCGTCTCGCAGCCGGCCTAAGTAGGCTTCTCGCGCCTCCGCGGCGGCACGTTTGGCGGCCGCCGCCGTCGCGGCGGCGCTGGCGCCCGGCGGCAGTGGCGGCGGCGGCGGGTGGCTATAGCAGAACAGCATTGCACCGGGGTGGAAGCTGCCGGCGCCGCCGCCGACGGCGGCGGTGGTACGACTGGTTGCCATTGAGGCGGCGGAGGTGGCCAGGAGCATCTTGGGTATCCTGTTTAGGAGACGGTTCCTGAGAGCCCGGGCCTCGCGGGCTGTGGCGGCGGCGGCGTAAGCCGCTCCCTTGCTGCTTCCGCCGCCGGCGCCGCTGTCGGCTGCGTCCGTGACAAGACCGTCGCTAGCAGCGGCGGCGGTGGAGGGTGACTGAGCAGCGGCGGAGTCGGGAGTCGGCTGGGTCAGAAGGAGTCTGCAGGGGGAGGGAAAGGGCCGGGGGGCGGCGGGAGGGCAGGTCGTGGGGCGAGCATCGTGTATACCGGGTTGGGGGATCTGAGTGAGGACTGACGAGTCCTCATAGCTCCCTTCCTGAGGGTGACTATCGGGGGCGCGCGATGCCGCTGTCGGATCCACGCTAGCCACTTTACCTCACCCCGCCTCGTGCACCGGTTGTATCTCCTATCTGTGACCCTATCTGTGACCTTACCTGATCCCAACGAAGACCGCAAACGGTGACCGCAAGCACCACTCTCCCGCACTTCCCCCCCTCCTCTCCTCACCTGCGACGGTTGGCATGTTCGAAGCGCAGCGCCACAGCCGCCAGGCTGCGAGCCGCCCGGAGGACCCGTGGGTCGGTCTCGGACAGCAGCGGGGCCGTGTACCTGTGAAGCGGCCGCAGCACCTGCGAGTGCACGTTGAGGAAAGGATCATCCTTTTTTGAGGAAAGGGGCATCCGGGAGAATACAGGCCGCGTGGACCTGACGTTTACACTGCAAACGCCCTCGCCATGCAGAAGCCGCTAGCCATTACAGTGCAGTGCATCATACAGTAGAGGGTTGCAGTGAGCACCCGCAAAACCCGAAAGGAGCACCCTTGCCCACAACCCACCTCTAGCTTCTCCAGCAGGTCAGGCGGGTACCGCGAAATGGCGGAGTAGGCGGCGGTGCGGACCTGCGCCGCGGGGTGTCGTACAGCGGCCCACAGGGCGTCCAGTACGGCAGCCGCCTGAGTGGGGTGCGCCTCGGCGTCGAGTGACCCGTGGGACAGCAGCGCGACCCAGCGGGAGGCTACCAGCGGGTGATCGGGCAGGCGGGGGTGCCACCTGGGGGAGTGGCGGGCGGGAGAGGGGAAGTACCGGAAAAGCAAGAAGAAAGAAGTAAAGAAGAAGACATGAAGCACCAGAAGCGGTTGGGCAGGAGGAGTTGGTAGAAGTAGAAGAAGGGGAGAAGTGAACCGAACAGGTGCTGCCGTCTCAGCTCTCCAAGGGCTCTGCCACCTACTACGCCGTTGGTCGCATGCACTCGGGCACATGGTTAGCGTTTCCCATCCCCCCCCTCGGTGGGATGGCCCAGGTCCAATGCAGCAACCCATGGTGAAGCCTGGTCAAACAGCTCGTCATCTTTCTTACTCCCCCAGCCACCCAGCCCAGCCCCGTGGTTTCCTATGGTTTTTGTTTATCTTCGACCCCTCCCCGCCCCCACCTGTGCACCACGCGGCATGTCCCCCCCCCACCTGTGCACCACCCGGTACGCCGCGTAGAAGTCCAGCACGTCCTCCTCCACCAGCACCCCCAGCGCCTCCAGACCCAGCGCGGCGGCAGGCGGGCAGCCGCAGTCGCGGATGCACTGCTGCAGCGCCGACACCAGCTCCACACCCCTGCAGGCGGCAGCAGCGTGGGGGGGGGGTGGGGCGGGGCGGGGCGTGGTGAGGACCATAGGGTTATTCGGGTTACATTTGGACCGTAGGGTTGGGGTTCCAGTTACAGAGGCGAAGAGCGCAGGGAGGGTGGGACACCAGGGCGCAGCGTGTACGTCGAACCCTGACCCCCGAGCCCTGACCCCTGAACCCCTTGTGCGCCAAAGGCTGAACATTATAACGCAAGGGCGCCTGCACCCACCTGCCCGGGTCACGGTCGCACACGGCCCTCAGCAGCGCCGCCCGGGTGACCCGCAGCGAGGGGGGCGGCTCGCGACCCATGGGTCGCACCAGCCCGTTGAGAGCCGCCTCCACATGAGGCCAGCCGCGGCCTTTTGCGCGGTTGCGGACGAGATGTGGGCGAGGAAGGGGGGAGTAAGAGTTAGGGTTGCAAAACACTGATACCGAGTAACACTGTTGTAAGGTTTGGAAGTAGGAAGTAGGAAGTAGGAAGTAGGAACGACCCGTGGATTAGACACATGACAGTTCCAGTTCCAGTTCCTCCGGGGAGCGGGCGCTGACCGACCGCATCTCATGAAGCCCCCAGGCCCCTCCTCGCCCCTCCTCGGCCCTCCTCGCCCCACTCGCCCGCGCCCCGTATTCCCCACTCCGGACGCACCGCTCATCAGCCAAGTGTCGCACAGCAGCTTCAGCCCCACACAGCGCAGCACCTCCGGAGCATCCTCCGAAGCCAGCATGGGCTGTAGCACCCGTAGCGAGTACGGCGCCGCGGCGGGGTCCGCCGCCGCCATCACCGGCAGTAACTGTAGCAGCGCTAGCTTCGACGCCGCCGTGGCGGCGGCGGCGGCAGAGCCGTCATTGGCGTTTGCAGCCACAGCACCCCCGCCGTCGCCGCCGCCGCCACTGCCACTGCGTTGGATCTGGTACATGACGAGCGGCAGTAGCGGCAGTGCCGACGCCGGCAGTAGCAGTATCAGCTGCCGCGCAGCGGCAGCAGCCGCAATCCTGACCCGTGGGTCACTGTGCGCCAGCAGCGCCGCTACCAGGCACGTTACAGCGGGATGCGCGTCGTACGCCCCGGGGCCTGACGCGGCCTCCGACGCCACGTCCGCAAGGCGAGTGGAGAAGGGCAGCTGCTCCGAAACCGCTCTGGCGGCGGCGGCGGCGCGCCTTCGCTGGCGAAGGGCGAGCTCCAGGGAACCCAGCCAGCGGAGCAGCAGATCACATGACGGCGGCAACGATGAGTCGTATCCTGCGCCGCCGCCGCCGCCAATGGGCCCATCGCCGTACAGATTGTACGAGTTGTCAGTCGGCGCAGCCCAGAGCGACAGCAGAAGACGACGACATTGGATAAAAAGGCACAGATCCCCATGTGAGTGTCTCGTACAATCGTCGTCGCCGCCACCGCCGTCGCCGCCGTCCGTGCTGCTGCTGCCGGTCGTTGCCGTCGTCTTCATCACGCGCTGTAACGCCGTCGCCAGGTATGCAGGCCAGGCGGCAGCTGGTGCAGCCCCCGCTGCAGGAGCAGCGGAGGTGCCGAATGCGACTGCGGCGAGAAGGGGTTGTAGCGTTAGTGCCGCGTCGGCTGCTGCCGCCTGTGCGGGCGCTCCGCGCCTTGATGGCCGAGACGTTTGCGGTCCGGGGGTTTGCAGGGCCCTATGCAGCAAGAGGTTGAGGCCTTGGAGCTCCTGTTGGTGGAGGGACGGAGGGGGAGAGATGTTGAGGAGGTGAGGAGGAAAGCGTTTGGGAGGAAAGAGCCTACTGCAAACCATACGAGCCTGCACCCCGCGTGCCGAAACGTGCGCATGCAGTTAACCCCTGTATAGGTTGTTTCGTCGTACACATCCTTTCCGTACGCCCCCAATACCAGAAAGGATAGCGCCGCCAAGTGGTTTCGGAGCGGCACCATTTGCCGTACCATACACATGCAAACAACTGGATCCTCTTTCCGTACCTTGCCGTACGCCCCCAGTGTCAGCAGCGACAGCGCCGCCAAGTGGTTTCGTAGCGCCCCGGGCACCAGGGCCTGCAGCCGCAGCAACGCAGCAACAACCTCCTGACCACCCCCGCCGCCACCTCCACCACCTCCGACGGCAGCAGCACCAGTATGACTCCCCATCATGACTTCAAACGCCAGCTGCAGCAAGGCATCGGCTACTGGTGCTGCGGCTGCTGCTGCTGCTGCTACTGGTGCTGCGGCTGCTGCTGCGGCTGCTTCACCAACGCCGGCATCATCATGTGCAGTACCGCTTTGGTCGCCTTCGCCGCCTTCGCCGCTCTCGTATATGTCGTACAGTACGGCCTCGAGAACATCCAGGAGGTCCGAGAGGGACTGTACGGCACGCATCCTGTAGATTACGGCGTACGTCAAAGCGGGGGCAGGCGAGGCGTGATCAGGAAAGCAAGCGTGTGTGCAGCGGGCATACGTGGTGCTGCAGGGGCGTGTATCCATGTGGCCGTGAGCTGTGCTTACAACCACCCCCACCCCCACCAGCGCACCCCCTGGCCTCCCGCCCCCGCACCTGTCCACCTCCGTACCCCGCGGCCCCAGTGCCAAATGCGCAGTGAGGAAGACCAGCAGGCGCCGCCGCATGCGGGGCGGCAGCTGCGGACCCCCTCCGCCCCCACCGCCGCCCCCACCGCCGCAAGCCAGTCGGGTCAGCTGGGCGGGCAGCCAGGCGGAGAGGGCCGCAGTGGTTGCAGCGAGCGCTGCGGGGGAGGCGGAGGCGGAGGAGGAGGGGTTGCGGTCGCCGGCGGCAGGTCCTGAGCTGCCGTGACGCTGATGGCGGCGGAGGGAGGGAGGGAGGGAGGGAGGGCGGGAGGGAGGGAAGCAAGGAGGAGGGAAGGAGGAAAGGAGGGGCTGATTGGTGGTGGTGGTAGGTGGTAGGTCAGAGCCAACGTGCCCCAGAGAAGAAAGGAAACCCAGAAGCAACGGATTGGATTGGGCGGGAGGAAGCTGGAGCGACTAGGTTGGCAAGGCAACAGCCCTGTGCAACGATAGACTAGGTTGCTCCGCGCGGGGGGCCTCCTGCCCCCTACCGCTCCAGCGTGCCCAACCACAGCAGCCCCCTCAGAGATCACCCGGTTGCAACCGGGGAGCAGCTGCTGCTCAAGCACACTGGTAGGGGGCCCCTCCTCCATACGCACCCCCCACCCGCAAACCCAGCTCAACTCCTGCCTCCTGCCCCCTCAACAGCCTCCCACCCACTCCCCCCACACACACACCGCCTGCTACCGCACACACCTGCAGCAGCACGAAACTGAACAGCGGCTCCAACACCGCCCATGTGCGCTCAAACACACCACCCCCGTCGCTACCCCCGCTGCCACCCCCGCTGTCACCACCACCACCACCTCCACCACCCCCGCCACCACCCGCCACTGCCGAGGAGGGCGCTGCTATCGCTGCCGCCACCGCCAGGGCGCTTCCCGCGCTGGCTAGCAGCTGGGTGGCGGCGGAGGGGCAGGCCAGCAGCGCACATACCAGCGGGTGGGAGGTCCACCGACCGGGGTGGTACAACAGCTGCTGTTGGGGCGGGGGCTGCGAGGGCTGCTGCTGGGGCTGCTGCTGGTAGGGTTGCTGCTGAGGAGGATGTACAGGAGGAGCGGGTGCGGTGGCAGAGGCCACCAGCAGGCGACACAGCGCATCAGCTAGCGGCGGGGCGGTGGAGGGACCTGCGGAGGGACAGCGGGGGAAGAGAAGAAGGCCACCCAGTGTGTAATGGTGGATGATGGCAAACTAGGTGACAAGCGGTTGGGGAAGGGGTTTGAGTGAGTCGAGCCGAACGTGGTGGGTTGGATGGTGGGTTGGGTGGGTGGGGTGCACAGGGGCGGGGCCAAGGGGACGTGCAGAGTCGCAGGGCAGGTTTGGGCCGATCTAGGGCCTTGTTAGCAAGTTCACTTGGAAACCGGTACCCCATGCACTTCCTAATGTGTGCGCATGTCACATTGCAGCAGTTGCGTAGCAGCAGTCCTGGCTAAGGTGCGCAGCTCACCAGCCGTGGAGAGGCCGCTGAGAAGCGCCTCCACGGTCTCCGCTGTGGGGATGCCTGCGAGGGCAGCGGGCGGCGGACAGCGGGGAATGGGCAGCGGGGAATGTGGGAAGCGCAGTGGGGAATGTGGGCAGCCGTGAGGGGAGGAAGGGAAGGGAAGCAGTGGGGGAGTGGGGGGAGAGGCGCCGTTGACTTTGGCAGGGGTAAGATGCTGGGGTGTTCCGCTTCTACGGGGCGCCCTGCGGGCGGCAAAGGCCCAACCCACCTCCTGATAGGGCGAGCGATAGCAGCTGATCAGCAGCTTCCTGAATTACCACCTGCGTTGTGGTATTCGTATTTGGTAAGTGCGCTGCTTAGGGGCTGTGCTGCGAAGCAAGCCTTGTGATAATGCGCACCCATGCGCGTATGCACGAATTGGAAACAACAACAATTACCTTATTTGGTCGAGATAGGCAAAACGAGATGGCGGAAGTTCGCGCCTCCGCACTGGTAGCAGGTTTGCGAAGCGTTGCGAAAATTCCCGCCACAGCATGCCTCGCGACCGTCGGCGCATTGGCTGACTGAAGCCGCCTCTGCAAGCTATCTAACACTTCGTTTGCAGACATGGTTTGATCGAGTCCTGTCGAGTCCGAACTATAAAGCTGATGCCTGAGCGTAGATGTTACATGGCCAAGCTATGTTATGTTTGGGTTGCATGGCTAAGATGAACACACAATAACATTTAGCTAAACCCGAGGTAACTTGTTCGGTATTAATGCTCAAAACGGCTAATCATGGGACCAAGGGTCGGCCAACCGGCACGAACGGTCTTGAAAGCTGTCGAGTGGCTGTGTCGTCGTGTCTGAAGCGCAACTGTGGTTGCTCTTTAAACCGAGCCTTTACTAATCGCCTTTGGATCGGGAACTGCTTCGGTGCTGCTGCTTACTAAGCGGCCGTTAGCGGACAGTACTGCCCCCCATGCCCACAAGCAATGTCGAAGTGGGGGCCTCTGACGGCTAAGTAGGGTGCCTGCTGGGGGTGATGATGAGGGCCTGCTTGCATGGCGCGCATGCAGCAGCAAGCATTAGAGGCCACAGCGCTACCACCCGCCTTCCAACAGCATGGACGGGTTCTTGGCTTCCCAGCAGGCGGCAGGCCAGTAGCCCCACCGGTACCTGCTGCCTGCCTGGGCAAATGTATATGGCTACATAGCACAGTGAGGTGCCCCGGGCCCCTTATCTGCTACGTTCCTGCCTGCATGGCGCGCACGTGACAAGCAGCTGCTGCCTCTGTACACCTAGTACCGGCACGCAAGCTGCTTTGCTGTCGTCCCATGGTACCCGTGCAAGTATAATGTACTAGACAATAAAGGGTCAGAGCCAGCAGGGTCCCAAGAAGAATTCTATGGCTCATCATAGGACCATCCTCCGTGGAAAAACATGCATGGGACTGGTTTTACTCCCCTCTTTACAATCCCCTCGCACCCATGCACGCTTGCACAATGTACATTACAGGGTCGAACGTGTAACATTCTGCTCCGTTCATGTGCTCCTTCATCTCATGGTGTCCACATTGTGGCGTGCCTAGGTAGCAAGGCACTAATCCGGCACTTCGTGGAATGCAAACAGCCAGGTGTGGATGTCAACAGCTGTTGAAGAACCACACAACAACCTATCAGGTGAGACCTGTTGCTATGCAACTATCAAGCAACAAAGGAAGTAACACCAAACGGCACATCTCCTAGCAAATCACAGAGACACAAGGCAGGCAGGCAGGCGGGCCTCCCGGCAGAGATTGCTAGCCTCGCTCTGCTGTTCGAGGCGAGATACAACATCAAGCTAACTCGCAATTAGCATGTAGGATAGTTAGACCTGCAATAAGTAGAAGGCAATACGAAATACAACAGGTGCAACCGAGCAACCCAGGCATATGCAACTGTGTTTCTGTATCATACCCTAATGCGGATACCTTCATAGCAAGGAAGCAACACTGCCAACAACACCGCAGCCAACTGATACATAAGCAATGACAACACCATACATGAAACAGCTATCATATGGTGGACACGAGCATTCTTTGAGTTCTATATTTCTTGTCATCAAAACTCCCCCTCCACCTGCTGGCCATCCTATTGCCATCCTGCTGCACTACGTCCCCCACCCGCAACCCGACCTGCACTTCCCCTATCCTCCTTATACCCCTGACACCTCGCTCTCACACACCCCTCCTCACCCCCTCAACCTCAGCCCTTCGCTCCCACTCACTCCCCCAGCCACTCCCGCACCACCCTGCTGAGCTCCTGCGGCTGGTCGGACTGCACCCAGTGGGAGCAGTGTGGCAGAATGTGGACCTCGGACAGGGGGGCGACCTGGGGGAGTGGGCGGGGGTGTGTGGAATACGGGGGAAGGGCACGACATGTCATGGAATGGTATGTGGGGGCAATGAAGGGGTGTGGTAAGGCATGAGGAGCATGGGCAGGCATGGCATAACTGGGGGGGCATGAAGAGGCGTGGCATGCCATGAGGGGCATGAGGAGGTGTGACCTGGCATGAGGGGTACCAAGAGGGATGACCTGGCATGAGGGGTACGAAGAGGTATGACCTGGCATGAGGGGTACGAAGAGGTGTGGCACGGCATGGGGGCATGAAGAGTATGGCTTGACATGAGGGGTATGAAGGGTCATGGCATGGCATGAAGGGGCATGAAGAGGTATGGCGTGACACGAAGGGGCATAAAAAGGTATGGCGTGACATGAAGGGGCATGAAGAGGTACGGCGTGACATGAAGGGGCATGAAGAGGTATGGCGTGACATGAAGGGGCATGCAGAGATATGGCGTGATATGAAGGGGCATGAAGAGGCGCGGCATGGCATGAGCGGTGTGGCATGACATGAGGGGTGTGAAGTGGTGTGACCTGGCATGAGGATCATGAGGAGGTGTGGCATGGTACGGGGGCATGAAAGGGTGTTAGCTGGCATGTGGCATATGAGGAGGCGTGGCATGGCATGAGGGGTACGAAGAGGCGTGGCATGGCATGAGGGTACGAAGAGGCGTGGCATGGCATGAGGGGTACGAAGAGGCGTGGCATGGCATGGGGGTATGAGGAGGCGTGGCATGGCATGGGGGTATGAACAGGCGTGGCATGGCATGAAGGGTACGAAGAGGCGTGGCATGGCATGGGGGTATGAGGAGGCGTGGCATGGCATGGGGGTATGAGGAGGCGTGGCATGGCATGGAGGCGTGGCATGGCATGAGGGGTACGAAGAGGCGTGGCACGGCATGGGGGCATGAAGAGGCATGGCATGGCATGAGGGTACGAAGAGGCGTGGCATGGCATGGGGGTACGAAGAGGCGTGGCATGGCACGAGGGGTACGAAGAGGCGTGGCATGGCATGGGGGTATGAGGAGGCGTGGCATTGCATGGGGGTATGAACAGGCGTGGCATGGCATGAAGGGTACGAAGAGGCGTGGCATGGCATGGGGGCATGAAGAGGTGTGGCATGGCATGGGGGTATGAGGAGGCGTGGCATGGCATGGGGGTATGAGGAGGCGTGGCATGGCATGGGGGTATGAGGAGGCGTGGCATGGCATGGGGGTATGAGGAGGCGTGGCATGGCATGGAGGCATGAAGAGGCGTGGCAAAGCATGGGGGCACGAAGAGGCATGGCATGGCATGAGGGGTACGAAGAGGCGTGGCATGGCACGGGGGCATGAAGAGGCGTGGCAAAGCATGGGGGCACGAAGAGGCATGGCATGGCATGAGGGTACGAAGAGACATGGCATGGCATGGGGGTACGAAGAGGCGTGGCATGGCATGAGGGGTACGAAGAGGCGTGGCATGGCATGAGGGTACGAAGAGGCGTGGCATGGCATGAGGGTACAAAGAGGCGTGGCATGGCATGAGGGTACAAAGAGGCGTGGCATGGCATGAGGGTACGAAGAGGCGTGGCATGGCATGGGGGTACAAAGAGGCGTGGCATGGCATGAGGGTACAAAGAGGCGTGGCATGGCATGAGGGTACGAAGAGGCGTGGCATGGCATGGGGGTACAAAGAGGCGTGGCATGGCATGAGGGTACAAAGAGGCGTGGCATGGCATGAGGGTACGAAGAAGCGTGGCATGGCATGGCAAGGCATGCCTAGACATAAGGCACCAGCTTCCCGTTGAGTTTGTCAACGCACACAACCCCTTCCCTACCTCTGCCACACCCTTGAGGTTGGACACCAGCAGCGCATGGTCCTCTGCGCCCCACACTACCAGCACTGGCATCTCAAGCTGCCGTCGCAGACCTCGCTCAACCTGTAAGTGCATGGGAGCGTCGCTTAGAGTAGACAGGCAGGCAGGGACAGAGAGAAGCTCCTACCTGGGCAAACAGATAACACTGCTGGGGAGCCACTCCACCCCCTCCCCCCCCCACACAGCAACCCCCCTCTCACCTCCCCACTGAAGGGCATCACCCCCATGCTGGCCAGCATGACTGCCCGGTAGTAGTTGAGCGACGCAGTGGCGCAGCCCGGCTGCAGCAGCGCCGCCTTGTACACCTCCACATCACCCGGGGTCACCGCTCCCGAGGTGCGGGGTGAGGCAGGCCCCGCACGCCCCAGCAGCAGAGTCTCCAGCAGGGCGGCGTCGGAGTGTGTGAGCAGCAGCTCGGGCAGGATGGGCATCTGGCGGACGGGTGGAGAACGGGGAGCGAGGAAGAAAGGAAAGGGGAAGGGGGAAAGGAGGTGGGCTACTTGGGAGCATGTAGGCTGGGGAGGTCCACGTTGGGATCGACAGAGGGTGCTGCGTTGCATGATGCAGCGGGCCTGAAACTCCCCTACCTACCCCAGAAGCCCTCTCCTCCTCTCCCTTGCCTTACCACAACGCTTAATCCGACAATCTACCATTTTTCCCTTCCATCCCATCCCGAGCCATTCCCAAGCACCCCCCCCACCACCACCCCATTCCACTGCACCTACCTGGAACATGACAATGTACGACGAGCGCACCGCCTGCTGCAAGCTCAGGTTGCGGCGGTACAGCAGCCAGTGCGGCGCCGCCACCACCCCCAGCGCGCGCACCAGGCCCGGGTAGCGGCCCGCAGCAGCCCACGCCACCGCGCCGCCCCAGTCGTGCGCCAGCAGGGTGCAGGAGGTGCGGCCCAGTGCCGCCACCGCGCCGGCGATGTCAGAGGTGAGGGCGTCCAGCGAGTAGGCGGAGATGCCCTGCGCGTGCATGGGAGGGGGGTCAAAGACCATACTGAACCATAGGTGCGAGGCAGGGGGGAGGGAGAAAGGGTACATGAGGATGTGCGCTGTGCTGGTAGGTGGGGTGCAGGGGATGATGGGCTGCTGCATGACAGGGTCGCTTGCAGAACGACGTGTGCCTCCCCTCGCTTCCCACAAGCAATGCCAGCTTGTCCTCGCCCCCATTCCCCACCCCACCATTCCGCGCCCCCGCACCCTACCTCCAGCTAGCCTGACCAGCCGCATACCCCCTCTCATCAGCCACCCCAACCCGCTCCCCCTCTCCCCTCCCCCTTCCCTCCCTCTTCTCCTCCCCCTTCTCCTCCCCCTTACCTCCGGCTTGCTGGACCAGCCGAAGCCCCGCATGTCCAATGCCACCACCTCGTACCGCCCACCCAGCCACCCGCTGCCGCCCCCCTGCCCCTGTCCCTGCGCCTCCCCGCTGCCCTCCCCCTCCCCCTCCCGGGCCTCTGCCAGCAGGTGTCGCCAGGAGTACCAGCACTCGGGGAAGCCGTGCAGCAGCAGCAGCAGCGGCAGGTGCGGACGCCGGCCAAAGCTGACGGCATGCAGCCTGGAGGCGTGATGGGGGTAGCGGGTAAGGTAAGGAGTGTTCAGAGGGGGAAGAAACGGGCACGGGTGGGGGAACGGGGTGTGCAGGGAGAGAGGAAGAGAGAATGGGAGTGGCTAGGTAGCTAGCTAGCGGCCGCAGCTGCTGCTGGGGCTGCGGGAGCTCACCACCCTTTCCAAAACCTCTCCTTCCTCTGCAGGGTGGCATACTTGCATGCCAAAACGTCAGGCCACGGTCCAACCCCTTCCTCTTCCTCATACGGCCCCTCTGTACGCCCCGTTTCATGCCCCCCCTAGGGCCCCGCCCCTCCAACCCACCTGACTCCTCCCCCCACGTCCAGCATCTCGTGCTGCAGCCCCGCCAGCCGCTGAGCCCAGGGAGGCGGCAGCGGCACCTCCTCGGGGCGCGCGGGGCGGCGGGAGCGGCGGAAGAAACCCAGTGGGCTGCATGCATGGGGGGCGGCAGGGGGAGGGGTTGCCCGGGTGGTTAGCAGCAGGGGCCAGCAGTGCTAGAGCAGGTCAGAGAGCGGGTGTTGAGGGCGCCCGGCGGCCGGAGGAGGTGTGGGGACTACTACCCGTCATGAGACCTGAGTTCAGGGTGGGCGACCGGGGTGTCAGGCATGCAGCGGTGCATGGTGGTGTCGAGCAGCACACCAAGCGTGTCGCGAGCAGCAGCCGGGGATGGTGGCCTGTTTGCTTTGTTCCGCAGCAAGCAGCACACCAGCACCTGCTGCTGCTGCTGCACTGGTTCTACCTACTTGCTGAGGAAGGCTCTCGCCAGGGTGAGCACCAGGGAGGCCCAGATGAGCGGAGCCACAGCCAGCAGCAGCAGGGAGCGCAGGGCGCCGCTGGTGGCGGGGATGTGCTGGAGGGGGGCAGGAGGGGGACAGAGGCGAGGAAAGGGCCAGTGAGGGGAGGGGAGGCCAGTGGGAAGGCTGGTGGAAGAGAGGAGGAGGCGCAGTAGGGGCAAGCAAAGGGAAGTGTGGACATGGAAGTGTAGGAGAAGGAGGTTTGAGGCGCGGACTGCGGAGGCACGGCAGGTGCTAGGTGGACGCAGGGCAGGACAGTAGCAGCAGGGTTGGGCTGGTGAAAGTAAGTGCAAGGTGGGAGCCGAGGATGGGAGGGGGACTTAGGGCTAGAAAGACATGCTCTAGCTCGCTTGTGAAGAAGCAGGTGAGGAGTGGAGAGGCAGCGCAGGTGCGCAAAGTCGCTGGGGCGCGCACACGCGTCGCGTTTGACGAAATGGCTTAACGCCAGCTAGGCGCGATACCGCCCGAAGCCAGCACAACGGCTACGATGCAACTTTGTGGGCAACGTTTTCAACAGATATGCTAGTGCTTTAAGGGGGCTGGGCAACCAGGGCACGAAGAAACGCGAAAAGCGATCTGGCCGAGGCACAGCAGTTGGTTATCAAATTCTCGACTCACGTCTAGCGTCTTGACGCGCTTGTAGGGAATTGTGCTGGTGCCATTTCCCTTCATGCTCCCATCTGTTGCAGCCTTCGTGGTGATTGCCATCTTGAAGAGCTTAGGGTGCCGGGGCTAAGGAGAGATGACACGCACTGTCAGTCACGATGGGTGTGACAACCTGATCATGGCCAAGAAAGTGGCTTACTGCAGTAGAGTGTAGTAGCGACTATTGTTACTATGGTTGTAAAAGCCCAGAAAGTGTGGACCCACATGCCGTGCACGTCCCCATTCCGGCACTTTAGCCAGATAGTGACTTTCTTGGACGTTATATTGACGACAAGTTAAGTGCCTGGTGTACCAATTTGCAAACTTTCAGCCCAGTGGCGCTTTAGGCAGCCTAAAGCCCAGTCGCATCCGCAGCCATCCTGCCGTTTGTGGACTTTGACCCTGCCAAGGCTTACTTATCGCCACAACACCGGCGCTCACAGCGCTTTCTAGGAAACAGTAGAAGTTAGACATCTTTAAGGAACAGCTCAGCATCATTTACGACTGTCGCTAAAGATGTCGGACAACCAGTGCCTAAAGCAGATTGCTATGAACTTTGGAGTGGGAGCTAGTCTTGGCGCGTCCATAGGTGGGTTGTCACTGGCGTTCTGGAGATGCGCCGTCGTGTCATCAACTAGTAACCTGTCATCAAACGAAGGTATGGCACCTTAATGCCCGGATTTTCCTTCCATAGGGGCCGTCTACGGCACCTTCGATGCCTTCCGATTCAAGGTATGTTGCAGGACAAAGCAACTTGTCAAGGAGTGGGTATGGTGGTGTTTAGCTCTTAGCTTTTACATGTTTTCCCCCTGCAGATTCCTGGCCTCTACAAGATCCGACATATTGGAAAGACGACTATTAGCACTGGCGCGGTAAGCGCCTAGCATGGGGCACTTGCAAGGGTTTGGGCGTACTGCAATACCCGGTGGTACGACTCACCTGAGCTGTGACACTGCGGGTGGCACACGCAACGGGTTGCGAGTGGAAGAGAGACACGCATGGACCACCTATGACCATATCGCACCGTCTACACATCCCCATGCCTTACACGTGCTAGGTATCCACCATGCTGTTGCGTGGGCCCCCTCCTCTGCTTCCTCACGCAGGTATTCGGGACATTCCTTGCTGCTGGTGCGCTACTGCACTGCGGGAAATAAGAATCCCCGCGGTTGGGCTCTTAGTTGCGTGCGATGCTGGGGGAGCTACCGGCATGCATTTTCCGGAAGCGGTCTTGGTTCTGGTGGCGTAGGATGTTTTGAGCGTAGGTAGCTAGAATTTGTACGGCGTTACAGTGCTGACTGTCGGGTCGCGTCGCCTAAATTGGTTAATAGTGTAGAGTTTCAGGCATACGCCGTGGAGTTGACACGTTCCTGGCGGCCGGGGACAGGCGCGAACGAAGGGCCAGGTACTGACAGGCACGTTGGCCGGGACAAAGCAGCAGTGAAGTGGTCATGTGATGCAGCAATAAGGCTTCACCTGCCAGAATCCGTGGATAGCAGTATAATAAGTTGATAATGCTCCATTTCAGCGCACATTATGCCACCAGGCCACACTGGCCACCTCAGGAATTGCCGTACAGGCAGGTACCTGTCGAATTTTCGTACTACTGCAGCTCCTTCAAGCCTGTGCGTTTGGAGCATACCATCGTATACCTATACGCAGCCTTGGTTCAGACTACTGCTTTAGTCACATAGCCCTGATACTCGGGTTTCTAGAAGAAAAATGCGCCGAAAAATAGTCTTTGCCTTTTTCTTTGCCCTAGTCGCTAGCAGTGCTGTATTGGCATCAGCAGCCAAGAGCAGTAAAAAAGACAAGAAGCTGCCTGGAGAGTAAGCCGAGCAGCTCTAACCTGCTGTAGCGCTTCTTGCGGCAAACGTCGAGTTTTGGGCCTGCCCGTAGGACGGCTTTTGTTCACGAAGGAAAGAACTGGCGGATTCATAAAAGTAATGAAGGAGTGAGTGTGGCAGTTTTTTGGGTTACCGCGTTTGATGGTAATCAGGCGAGCACCGCAATGAGCAAGCTCTCTTCTGTTGCAGCGCGCATTCTTTTACAATGTTGAGACCGGCAAGTCACAATGGACTGATCCACGGATCCAGCCGCTGTCTGGGCAAGCTAAGGCTTTCATGGTCATCGGCTATTTCTTCCCCTTCCTGCTGATGGTTGTTGGTGGCGTGGGCTACATCTACTGGGTCAAGGTAGGATTACGTTCTTACCGGAGCACTGTCCCCGCGCTGCATGTGGGCTATCTCCCTCCTACACGTGCACCCTCACTTCACCGCTGCTACCCTTTGACCTGCAGTCCAAGCACCCTGAGCTGCTGAAGGGCCCGAAGAAGGTGAAGGGGCTGAAGAACTGGTGAGTAGCTGGCTGGGGACGGAATGCATGCTGTGCCTCTGGGGTTGTGGAGCTGACACGAACCGTGTCGATATGGGTTGCAGGGAGCGCGCCCTCCTGCCACCGAAGATCGCCAAGCCAAAGGACCGCAAGCGTGGTGCTTCTCCCACCCCAACCGACGCTGCCTCGGCTGAAGTTGCCAAGAAGACCGAGTAACCGACGCTGCGTATCAAATGCAGCCCTCTGCTCAGGAGGGCCCAGGAAATCCGTGCGGTGTACGGCAGAGCGTTAGACTGCAGACGTTCTCGTAGAGGGGGAGTAAGTATTGTGGCCCCTTCGGCGTGCGGCGTGCTGGTCGGGCCCAGACTGTAGGAAGCGTAGGAGAAGGTGACTAATTCGTAATGTGAGGTGATCTTGTATGGACGATGTAAATTGAGGTGATATCTGGCTGCAGGGCTTCGTGTGCCGCTTGCCGAAGTTTAGGTTAGGGGCTGAACGGCTGATACGTCGTATTGGTTGGGGTAGGTCAGGGTAGGTTGTCAATTTGTCCTTAGCCTTTCTTATCGTGCAAGGGCACGAACCAAGCTGCCTCTGGGGTTTAATGACACCGGTGCCCCATGGCCCTGGGCCCCACCGTATTGGGAGTCTTACTCTAGTCAATGTTCTCAGCTGCGTTGCCCAAAGTCCGGGATAATAGTCCACAGTATCCTACACCCAAGGCTGTTGGTCAACACCTGCCCCAGGGTCGTGGACTGCATGTAAATTGCGTGCGTAGCATAATACAAAAGTATGTACGGACGCTTGCAGTGTTTGCACGTCAGCAGTACAGGTACTGTCGCCGGGGGCACCAGCGGTTGACTTTTTCAAAGTAAACTTCATCCCCGGAGATACCTTGCGAGCTAACATTGGTTTTAAAAGAGCACACAGAATTCATTTCGTTTTGCTACTTTTACTCAAGACACGAATAATCTTCCAAAGAAGCTAGAAAGATGTTGGTGGACAATCCGATAGAGAGGGCGGATATGTAAGTAGTTACATGCTCAAGGTCCACGTTTCCAATGAACAATCCTGGGAATGGCGGGAAGCGCGCGGAGGAGTCGTCCAGCGCTTCGTGGGGATTTGCGAAATGGGGGAAGACCATTGCAAGCGTTTTCAAGCCCAAGGTGATACCCGACGTCAGGGCAATGTAATGATCAACATCATAATTGCTTCAGCTTTTCCCTCGGGTTCCCTTAACATGCTAGCAGAAGGATGTCGCGAAATCCACGGCGACGGGGGGGCCCTTCATCAATCCTGAGGCTCTTACAGCGCAGAAACGCGAATGGATGGACATCCAAGCGGCACAGGTTCAGCTTACGCTCGCAACATGGCCTGAACACCTGTTCGAACACTTCTTTGTCGTTGTAAGTACTGCATTGGAGCCCGGCCAGGCTTCTATCCCTCCTCTGCTTGAGCCCCTCGCCTATCCCCGCCCAGCCAGCCAAGTTTACGAACCGGCTAGTGGTGTGGCACTCCAGAACCGCTACCGCTGCACTACCAACCTATCTGTTCTAGCTTCTCCATTTCATTCTTCGCCAACGGCTGCCGTACGGCTCTCCTTGCCCGCACGCTTCTTACCCACCCGCCTGCAGGGCCTCCCACCTGACATAGAGGTAACCCAGATCGCGCAGGACCTGTGCGGTGAGAGCAGGCGGCGTGGGTCAAAGGAAAAGGCTTTAGTGGCATGCAGCTGATATCGTTGTTAGGAGCGGCAGATAGGAGGGCGGCAGTACAGAGGTTGATAAGACACGCGTAGAGGGCTTAGCGTCATAGCGCTGGTGGTGCCGCCACCGGCCTACGTACCTTCATCTACCCCCCATCTACCCCCCATCTACCCCTACTCACACCTCCCCATGTGGGCCCCTATGCATCCTCCCTGTATGAACTCCTTGTGTGAAGAGCTCGAGCGGCGGCCTCGCGGAGACGCCGACCTCGACCGAGCCAGCGCCGGAGGTGGCGGCCCCGCCGCCCCCGGCCTCTCTGGAACCTCCTCCGCAGCAGCCGCGGCCGCATCGCGGGAGGGCGGCAGCGCTTCCCTGCCAGCTACAGCCGCGGCTGCAGCAGCAGGTGGCGGGGGCCCCTCATGTAAGGCCCCTCAGCAGCTGCCGGCGCCCCAGTACGACAAGGCTCCCCGGCCCGCGTACGACGCGCACGTGCTGTTCCGCCACCCGCCCACCAAGGCGGCGCCGCTGAGCGATCAGGAGCTGGTGGACCTGTGCTTCCCGCACAAGTGGGTGTGCCCTGGGTGGTGGGGTGCGGTGGTGTTGGGTTGTGGGTGTGCACTGCGAAGCACAGTAGGCGGTGGGTGTGGGGAGGCGTTGGGATGTGTGCAATGCCGGCTTACAAGGAAGCTGTGTTGGGGACGCAGAGCGGGAGGAGCCCGTCGTGCTTCGCTGCAGGAGTCGCATGCTCACGTGACGTTCTTATACCGTTACCAGGAGCGCTTTGCGGCTCCCCCTTTCCCTGTTGCTAATCCTGCCCTACCCTGCCCTGCCTCCGTGGCCTCCCTTCCAACACCTCGGGGGCTGCGGGTGCTGATGACAGGGTCACTCCGGTCAAGCTGCGCCGCTCGCCCTCCCTGAGCAGCCTGCATGAGGTGGTGTACGGCAGGCACACGGCCGCGCGGGACGGCCAGTGCTTCATATTCCTGCTCAAGGTGCGGGGTCCTTGCATATCCCCTTGACTGTTTTGTTGTCATTATCGGTGCATGTTGCCTTGCTCGATGTGGCTTCTGTGTTAACGTTTGGCGGCCGTTGATGCCCTTTGCCGCAACCACCAACGTTAACAGGAACCCCCGGCCAGTTTGGTGTCTTACACCCTTCATCCCATCTCATTGTCCCCCACTCCACCCCACCCCACCTCACCCCATCAGGTGGGCGGCAGTCTGCCCCTGTACGGCATCTGCTGCGCCGTACCCGAGGTGCTGCACCGCCCGCCGCACCTGGCGCGCCACCTGTACCCCTCCTGCCGTGCGCCCTTCCGCTCCGTCATGATAGCTGCACCGCGGGTGTACTGCATGCTGTCGCACTACCCCTTCTTCGACCTGCACTTCCAGGTGGGGGGGGGGGCTGGGGGTTGGGTGGGGAGGGTAATTCTATAAGTGAAACAACGAGTTCCAATCCCATATCCCGACTCATGCAGTGAGCGCATTCGGAGACACTATCCTAGAAGCACGCACCGAAAAGCCAACTGTGGCAACATGGACATGACCCTCACCTTGGGATTGGGAAGGGGGTCCACTTGGGGAAGCCGTTGGAGTGCCCCGTATGCTGCCTCAGAAGAGTGAAACACAAACCCTGGCTACGGCACATAGGGGGACTTACGTGGCGCGGCCCTGCCGTGGCAGGCTCCCTCACAACTCTCACCGGTCACCACCTGCCTCTTGCGGTCTTGCCGTCTTGCCCCTACCTGAGGACCTGGCCCGGCCTGTCCTTCTCCCCCAGGTCCTCAACGCCATCCTGGCCATGGAGCGCCTGCACCGCACCATCGACTTCAATGCGGAGCTGGAGGGCCCCCTCCTGCAGCCCCCGCCACCTCAGCCGCCGCATCAGCCCCTCGGCGGCCGCGGCACCGCACCGCTGACCTCCGCTGGCAGCAGCGGCATGGCGGCAGCAGGGGCTGCTACCGCTAGTGGTGGTCCTGCTGCTGCTGCTCCTCCGCATGGCGCCCAAGCGGGGTGCAAACAACCGCAACCAACACAGCAGCATACAGCTTCGAGCCAGCAGCAGCAGCAGTGTTGTCCCATGTCACCGGCCGTTGCCTACCTCTGCAAGCGGGGCTACTGCCGTGACTGCGCAAACGCGATTGCGGAGGTATACCCGGGGCTGGGGCAGCCAGGGACGCAACCGCACCCACACCCACAGTCGCAGTCTCTGCATGCGCCCGGGGCGGCAGCCGCACCCATGTCGCCCGCGGCGCCCACACCCCAGCATCGTGCACCTCAGCAACCCTCAGCTCTCAGGTCGCTGCTACGGCGCTCGGGGGCGGGTGCTGCTGCTGCTGGCGAGAAGCCCTGCAGCAGTCCAGGGCCAGGCGCAGCACGAGAGCTGGAAGAGTCGGCGTCGCATGCGACCCATGGGTCACTGCACCGCATTAGTGACCCAGGCTCGCCGCCGATGGCGGGGTTGATGCCCCTGCCAGGGCTGGGAGACCGAGGGGCCTCTGCAAGTGCGGCGACGGCGCCAGGGGTAGGGGGGCCGAGGGGCTTCAACCGGCGGTTCTCGGGTGGCGGTGTCGGTGGCGTGTCGAGCGGTGGATCCGCGGCGGTGATGTCCTTTGTGCCGCATTCGCCGCCGCCGTCTGGGTCGTTTGTCGACCTGTTTGCGCGCATCAGCGGCGGCGGTGGGGTGGAGCGGCAGGGATGTGCTCGCTGCAAGGTGGGTGGGGTTGGAACCTTTCCAATACATTTTGTGGTCTGCCACATCCCGCGTTGCACAATGGTATAACCGTTCCAAAGCACCATCACTGCACCAGTTAGAGACGTGGGCTACCGTAACGTCATGCCGTCCGTCTGCTACCGGTGTGCCGTACAGGCGTGCGGGCGGGCGCTGGTTGCAGTGCATGAAGAGATGGAGATGGTTCCGGAGCAAGGCCTGCTAGAGGTAAGCGCGCTAAGCACCACCTGCCCCAGGAGAAGGGGCGAACATGGGTGCACCAGCTGTCTAGTGAATGCCACACCACCCTGCACCGCCATCTGCTTTCGGATCACCGAGCGCTTCCTTTCTCTTCATCCTGCTGTACGTTACAGGAGGTCACGGTGGTCCTAGAAACCGCACTTGACAAGATTGCAACGCTGCCAAAAGCAGTGGCAGCAAGCCTTCAAGAAGCCGCGGCGGCTGCTGCCGGGGCGCTGCGCCGCGATGCACGCGGCGGCAGCGCTCCACCCGCTGTCGGCGGCGGCAGCAGCAGCAGCAAGGGAGCCATCGCCACCGCGCTGTCCCCACATGCCGCGGACTTCAGCCTAGGCTCTTCTGCTGATGTGGGCAGTCCCCAGGCAGCAGCAGCGGCGCTGCTACCACCCCTACCATGCGCTGGCTTCGGAGCCTCCGGCGGCAGCAGCACGGGAACCCCGACGGCACAGACAGCAGAGGCTACGGCCTCCTCCGCCTCCGCCACCTCGACGCTGGCTTCCAAAGTACGACAGTCCATCAAAACAGCCCTGCCGCGAGCCATCCTGGGTGGCGGAGCTGCGGTGCAGCAACAGCAGCAGCCACCTAGGCACGGCACCAGTGAAGACGAGCAGCGCAAGCCCGCTGCTGCCGCCGCCGCTGCCACTGCCGATGGTGGCACCGACGTCCCCACCAATGCCGCTGAGCCGCCTTCAGAGGGCGCCCACCTCTGCTCTCCAGGCGCCGCTACCGCCGCAGGGCCGGGAGGAGACGTCCCCAGCACCATCAGCCTGGTACCCTTGTCGCCGACGGGACCTCCCTGGCCTACGTCACCGCTCTTGCGCCCCATGTCGCCGCCTCCAGGGGGGCCTGACGGCGCGGTACCTGCGTCAGCTGTGAAGCCGCTGCTGGCGGCGCCGTTGGGCAGCGGCGGGCAGCTTGGGGGCTGCGGAGGCGCGGTGGTGCCGCTGGCGTTGGATGCTCAGGTGGTGGGCGGCTGCGGCGGCGGGGGGCAGGAGGAGCTCCGGGGCATGAGCCTGGTGCAGCAGCTGATGCTGAGCATGAAGGTGCCCAGGTCGCCGCTGATGGGTGG